AGCTTATCATTATTATCATTATTTGTACGAAATAAATCATGAAAAATATAATTATTAAAATGAAAATTTCTGTTGTATAAAGAGTGATTTGTTTGGCAGAAGAACCTTTTTTTGATGTATATATATCATGAATAAAAGTGTGCATGGAAGGTTGTTTTTTAAATATATATATATATATCTAATTTGAGTAAACTTAGAATATCGAAAATTCGTCAGAGAAGTTGAAATATTCCTTTATATAATTTTTTTAATGAGGAAAAAAACAAAAAGAAAATAGTAAATAAAGTGAGAAAATATGAAATAAAATAAATGAAGAATGAATGAGACTTCTCTCATTCTCTTTTGTAAGTTGGAACGTGAACAGAAAACAAAACGGGTAGTTGGATTGTGAAATCAGTCTCTTCGGTACTAACTTTTTTCAATTAAATCATTTAACAAACTAATTGCAGTTAAGACCTAATTAAAAAAAGGATTATGGAAAATGATGCTTGTATATATGTTTAACTTGAACAACGTAAACAGCTCATGGAGGAGACATTTGCACCGTCATTTTCTCTTTTAACATAATAATCCTGTGTCATTACAAAATAATCCTGTGTCATTACAAAATAAATTAATTTACGATTTGACTAAATTTTAAACAAATAGTATTTTACAAAAACAGTAAAGTTCTCGTTTCAAAAAATATATGTTTGATCCTTTTTGTAAGTATTCAAAATTTGAATATTGTTAATATTTTTTCTTGAGTGACTGAAGCTAAAACTTAAAAGTGATTTAAAATGTCATAACATTTACAAGAGAAAACCAATTAATCTTGTAATCTATTTGGTAAAAGAAATTACATCTAGAATTAAACATGGAGAAAAAGACATGTTGTGTGGTTCTTAAGTTACAATGTGTCATACAAGGACATGAAGAAGTTAGGCCTAAATATTTGTTTCCTTGGCAAAAAAAAAAAAAACAAGAAAACAATTGAGTTAGGACAAAGTATATTGTCTTCATCAGAGCCAAAGAGCCATTAAGTTTCCAAAATGATTTTTCTATGTAATATGTGTGAGTAAGAATTACACTCATGATGAGTGTACTAAATAGTTGATATATATTGAGAAAAACAAAATTCTGTTACATAAAAAAAATAAGCACCCTACATTACATAAACATAATCTAATTGATAGACGTCGTTGCTGCTGCATACATGCAAAACACTAATGACCCATTACTAGCTTTAGTTATGTATGTTTGCAATTAATATATATGCATGTATCGTTCGTCAAAGCATGAGCCGCCCCCTATATATGTTTGCAAAAGAATCTAATTATAATTAACAAAAATGATTGCAATAATCTAGTGGGTCTTACGATTAATTAGTCAATAAACAATCTACGAACTTGGTCAATAACCCTCGAATTAATGTCATAATAGAAAAATAATACTATTAGCCAACTATCAATAGTTTTGAACGGATGTCGTGAATAAAAATGGATTAATCCGTTAACGATTAAGACCATTTTATTTTTTGGGTGGACAAAACTTTGCTGCAACCATAAGTAAAACTCAGTAAACTATAATTATATCATTAACTAGAAATCAAAACACAAACTTTATATGTTTATATTAAGAAAACTTAAATAAACAAAGAGCACCAACTCAGCTTCTTCACAAAGAAATCTAGTATTAATACACAAGGTAAAACACCCAAGACAACATTATTAAATAATACCCCATGAAAGCTAAAATACTAAAAAATCATTAATACATATACTAACAAAGAAATGAAAAGGTTAGGAATAATCGATAAGAATACATAATAATATACAACTCATGGTGATGGTGATAGCATAATATTTGTGGGGGCTTTTAGTTGTAAAGTTATGACTCAAAACACGCTTTGTTATTTCTTTTATAAATGTTATATTATTAATGATGGATCGTCATGTGCTTCGTATCCCTCTCCTCCATTATTACATCTTTTTATTATCTCATCTCTTCATTATGCCACAACTGTCTTAATATATACTACGAATCCTAACTGTGCATTGTGTTTTAAGAAAAAGAAAAAAAATAAACGTGAAGCCGTAGTTTGTAGACATTTAAAAACCCTAGCTAGAGAGAGGGAGAGAGAGCCATTAAGACTATGCCACGAGCACGAGTCTCCTATGTTTTGCATTTACCTAAAAAGCTCATTCTCTGATTCTTATTTGTTCTTTTACGTGCTTAACTACTGTTGTGAAACTCAATACCGTTGAATGAATGAATGTATCCGAATTAATACGAGAACACAGTTGAGAGAAGTAATTGAGTTATTTGGTCAAAGCGAACGTGTAGAGTTTTTTCTTTTCTTCTAATAATCAAAAGGTTTTGGGCCGAAACTCATATATCTTTTTAGAGCCGAAATCAAAGTATGTTATATGGTCTCGTTCCAGTTCTATTATATCTGACGATCTCTAATTTTTTGTCAAATTTTTTACCAATTTAGCTATTAGCATTTGATAACGTGTAGAGTTTTTGGTGTGCGAAGTAGTTTGATTCAATAATTAAAACGTAGTGATAGACGTTGCTTCAGTTTACATTCATTCACGTTACGTGAGTGCTTACTTTCATTATATTCTTAAGAGATATAGAGTCACTAGTATCTTTGTTTTTGTTTTGTTAATTAGGAACCACTTTTAAAGAAATTTTATTGGAAAACTACCATATGGTAACATTAAAAATATATAGTAAATCACAAAAAATTAATGACGCATTCCAATAACATGAATATGTATTAGTGAAGAGATTATAAAAATATTATAATTTATACAATTGGACAATTTGTTTTTTTTGGGTTAATAAGTTGGACAATTTCACTTGAATATCCTAATTCTTTTCGAGTTATTGGGGGGAGATATATGTTTATTAATTTATTTTGATAAAGGGCTTTTCAAAATATGTTTGGTCTTGTCATTTTTTAATGTATCATTTTTGTTTTCTTTCAACAACTCATGCAAAATAATGTAGTTTCATACAAAAACAGGTAGAATCGGGTGGTTCTATCGATTCCATAGAAATGCACACACTTGTAAAAAGAAAACTCTATCATATAAATTATAATATTCGTTACAAAACATTTTTAAAATGCACTAAAAAACCAAACTTGCAGAAAGTAAAATATCTAAAAGGTGGACCGACAATAATAATATTTTGTCATTGATCACAATCAGTTCTCTAAAAGTCGCATCAGACTCACATGCAATCGAATTCTTCCTCTCCTCTCCTCGCGGCTTCTTTAATCATTTCACCCTAAAGAAAAAATGTATATGGAATACTCTCTACTTTACGACTTTTAATCATTTGTGCTATCCTTTATAGGTTGGTCCCAAATACTCTCTTATCTATAAGGATTAGATAAGAGACACCCAAAGTATATGTGGAAACCAGAATTTGGCCCTTTAAAAAATATAGCCCAATCGAATCATTTAAGATAGCGATCCAAAACATGTTCAGAGGTCCGTATACAACAATATCTAACAATGACAAACATGACTTGGAGTTCTTTTTTCTAATCAAGAATGCTCGAGGCAAGACCATTAGCCTGATGGCATTTAGGAGCGTTTTAAACTGATGTTGACGTCAACAGATGGACAAATAAACCATAAAACATGAAATCAAACATATCGATACGAAACCAATAGAAAATTTTGGTCTAAACATACATAAATTGCCTCTAGTTAACTAAACTGAAACTAACACAAAAAACTCAACCAAAATGAACTATTATTTATTAAGTATTTCATATTTTGATTATATTATCTCTTGGTTAAAAATCACTAGGCATTAGTCGTTAGACAGTCGAGGTGGGCCTACCGCCTAGCAAGAAAATCGGAGATTAAATGAAGATTAATCAGAGGTTAGTTTTACAGTTATTTTATTAAATTAATAAAATAATTAATAAATGATATTAATTATATGTATAGTTTGATTCATGTTAATGAAAAAACACAATATAACATATAAACTATAATAATGGTTTCAAAATAATAGTTCATAAATTAAAATATATTTCTACAGCCAAATTTATAATTTTTATTAAAATTTTGAACATAAATTATTGTAAAATATCACAAATTCACAATCTAAGAGGGGTGTATTCAAAATGAAATTTTAAGAGATTGGAGTTTTATTAAGTTTTTAAATGATTTTGATGATTTTAATGAAGTTCATTTAACTTTTGTAAAATCCTTTTAAATCTCACCAAAAATCCTTTTAACTAGGAAAATCCTTCTAAATCCTCTAAAATCCTTCAAAATAATTAAAAGCCAAATCCACAAATTGTTTTCAATAACAGTAAATTTTAAGGTGGATTTTGAAATCATTAGTTGAATAACAGTGGATTTCTTGAGACTTATTAAAATTCATGTTTGAATAACACTGAATTTGTAAACTTTTTACAAATCACTTGAAATTTCACTTTTAATACACCCCCTAAATGTTTAGTAACAAACAAAGGGTTTGTCATAAATCAGGGCTAAGCAAGGATTTTTTATATCTACTTCATAAAAAATTTCGTATTTTCTCAGAATGTCATTGAACTTATCGGACATATAGTAATACTAATCCAACTCCAAATCAAAAATTTAAAAGAAACTAAACGAAATTTTTGAACAAAAACAAATCAGAACCATGAACAAAGAAAAAGACAGAAATTCAAGAAAATTACGATATTCACTCCTACAACTAACAAGCAGCGATCAACCACACAAAAGAACAACCATGAATAGAATGACTCCAACATAACGCCAAAAGCACAAATGCAAACAGACAGATAGATTATACGATCCAATCCAGCAAAGAATGATTCTGTCCCAATCTTAAGTTAGATAAAAAAAAAAAGTATTCCCAATGAAAAGCCAGAGAAGTAGGAGGAGCTTTTCTCAGTCACACAGAGTCAAATAGCACAAGATGACAAAATCACAGACAAGTAGAAACAGAAGTCAACAATATGCATAGAAATAGGGAGAAATAAAGCTGATACTAGAACCATAGTCATTCATGCAAAGTTGAAGAACATAAATGAATCCTAGTGAACATAAAGGAAACAGGGAAAATATAGCAGTCAAGTGATATTATCCCTACAAACTGGCCTAAAAAACACAAAAGAAGTAGCAAATGAGGTTCAATAACACAAATACAAAGCATAACCAGTTTTTTTTGGTCCATAATCTAAGAAAGTTTACAATCTCAAATCTGAGTCAAGTCAATGGCAAGACCAAGAAGATGCCTCAATCGTCGTCTTCCTCCTCCTGCAATGCAAAAATCCAAATAGAACACAAATGTCACACATCAACATACATGTAAAGTGTTAGCAAAACAACAGTAATAAAGTCTCAGTAATAAACCTCTTCGCTCCCTGCTTCATCCACTTCAGACTTGTCATCCTCTTCACCTCTATTGGTTCCACTAGCCTAAACGACATCAACACAATAACAAGACTACTTAGCAACAGCACAAGAAGACCTACAAAAACAACAGTCTCTGCACACACAAAGTGAAAGCTATCATCAATGAGAGGTCATACCAGTTTCATGTTGTACTGTTGCATAGTCTTAAGATATTCAGTCTTCCTGCTCTCAGCCTTGGCAACGTAAGGAGCTTTATCCTGTAAACAACCACAAAGTTCAAAATACAGATCCACCAAAACCTTAAACTACAAATCAATTCAATGGATACTACTACTCACTTCATCAGTCATAGACTTCCATCTAGCTCCAGCAGCCTTCCCAACCTAATATTACACAAGAACACGATAATTAAACCAACAAAAACTAGGTTTAAGATTACAGATCTGAGAAACTTTCGGAGAAATATACTCACAGTAGCGACGGATTTGTTGTTAGGATTCGCCAGGTTAAACTCTTTTCGGAAATCCTCACTTAGATCAACAAAAAAAACCATCTCAAAAATTTTGATTTAAAAACTCAAAAGCAATTCGAAAATTTCAAATTCGGGAAGATGAAGATTCGTGAAATATATTACAGGAAGACGAAGAAAGCACTTGGAGGTCTCTTAGGCTGATTTGGATCCTTCTTTGTCTTCTTCCCAGGCTTCCTACCTCTAGTTTTGAGTCTAAGAAATCGAAAACGAGAGAAATCAGAATTTGAAGATCTGGATCTCAGATGTAACAGAGAAAACGAAGAGTTTGAGAGAGAACGAACAAAAAAAAATACCTCTGATCAGTGCTGGTAGCTTCAGCTTTGGATTCGCCGCCTTTCATCTGCGATTAAAGAGAGAAACGAAGAAGAATCGTTAGAGAATCGGATTGACTCGGGACTGAGTTTGGGAGAAACGGAAGGAGCGAGTTGGGATTTTACCTTTAGGGTTTTTTTTTGCTTGTTTGACTTAGAGAGAAGAGAGAGCGTTTTGAGCAAGTGAGTAATAGGGTTTTTTTTTAGATTCGGTATAAAAGAATAAAATTAAATAAAGAAGATTGAAAATTTTTGCAATGTGGCGGGATTTTTTCGTGAAAGGAGCGGAAAAAATTTGACACGTAAAAAGGAAAGTGAAGGGAAGAGCAACGGACGGATTATGCTCTTCGAATCTTGACCGTCTATTCGACACGTGTACTTGAGTTTGCAGATCTCATTCTTTTAAAGAAAAGCTTTGTTAGACCAAAATATATTTTTGTTTTAACTTTTAAATGATTTCTATAAAGAATAAAAAGAGAAAGGTTATAAATAAGACTATCAAAGCAAAAGTTTTGATTAATATTTATTGATGAAAGATAGTTTATGTTTGTAGTTTTAAAATAATTTAAATAAATTTTGTGAAACGCAATCCATGAAAATAATTGATATAATTTCCTTGTTTAAAGATACAATATTATTTTTAAGCAATTTATCCGACAATTTATAAATAAGTATGGTAACTTAAAATATAGAATCATAAGTTTTTATTATTTCCGATAATAAACAAAATTCATTTCATCTAGCTTACCATGATCAAACTAGGAAAAAGTTCTTGACACGTAGTTACCTCGATCAATGTAAGACTAGGGTTCCTTCCACGTTCAAGGTTTCGAGCCAATCAACTTAATTTGTAACCAGAACGCCGACCGGAAAGAATAAAAAATCACTAACAAATAAATATATCAAAAATAGTGTGAGATAAATTGATAAACTTTCTCCAAGCCCACGATTTCAGAGCAATCCTCAAAAAATTATTTTGGAAAAGGTTCAAATTAAGAATTTATAATGTTGTATTTAAAAAGAAAAAATGAATCAAATGTTTTGAGACACTAATCCATGTGAATAATTTATTTTTCATATGTTAAGATATTAAACTTTTTGTATAATAAATCTTATGATATAAAACTTGATTTTTAAAGTTAGCTTTTAACCTAATCACGACACATGTCAAATATATCGATCATATTTTGATACATGTCAGAACTAATATTTTTTCACTTCAATAAAATTGGAAAACATAATCTGTTTTATAATAGTGAAATAGATAATTAAATTGTGTTGCAAAATGTAATGTGCGAGGTTGAAATTTGGATTAAAAACAGTTATCAGAGTATGTGAGGAACATTTAACCATTTATAAGTGATATATTCAAAATCTAAGAAACAATTATGGTACTTTAATTTTTCTTATAAAATTCATATTGTTTCCAAAATATTTTAGAAAAAAAATATAAATATAAACAAAATTAAAATTTGGAAAACACCCAAATCTATTATTATTTTTTGATAAGGAACGTAGAAATCAGTTCATACGTTAATTAAACTTTACATTGAAAATCTTAGACTATGATTAATAAAAGGTTCTTAACTTAAGATTTTGTTAAGAAAAAAAAAACCTTCCATTAGTCATGCTCCAACACTAAACGAAATTTAAAACAAAACAAAACCCAATGTGAATGCAATGGAATGCACCTTGCTTTCTAATTGGAAATTCGGAACCGGGTTTTACCGGGCCAATCAGATTGAACCGGAACCGGTTATTTATATATTCTCCCCTGTAAAATATTTCCCTTCCTCTCTCTTCTCTTCTCTTTGCCTTTCTCTTTCACAGTCAGAGAGCTCTTGAACGGAGACGAGAATCTCGGTCGCGCCGTCAACTTTTTTTTCTTTGTAGAGAAGAGAATTATCTATTTCCGATCCAACGAGTTGAGAGCTTTGGTTCGGAAATCTCCCTTTTTCTTTCTTCCCCAATTCGATTTCCTTTACCAAGCTAGGCGCGGCGCTTGATCTCGCTATCTCTCAGGTAGGATCGAGCTGTATAACACCTTCTTTTACCAAATTTCCTGGAGACACTTGCTATAGATTTTCAAGTGTTCTCTCGTTTCTGGGTATTGGAGTTTTGTTTCTTATTCTCTGTGGATTGATTCATTTGATCCATATCAATGTTATGTTTCGGAATTCAAAAGCATGCAAATTTACCGATTGTTTGTTCCTCTTGTGCTAATTCTATTTCGGTATTGGGTTTCGAGGCTAAAACCCTGAGTTGGTCATGTTCCAAGTTAGAGTTTTTTTTTTTTTAGTTTTCTATTTGAGGGATATTTTAACTAACTCCATGAGTTTCTGTGTGAAGCAGCCAAAACTCTTTTATTTGGTGACGTCAGTTTCTTGACAAAAGAATTCAAATTCTACACCTACTACTGGGAAACAGTATAGAATCTGTTATAGAACATAGCACTGATATGTTGAACATAGAAAAATTGTAACATGTAGGATTAGTAAATGAATAAAGGAGAAGCTTTTATTATCTACTGTAAAATTTGTTGTTCCAAAAGCATCCATCTTGGTTTGGCAGCATTGTTACATGTGGATAGTGTAGGTTAGGATGGTACTTGTTAACTAGTACTAAGTACTTTTAAGGTTTTACTATCAAAGTGATGGAGTAGGTTTTAGTGTGTGTGCTGTTAATATAACTTGTTCTTGCCTTTTCCTGATATGACGTTTGAATGTTTTGTATTACTGTAGAGACAGCTGAGAGCTGAGGATATTGGAAGGTGGAATCTTGAATGGCTGAACTTCCGGGTCAAATAAGACGTATGGGCGGTGGAATTAGCCAACTGCTCGAACAGATATGTGGGTTTTCGAGAAGATGTTTGTTTCAGGTCATATCTATGGGTCCTATACCTAATCATCTCGCTTTTATCATGGATGGAAATCGGAGATATGCAAAGAAGTGTGGTCTTGAAGACGGATCTGGTCATAAAGCTGGGTTTTCTGCCCTTATGTTGATGCTACAATACTGCTACGAGCTGGGTATTAAGTATGTTACGATATACGCTTTTAGCATAGATAATTTTAGAAGACAACCTGAGGAGGTTCAGTCTCTAATGGATTTGATGCTGGAAAAGATTAATTCCTTGCTTGAGAAAGAGAGTATTGTTCATCAGTATGGGATTCGGGTCTATTTTATTGGTAACTTGGCGCTTCTGAATGACCAAGTGAGAGTTGCTGCAGAAAAAGTCATGAAGGCCACAGCCAAGAATAGTCGGGTAGTGCTTCTCATCTGCATTGCCTATAACTCGACAGATGAGATCGTACAAGCTGTCAAGAAATCTTGTATTAACAAGTCAGACAATATTAAAGCGTCTGGTAATTATAAACATGAGGATGCAGATAGTGATGTAGAAAGAAAGGATATGGAGAACCAAGAGGAAAGGATTCAATTGGTAGATATTGAGGAGAATATGCAGATGAGCGTTGCTCCGAATCCTGATATACTTATCAGGAGTTCAGGAGAGGCGAGGTTGAGCAACTTTCTCTTATGGCAAACAGGTAATTCCCAGCTCTGCTCTCCGGCTGCTCTGTGGCCTGAGATCGGTCTGAGGCATTTGGTCTGGGCTATATTGAACTTCCAAAGAAGCCATTCATACTTGGAAAAGAGGAAGAAACAATTGTGATTGTCCTGAAGTGAAGGATATACAAAAGCTCCCTTTTCTATTTTGGCTTCGTGCTGTGATGTGATGCTCTTGTAGTATACTATCAAAAGGAAACTTGGGATTACATAGAACAAAGCAATGTAATTTACACACAAACTCATTTGAGATTTTTGTTATGAACCCTTGACGAAAGAGTCCTCCCTAAAGACATTATACTTCTTGGTTCTGTACTCTTCAGGTCTGTTCTGTACTCACTTGAAGAAAACGGTGGATCAAGTTAAGTTTTTCCGATTCATAGACTCCTTTCTATCCTGAAAGAAGAAAGGTGTTTATAGGAGCTACGCGCTTCTGGCTACAAATTAAGTCATGTACATACATAAACTCAATTCATAACTATATACACTACTTCATTTGTGGTCCCATAAACTTGGAACCGTTACCATTACGATATAAGTCCTCATCATCAAGAACCTACCAATGTCTTTAACATCCTTTTTGATTAAGTCTTTGATGGGATACTTTAGAATCCAAGCAACACAATCAAATCGTTCTGAAACATAAAAATCTTGACCCAAGACAATGTTCCCTCACCAAAAACTATTTGAACCGTGTGTTGCAACAAGCTAGTGATGAACAATCCCACAGGTGTTTGTTTTCTCAAACCAAAATAAGATCTAAAGCAATGGTTCAGCCTTGATTGCAATATGAAATTTCGGTTTAGCTAATGTAAAACCCGAAAAACCGGGATTAGTTTCTGAACCGTACCGGATATGGACTCTGGTTCGGTAGGTTAGAGTTGTACAGACACTCGTGACTTAACCTGCAATTGAAACCTAAAACGTCGCGACTCTGCTCTCTGCAGAAATGGTTCTACTTTTGGCTTAAAGAGCCATGTTTTCGAGTTTTTGCCATGGCGGGTTTCATTAGGCGCAAAGGAAACGTATTTCCTCGGTCTCAGACCTTAGCTGCAGTCTACTCCAAGGTGAGTAATTTCTCCTCTTCGGATTCTCTCTTTTGGTTGATTAATCTCTCATCGGCAATTGGTCGAACACTTCATCTGCGTGTTTCTTCTTGTCTCTAGTTGCAGAGAAGCTATTGCATACTTGCTGAGGGAGTCATGGAGAAGTGTTCTACCATTCTTCAAGTTATTGACGAAGATATAAATTCAGGTGCTTTTGTGTTTTAGTGATACTTCTAAGCTGGTTTGGACGTAATTACTTGTTCTAAGTTTAAAGGTTGTTCCTTTTTTGTTTAATTGATCGATTTTATCAGTTGATACATCAAAGTGGAAGAAGGTACGAGCAAGTGATGCTGGAATTAGAAATTCAATGATCCCAGATTCCTCTATGAATGTGTTGAGACTTCTTAGACGTCAAGGTTTGTGTTTTGTATGTTTTGGGTTTACTGTTGGCATTGATTTAGAAGAGTACGGTAAGCTGAACTGTTGGATCATTGTCTTAGGTTTTGATGCATACCTTGTGGGTGGATGTGTAAGGGATTTGATACTACATAGAGTACCAAAAGACTATGATGTGATCACTACAGCTAATCTTAAACAGGTTTAGTGGATTGATTCTCTGATAGTGTTACTTAGTTTAGAACCGTATGTATTATTGCTTCATGCATCTAGTGTGTTTTGTAGATCCGGCGGTTATTTCATCGTGCTCAGGTTATTGGGAAACGCTTTCCTATTTGTCATGTGTGGATGGGAGGTTCGATAATTGAGGTCAGTTTTATGGCCTTTGCATAGTTTTTACCTAATTTTATAGTGTTGTAGTTTTATCTTCTGTTTAAGGTTACCGTATGCTTTTTGCAATTTTCTTTTCGTGTATTCCTTGACACTCCTTTTATAGGTGTCCAGTTTTGATACCGTGGCTCACAGTGACAGTGGGAGTGAAAATGATTTGGATAAGTCCAAAGAGAAATATGATGTTCCACTAGATATCGAGGCAGACAAGAATAACAGCCTCTTCAAATTGTATTCTGGTTGTGATGTAAGAGACTGTAATCGTTGGAGGAATAGCTTGCAGCGTGATTTCACAATTAACAGGTGTAGTTTCTGAAACACTTGTATGTACCGAAAGGGACTGTTGTCTGTTTGGCTGCATCATACACACCAACTAACTTGTGATATTTAAATATTGGTGCAGTTTATTCTATGATCCCTTTGACTTTAAAATTTATGACTACACCAACGGAATGGAAGACTTGACGGATCTTAAGGTAACTTACTTAGCTTAAGTTATGGTGATACATCTGTTGTTATTTCATATGTTATTAACCCTTGTTCGCTATTGAAAATACAGCTTCGTACACTTGTCCCTGCACATTTGTCATTCAAGGAAGATTGTGGTATGTCTTACTTATTGTCCTCTCGGCCTTGTATCTTGACAATACTTTATGTAGTTTAAAGCCCTAACCATTGTGTCATGTTTTTTTTTTGCCAAATACAGCTAGAATTCTTAGGGGGTTAAGAATTGCAGCACGATTGGGTCTATCATTGTCAAAGGATGTTGAGACTGCAATACCTGAGTTTGTATCTTCCGTTGCAAATTTGGGCCAGGTACTCTGACTGCTTGAACTGGGATATACTTGGAATCACTTCCTTTATGTTAAATAAAATGTGTTCATGGTCTCAGCTATTAAATTCTGTCCTGTCTTTGCTCAGTTTAGATTAATCATGGAAATGAATTATATGCTTGCGTATGGAGCTGCTGCGCCTTCCATCCTTCTTCTCATGAAGTTCAAACTACTTCATGTGTTACTTCCTTTTCAGGTATCCCATTTGTTAATTTTCAACACTCTCTATCTCTCTCTTTCTTTCTTTTTAACACTTTTGACTTGGATGAATTTGGATTTCAGGCAGCTTACCTGGATCAAGCTAGTGAAACATCTCTATCAACTTCCTTGATGCTAGTGGTACGTGATATCTTCATGCAAGGAGCATTTTATAGTGAATCCATTGTGACATTACTGAGTTTGGTTTATGGTTTATTTAGAGGTTATTCTCCAATATGGATAAATTGGTTTCCTGCGATCAACCAGCTGACTCCAAACTATGGTGCGTCATTTCTTTATATCAATAGGAACATGACTTTTCTCTTAGTGAGCTCTCTTAGTGAGCTCTCTTTAATGCCCTGATTTGTTTTACACAGGATTGCAGTGTTAGCTTTTCACATTGCACTAGTACGTAACCCCCAGGAGGCTATTGTAGTGCGCGCTTTCGCTGCTTTGCTCTACCATCGAAACTGGAGGAAAGCTGTTGAGTTTGCTAGAGGACATGAAACTTCAGTAGTCGGATACACTCCTGAGGTATTAAAATCTTTGAGAAAGAGATCTGATGAAGATCTTGCTGAAGCAGTTTCAGAATTCATATGTATATTAAAAGATACTCAATACGTTCTGACTGATATAGAGGCTCTCCGCGAAGCCCTATACCTATACCCGGATTTCAAATTCTCTGGACTGGTTAGTACAAAGTGCATATTTACTTCTCAGTTTGAGTACAAAGTTTCATTGTGTTAAGACATATATTCTCTGTTCAAGTATGCCTATAATGTTTCTACCAAGAAAAAGAGTATGCCTATAATGTTTATCAATGACCCCAGATATCTGCTTCACTTTTTCTTAACTGAGCAGTTAATGTTGTAATTGATTGATGTGGTCTCTCAGGTATTTATACCGAAGAAAAAGGGGAGAGATGTAGCAGAAGGGTTTGCGAGATTGAGTGATGTTGAATATTACGAAAGCGAAAAGGAGGGATTCTCTATTGACTATCTCTCACTTGGGAAGGGAAATTCATGTGAAGTAAGATTTGTTCTTGGCAAAATCATTCTGGACACCATCACAGAAGGTATCGTCATTGAACCTCTAAACTCAGTCAAGAAGAAGCAGAACACCAGTAAGCAAAATGTTCCAGCGACTTGCTTGGAGAATAAGGATGAGTTGGTTGTTTCTAAATCGTCAAAGGAGGATAACAACAATCAAGCTCCAGTCCATGGCTCAAATGCATCATCAGTTTTAAAGATTTTGAAGAAGATGAGAAAAGACAATGAGAACAAGAATGACCAAGAGACCGATGTATGTCCAAGAACCCTCTCTGGTCCAGCAGAGAATCAAGATAAATCTATAGTTCAAAAGCTGAAAAGACGGCGTAGCAAAGAAGCACTAGTCTCTGAGCCGCCTAAGCAAAAGACTGCAAAGAGGTTGAGATCAGATGACCAAGAGGCGGTTGGAAGTCTCTCTATACCTGCAAATAATGAGCATCAGAGTAATAAGCATTGCACAAATGCACCGATCAGTGAGCCACCTATGCAAAAGACTTCAAAGAACCGTTCAAAGGAGATGCAAAAAGTGAAGCACAACGATTTGCCTGTGAAGGAGCTTCAAGAAGCAAACAGCAGCTTCGTTTCTGACAAATCTATGAGCGATCTTCTGAAAGTTCTTGAGAAATCAAGTCAGCAAGCGTCTGGCAAAGAGGATAGCGACGGCTTAGGCTCTTCATCAGAGAAGACGAAGAGACCAAAAAACCTCTCAAGCCTTTTCATGTGAAATAGTTACCCTACTGGTGTTTGGGGGCCTAAAGTCAAGATGGCAACATTCTTGCCGACTCAGAAGGTCTCCCTTCAGTCACGGTCGCACTTCACAAGTTTTAGGTACGACATGTAGAAACTTGAACCAATTTGTTTCATTTTGTTTTTATTTGGTCACTGGGGAAGAGAAATTTTGGCCCTGCGTAATATAATAGATGCAAATTAGATATTTATTCGTATCTTTGTTACATTTAGATTCAAATACTTTTCTTCGTTCGTATCAAGTCAGATTTTAGTACGATTCCATCGTTCTTGTTCTTTGGATCCAGAGAGCGATTTTATCGAATTTAACAAAATTTTATTCTCTTGGAGTAGTGGGAATACAAGTCTGACAGGAAAAAACACACACACACACTTGTCCAGTACCGTACAAAACAAGTTTACAACGTTTCCGACATCTGACATCTTAATTGTGGGACGAACGATAAAGACGCCAATGCGCACGGTCTAAATTCCTTTGCACCCAAAAAGAATAACAAGATATAGAACAAGAAGTTGTCTCATCAGACAACTTGAAGTATACGGAGCTCGAGCAGCGGGCTTTACATTTATTGCAGAACGGTCGAGTGCTACTATCGTTGCAAATAACTTTCACACTTAAAGATCTTTCATCGAACGTGTAGCCTGGTTTCATATAAGCGGATCTCCCAAATACGCACTTACAATGGATAGTGATGTTAGGTTTGTTACATGTATAGAACCATTCGCGTGGATCTAGTGTTCCCTCACATACTTCGCACCAGTATGTTTCATCAGAGACTTCTCCATAACAAAGGGAGAGAGGAACTGCATCATATTTGTAGTGTAGCTTATCTGGAATAGTGGCACACTCGTAACATAAAGCAAATTCGCATACAGTACAACGGAGATGTAAAATATTCTTCTCGACCTTGCAACCCCCACATAGATAATGGATATCATTAGATTTAGATATAGGGATGAATAAGGGATGTTCGTGGCTTTTGTGGGTAAAACAATCAGGAAGTAAGATGCATCCAACATCTATCTGAAACGCGTTGGCTTTGTTAATGTTATAATCATCACAATTCTTTTTGGTGCACTTGTACTTGAAACCAGCGAACTCTCGGGCACAAATAAAGCAGTCCCCGATATAGGGCATTCGTGGAGGGATAGGGTCTAGAAAAAGAGGGTGATGATGCAACGCATGATGTAGTTTTCGAGGAAGATTTGCGCATACCTCGTGAAGAAAAAAACCACATTGCATGCAGTTGTAGAAATCACGAGAGTCGATATGAAGGGTGCATGATTGACATTGCTTGTCTGTGTCTCGAACAACATCGTACTTCTTAAGTTTTAGATGATGTTCATGACAAAAGTACTTTATCATATCATCACCAACTTTGATGAATGGCGCAACATCTTCGGTTTTGTCAAATGCTTCGGGTTCCCATTCAAGTTCAATCCCATCCCATACTCTTCTATGTGTTGCACACTTGGAATGGACTACATAAGAGCAATCATCATGATTGCAAACGTACTGGCTATACTTGATATCCACTGCCTTGTAGCAAATAGGACAAGATGGAAAAATTGTGGAAGAAAGAAAAGGAGTGAAAGAAAGACGATGAGGGTGTCGGGTGATTTTTATGACGCGTGGGAGACCTATACAATACCTATGTACCACATAGTTACACTGAAAACAAGCGTAACTTGGCTCCGATCTTTCTACCAACCCACAAGCATCACATGGAACCAAAAGTGGCCGAGAAATGAAAATGAGTGGATGGTGATGGCTTTTTGGTTTTTGGATTATAGGAAGTGGGAAATTTTGGGAACAAGGGTCACACAAACAAAAGTTACAGATAGAACATCTGTAAAAATATTCACAGCGATCCAGGTTTTGTCCACACCAAGTGCAATTACGAAAGATGTTACCAGGATCATGGATGCCGGAGGAGGAGGAGGCGGCCATGAGACTCTTTTCAATGTAGTCGAGTTTATTGGAGACGTCATATATAATCCTGGTTTCGCCATTTAGTGCAGTTAGACTGAGGGGATGTTGTGGGTGATAAGGGTGTGTCATCTTCCTTGGACACAAGTGACACTCTATGTGAAACCCTACATCACATTTTTTACACCGATAATGATAGGAACAAGATAACGACTTTTCATTTCCTTGGACACCTCCAAAACAGCCAGCGGGAGGGTTTTGGCCACTATTATAGGCCACTATTGTGTGAGGATGTGCTGGATGTGACAGACGGCATATGTACTTTTCTTCTGACTCTTCTTCGTCTTCGATTGTTACCGACTCTTCTTTTTCTTCGCCACCAGACATTTTTTTTTTTTAATCTTCTTGTTTTTATTTTTTTTCTTTAAAAAAAAAAAAGAAGTTTTTGATTCAGGAACTTCTTTACAATTGTTATGATCAAATAGGTGTCCGTTATATGTATATACTAGATGATGACCCGCACGTACGTGCGGGTGTATTTTCAAAACATATTTTGCTGGTTTAGTTTTTTTAAATAATGTAATGTGATTTGGCTTTTTATAATTTTTTTTTCAACTAATGATTGCATTTGTTAACTGGAGTAGTATAATAGAAATTGTTGAATTGGAAAACCAAAGTTTATAATGAGAAAGTCTTGAAGATTGTATTGAAAGAAATGTAACCGAAGTCATACTTGCAAGAAATGAAAAGAAAAAATGGAGAATTATAATTTAAAGGTTCTTGAACACTTCTTTGAAGATCACATTGGTTGTCATTAGTTTCTGCCATTTTTTTGATAGAAAAAATGTGTTTATCGCTAATAATCTTTTTGGAGGATTATACATCATCGATAGATTCTTCTCTTATTTATATTAATACTAATGGAACTTAGAATATTCTTGGTATTTTTTATTTTCATATATTTAGTTGTTAATGTTTGTTATAGTTTTGAATTTCGAAATTGTTAGGTATGATTTTTTGGTTTAGGAAATAAAATTAATCGTGATTTGATGAATATAAACTAATGAATAAATTGTTTGCTATATATTAGGAATGTATTTTTAAGAGTGATTATATTATTTATTAAACCCAAAATTTCGTGGATGAAGGTTCATTTAATTTTATGAGTTTTCTAAAATTGTTTCTATCTAAAATTGTTTGCTATAATTTAGCTAAATTTGTTTCTATTATTTTGGTTATGTAGTTTTCTTAAAAATAGATTGGTTTTGTTTTACTTTTTTGGTTGTATAAACTATGATTGACTTATACAAAATGCTTCCCTTTTAATAGTATAGATAGAAAATATGTTTATCAAAAAGAAAATATATAGTACAAGGTTGCCCACCTCACATATATATTTTAGTTGTGTCAGTTGAAACATCTAAGTAGTTTTTGCATAAAAATGCAAGTCAATCAAAAAACTCATTTTGAGCTCTTGGTGATGCTCTTATTTTGTTAACCTAACCAATTAATGGTAGAGTAATTTATAAAACGTTTCAAATATTTTATAGATTTTTATAAAAACATACAAAATTATATTTATATACTCCCTCCATTCAATTTTATTAAATTTTTGAGCTAAAAGCATAGTATTTAAGATACAATAAATGCTTTATTATTTTTACATAAAATATATTATTAAATATTTATTTAAAAAACTAACCAATAGAAAAATGGACCAGAGAATACAAATATTCATAACATACTAAATAAACATTGATGATGCACCAAAATCTGGATTTTTTATATAAAATAGAACAAAATAAAAAGGCTTAAAAATCTTATAATTTGGAACGGAGGAAGTATATGTAAAATAGGCAGTTTATGACAACTCGTTTAAACACGATATGTAGGCAGAAAACACAAATAAATTAATTAGCACAATGTTTATATTATTAACAACGACCCAAATACAATTTTTATATAAAACATGACTCCAGGCTGTACGTATGACTTATAGCAATTAAGAACAATTTTTAAGTGAAATGAAAAATATCAGAACAATAAGACCAAAGAAAGAGTTAGAGCAGCTCCATCAAAGAAGGAGAGTGTCTCTTAAAATACAATATTGTTACTTAGAAGTTAGAACATGTCCATCAAGGAGAGTGTCTCTTTAAATATACATTCTAAATTAGCATCTATTAACGTAGATGTTGTATTAGTAACTTCTAAAGGAAGTTGAGTATATATATTTAGTCATGCAAGATCATACTAAAATGCTGATGAGCAATTATATCTTTTATGAATTGTGCATAACATTTGCTACTAATCTCTCTGCAGCATATAACTCATTCTTATGAATAAATTTTGAGATGAGTTAAAACTTATCATTTATTGCAAAAGTACGAGTGATTTGAGCTTATTATATTTTGAAATCTTCGAGTTTGATATAGTTGGTTTTGCATATGGAAGATTTCTTTTTTTTTTTATGTAAATATATATCGCAAAACAATGACTTGGTGGAGTTTTAGTGAAAGACTTTAATCGTCGCTTGCTCAAGTCATACCAAAGTTATTATGATTCATTAAGCATATCGAAAATCAGTAACGGCTCAAATTTAAGCCCGAACGTATACAAAAAGTAAGCAAGATAATAACCATAGCCAACAACATTGTTTGAAGACATTCCAAAGGAAACTACATCAAAAGCAACAAAACAAAACATATTTCTCCAAAGTGAATCTCATACACTCAAGAATTCGAGAAAAATAGGAAATTTGATCCAGTAAGTACATAGTCTCAAGTAACAATGTAACAGATTTACTTGCAAATGTGCTTCTTGCTATACATCATCCAAAAAAATATATATATATTTCCGGGGAAGGAATATGATTACTCGTGTGGCTGCACTCTTTCTCTTATCATAGTTTGTATTTCATTTAGTTTTTAATTACATGTCAAAGTTTTTAAGGAGCCAGCAAATAATAGACCTCAAAGGAGAGTGATTAAAGTATAGTTCTCTTCCAAAAGAAATGTAATATAATGTTGTTATTGATTCTTTAAACATCGCATTCTCCATTCCAGTTACATTTAATGGATTGTTGTAAAATATATCTCTATATAGCTATCTTTGTGTTTCTAAGGAATAATTTCTTAAGGTATATAGTTAAAATACTAATCGTATGTGATTATGTTATTCTTGATTCTTGTCCATCGCATTCTTCGTTACCCACGCTATTTCAATCTACACCTTCGTAATCCCACTTGTGATGAAGCCTTCCCATAGATTGGCAAAATTTGGTTGTATAAATTATGTTGTCTACTATAACAAATCCGTCACAATAACTAGTTGTTGACCCGCACTGCGCGCGGGAGGTTTATAAAATTTTTATTTTATTTTTAGTTGTATTATCATTTTTCGTTGTTTTTTTTTTGTTTTGCATTGTTTGATTTGTTGGCTTTTGATTGTTGTTATTTTCTCAATTTTATAGTAATTTAGTATTTGAAATGTTTATCATATTGGTATTCATCAGAGGTCGATGGGAAGTTTATGCGGTATTCTCTCTTTTTACTAAGTATGTGATTAGAGAGATAAAGTTTCCGGTGTTTGGGTTTTGATATATTCTAGGATCTGGCTTGTTTCCCGTTTTTTCCTTCGTTCGAACCCGTGTATTCCGGCCAATGATTTTGAAATCGGTATCGTTGTTGTAGATGTATCGCCCTTGTAAACGATAGTTCTAGAAAATGTTTTTCATGTTCCGTTTAATCATCCAGTTCCAAACTCGTGTATCCCACATTTTTCTGATTTTTTAACCGGTTTGATTGTTATGTGTTGTATCTCATGCCCATGCTTTTTTAGATTTTGTATTTTGATTGTTGTTAAAGTGTTGGACCTCAAGCCCATATTTTTTTGGATTTAGTAAAAAGAAAAATGATGGTGTGGTGGATGATGTGGCGCTGACGTGGCGGAAGCAGAAAAGAGGAAAGATAACTTTATATATATAGATATTTGAATCATTTAAATTCAATATAATTATTTTCGACGAAATAAAAAAAGACCTAAATTACAACTTTATATGCAACTAATTGTGATAAAAGTTAGGAAAAACAATTCCGTAACAGCAATTTAAAAATTAATTAGTGAAATGGAAATAATATATGTACAATAAGACAAAAGAGTTACAGGCTGTTTCGAACTTTCAATTATATTTTGAATTGTTTTCTTTTTAAATAATGTGGTGTACGTTAATAATAAGTTAAACGATACCACAGACAAAGTTTCTCCTTAATCATTGACTTTTAAGTTTTGTTCGAATGCGCTGCCCAATTAATACCATGACTCACAATGATAACTTAACAGCATCTATAGCATTTTCATAGGGCATGTACATGTCTTTTTACCAATAACTAAAGTGAAATGAAAATCCAATTAACACCCTCAAAGCTTATCTTCGATGATTTTGTGGTAACATCAAATCAAGTAGTGACGTAGAAAAAAAAAAAAAAAACTACACTTCATGATCATTAATTGTGTATCGGTCTTCCAGTACTGCTTTATAAAATGCAATTAGGTAAGATCGATAAACACCAATGATCAAGAACTATATTATTTTATTTTCATTGTCACATTATGATTCTATGTTACCACAAGATCATCGAAGATGAGTTTTGAGGGTGTTCATGCGACTAATTTACTCACTTTTGATTATTGGTTCAAAACAATATTGCCCCAATATATGGGAAACATCGTATGAAACTCTTAATGTTAGGCCTCTCGATCTTTCGTCGGCGAAAAGTTGCTTCCTCTCGTAAAGCTGCAGTAATATGATTAGAAGAGAATTAGTTACAAAATTTAATTAGTATAGATCGTTGTGTGTACAATTAGTTTCTTACATAGCATGATATAATAGAATTATAATAGTGTTACATAATAATTAAAAAATTGAATAAAATCTGCTCAAAACATTGTTTTGATCCTAAAACCATGATATGTCTAAAATGCTGCAATAAAATAAAAATATAATTGATAAACTGTTTGTGGGAAAAATGTCTGTTAAAAGACTAAACTAAAACAAATAATTTGCACATAGTTGTAGTGATAACATGTGTGACAACAATGAACAAGATCTTGTTTTTGACCAACCAATTAATTAACAAGTAAGAGTTTTATTGATAAGAACAATGCACATGTGTCACAATATACAGGCTGTTTCAAATCGTTTCTTAAACAAATTAATTAAAAGTATACAAATTTTACTAATTATTGAATAAATTCAAATAGTAGGGAAATAATTGAAAATTTAAAATGATTTTGCATAGAAATCACAAAATGACACTATTCATAAAACCAAGATAAAATGTTAAAACCAAAATTACAACTTTCTTTTACAAACTTCGCTTACAATATTTTTTTTTACATAAATGAAATAATAAAAATATAAAATAAATGTTATTACAAAACATTTATTCCGGTTCAACGTTCTCAAAACTGTCCATGTCGGATGTCCAAATACAAAGCCAAGAACAAAAAGCCTTCTCAAACAACTTGTAGTATATATGATCCGGGCAACGATGGTCACACTTATAACAAACCGGACGAGTTTGACTATTGTTGCCAAGAATACTCATCGTAACAGATCCCAAATAAAACGTTACACCTGACTTGATATAAACGGATGATTCCAATAAACACTCAAGATGGATAGTGATGCAACATTTGTTGCATGTGTAGAACCATTCTCTTGGATTTACTTCTTTCTCGCATACTTCACACCAATATGCTTTCTTTGCATCTTCTCCATAGCAAAGAGAGAGAGGATGTGTATCGTATTTGTAGTATAACTCATATGGAATTGTAGCGCAACGATAACACATAGCGAATGAACATATGGTACATTGCAGATAGTATTCGCTACGAACAGTATCTTTGCAGCCAGCACAAGAGATGATACCTTTTCTTGAATATGATGTTGAGATGAACAAAGGATGTTCATGACTTTTGTGGGTGAAATAATCAAGAACTAAAATGCATCGAAAATCTAACTGAAATGTATCGTTGTCATCGTCGCAATCAGGCTTTGAGCATTTGTACATGAAACCAGTGGACTCACGGGCACAAGTCGAACAACTTGTGGAATTGTAATCGAGTATAGGAGAAGGGTCTAGAACAAGAGGATGCTTATGCAAGGCATGAGCTAGTGTTTTAGGAAGACCAGCACATACCTCGTGAAGAAAGAACTCACATTGTATACAATTGTAGAAATCATAAGAGTCGATACGAAGGATGCATGCTTGACATTGTTTCTTTGCGTCTCGAACACTATCATACTTCTCAAGCTTAAGATGATGTTCATGACAAAAGTACTTTATCATATTTTTACCCACTTTCTTGAATGACGCGATATCTTCAGTGTCATCGGGTTCTTCTGGTTCCCATTCGAGTTCTCTCCCGTCCCAAACGTGCTTATGTGTTGCGCATTTGGAATGGGCAACATAAGAACAACCTTCATGATCACAAGAATACTGACCATATTTGATGTCGACTATCTTGTAGCAAACTCGACAAGGTGGAGTTGTGGGTGGAAGGAAAGGATTGTGAGAGAGACGATGTGGGTGACGCGTGATTTTTATGACACGAGGTAAGTCGATACAACTCTCATGAACCACATAGTTGCATTGGAAACAAGAATAACTTGGTTCCAACAAACTAACCAGCCCACAAGCTACACATGGAATTAAGAGTGGCCAAGGGAATAAAGAGAGGGAATGATGATGGCTTTTTGGATTTGTGATAGTAAGAGTTGGAAAATTTTGGGAGCAAGAGAAATCCAAACAAAAGTTACAAATAGAACAACAATAGAATTGTGATCCATCTCTCAAATCATCTCCACACCAATTACATTTCTTGAATATGTAACCATGTTCGAGTGTGTTAGATATGATCTCTACCTCAATGTTTTGAGTGGTGAGGGTGAGAGGATGTTGAAGGTGATAAGGGTGTGTGAGCTTCCTCGGATACACATGGCAAATATCATGGAACTCCACATCACAAGTGGTGCAGGAGTAATGGAAGGTACAAGACGGTGAAGGTTCTTCTTTGTCGCACGCGAAGCAACCCGATTTAGGGATTCTTCCGGCTATACGGGAAAGAGTGTGAGGGTGAATTGGATGAGATAAACGGCATATTGGCTCGTCTTCATTAACAGCCATTTTCTTCTTTCCTTTTTTCTGGTTTGGTTCTAATATGTTTATCTGAAATAGTATCATATGCTCACATCGTGTGGAGATGACTTTGACTAAATGTGAACACTAGTTAAAATGGTTAGGGACTAAAATAATCTAGACCCAATATACAAATTACATATAAGTACAAATTATTCTATTAAAAAATAAGCCGAGATTATATTTATAGACAACTTCATTAAAAGTATTGTCCATGATCTGTCTCTCGTCTCTCCCAGACTGTCCATATCTCAAAGTCTCAAACAATAGTGATAAACTGATAACGTATGTGACAACGATTCACAATGATTTATTTCGGCCAACGAAGTTATTAATACAAGTCTATGCGAAGTTATTAATAAAGTCTGTGGCCAACGAAGTTGTTATTAAAGTTTTTTTTTTTTTTTTTATGAAAAAGTAGAAGTAATTCTGTTAACATGTAAATAATCCAATATATATTTTGATATTTTGATTTTTTGTAGGGTAAAACGATGAAATCGTGTATATGGAACTTTTACCTTTTTAGTTTAAAAAACTTACAGACAAGATTATGAAGCAAAACTTTACTTGTAGAAAATTTCCAATTTGAAAATTGAATAAAATTTTCAAAGATTTATGATAGTTTCCCCTATATATATATATATATATATAAATATATATATATATATATATATCTATATTTATAATATATTAATTGACACTACAATTAAATTGCACTCATATTTATTGGGGGAGTAAGTATATCAAACTTTACTTAATATATTAAAAGATTTTTAATTTGGGGTGTTTTTTACTACTTGTTAATTATTCAACTGATGATTTTTAAAAATCTCTTGAAATCCTGTGCTATTGAATTTAAAATTTACGAATATTTATTGTAAAATAATTTACAATCTCTTATTATTCAATTTATAATTTGTAAAACTAATATCAAATCTAGCGTTATTAAAAATATTTAAAGTTTTTTCTTAGAGACAAATTTTCTAATTTTTTTTTTGTTGAAAAATATGACTCAAATCATCCTAGTTCTAGAGGTTAAAATCCTTTGATTATGTTTGTTTCTATAGATAGTAGTACATAAGTAACTGTAAAGTTGTTTGGATATAAATATATCAATAATATAGATTATAATTCTTATGAGAAATGAAGATTTTTGGTTTAAAAATATACTTCAAAAATATTCATATAGATAGCAATAAATAGAAAAGTCTTTGTGTATTTGAAAACATGGATGGATTTGTTAGCAATCGACACCTTTTCACGGAAACCAAAGCGAGTGTGGTTGGGTCACTACCTATCCTTCGTTAGTAGCCATATAATACAAACAATCAAATGTGTTGTCGTTAGTAAAATTCAGCAGCAACAATGAAACCAACGTGAAAAATCGGTTTTTTCATACGCTTCCAAATGTGTTATATTAAATTTATACACTAACAACAATACTGCAAACATTATTCATGATATGTATAGTAAAACTGTAAAAGTATACAAGAAACTATTTCATAAACCACATTGTAATACAAATCTGAAGAATAATATATCGAAAACACACACATATCATTATTTAGTCGAACTTACAGATTGATCCAAATAAACCAAGCCTAGCCTAACCTAACCAATAGACCACGATGGTATCCGACACACGACCAGTTCAGCTAGTTTGGTAAAAGAAACAAACACAATGACACTCTTTATCTTAACTTATATATTATGCGTTTTGGTTTACGAAAATAATAATAACCTTTTTTACTTAATAAGTACTAGTTTATTAAAAAACCTCTATAGAGAAGGAGGCTCCCCCACGTTCACGGTATCATTCCCTAGCATTACATGTTATGTCTAGATTTTCGTAAACATTGACTATATTCTTCCCTTTTAATTATGCTTATGTATTCGATATATGATGGTAGTAGCTGATTAACTTGAGTCGACATGCGTAATTTTACTGTTCATGTTCTTAAAAGAATTTTTGATAGACATTAGACAATGTTCTCGATGCTCTTTGTGATAAGAGAGAACAACGAAAAAACTTGTCAAGATTTTCAAATACTTGTGAAAGTTATATGGTTTTTTTTTTACTTTTATTTATAACAACTTTCACAATGTTTCAAAAAGATTAACAAGGGTTTGGAGAAAAAAGGACAAAATTGTTTTTGATAAAACATACATACATACATACATACATGTATATATATATTTATTTTTTTCAAGTTATATATAGATAGATTTAAACTCTAAATCGTGAAATATAAGCTCTAATCTTTCTTTTTTGTCATAATGTAAGCTCTAATCCGAAATTCCAAATAACTCTCTCACAGAGTCACAGGCCAGCAAAATTCCAAATTACTGTACTAATTTATTATAAAAAAATAATTAATTATTTCACCTACAAAATAATTTCAAATGGGGAAATACATAAATAGTAACTCTCTCTCTCTCACGGGCCAACATATTAATAATTCTCGGTACGGAATCTCTGGTCTGGTTTCCCTAAAACGAATTTAATTCTCTGAGAGAGCATGATTAGCCTAGCTCTCTCTGTTAATGTGATTTAACTATTAATTATGTTCTTCTTACTCTAAAGATTATACAATATTACTACGAATAAGCTAAAGTTTTTAATCAAAAAGTTGGTTAGGGGCGCGCATAATGGAGCGTCTTAAAAAAAAAAGGAAAAAAAAAAATGAAAGTTTGAAATAATGAAAGAAGAAGGAAACGAAGAAGCCACATGCCATGAACCAAAGTTACCGTTGTCTTTATAGAAGTAAATCTGTTTCTCATTCATGATCCAACGGTTATATTCTCATCTCAGCCGTCCCTTTCTCTTTTAAAAAAAAAATCAAACCTTTTAATATATTTTTTTTTGTTATCTTTCTCTTTTTTTTTTGCTTATTTCATCTCCTTTGTTCAGATTCGACTTTGTATCAGACTTGGATTCTCTTCCTTTTTTTCATGCTCTTCTTCTTCTTCTTCTTCTTCTCTCTTTGTGGGTTTCTCTTGGATTAATTCAAAACATCGAAGAAATACAAAAATGGTTAATTCATGTGAGAACAACAGAGTCATTGAATCTACTACAACGACGATTCTTCAAGGTGACTCTTGAATGATAATTTTTTTAGGTATTCTAGAAGTACCAATGGAGAATTCTGACAGAATGTGTTTTTGTTCTGTTTTTCTTTTTTTTGTAATAGATGAAACGACAAGTAGAAAATTCGGACAAGAGATGAAGAGAGAGAAGAGAAGAGTCTTGGGTGTGATTAACCATAATCATCTTGTTGGTGGTGCAAGTTTTGTCAACAAGAGAGGAACCTTAGTATCGAAGTACGTTTTAACTTAATCTCTAATCTCACAAGTTTGTGTCTTTTTTTTCTCTATTTGATTGTGCTTATGGGTTTTGATTGATTTGAATCAGTAAGCAACAAGAAGAAGGATGTCAAAAGAAGAAGATTAATTCTCTGCGTCCCTCAGTTACAAGGTACATAAAGTTTGAATCTTTAATGTCAATTTGTTTTATTTTGCAAGAAAGAAAAAATCTGAGATTGTTTTAAATTATCTAGATCTGGAGTTGCAGAGGAGGCGAAGAAGAGGCTGAAGCCATCAGTTCCAAGTTCAAGTGATTTTGGTGACTGTATATTTGTTGATGAAGAGGAAGAAGCTACATTGGACCATCCAATGCCAATGTCGCTTGAGAAGCCATATACAAGCATCACTGAAGCTGATCCACTGGTAAACAATAATAATGAACACTTAGAATGCTGAATTTGTAGCTTAACTCAATCCATAGATCAATGAATTTAAAGAAACTTTGTTTGGATAGGAGGAAATTGAGATGGAGGATGTAACAGTGGAAGAACCGATCTTTGATATCGATGTCTCAGATGCCAAGAACTCACTTGCAGCTGTTGAATATGTTCAAGATCTTTATGCCTTCTACCGGAAAATGGAGGTAAAGTTATTGCATCTGTGTTTTGAAGTAACAAGTATTGCTTGAGAGGAGCTTGTTTAATTAGACAGAGTTGTTTGATTTGAAATTGCAGAGCTTTAGCTGTGTTCCAGTAGATTATATGATGCACCAAATCGATTTAAATGACAAGATGAGAGCAATACTAATAGACTGGTTAATCGAGGTACATTATCCACAACATTATATTCCACTGTCCTCTCTGCATTGTACTGTCTAGTTTTTGATAGAGGCTAAAGAAGATTAGGTGAAATTTTCAGGTACATGACAAGTTTGATCTGATGAACGAGACACTGTTTCTCACAGTGAATCTGATAGATAGATTCTTGTCCAAGCAAGCTGTTATGAGAAAGAAGCTTCAGCTTGTTGGATTAGTGGCTTTGCTTTTAGCTTGCAAGTACGAAGAGGTTTCTGTTCCTGTTGTCGATGATTTAGTACTCATTTCAGACAAAGCTTACACAAGAGAAGACGTTCTTGACATGGTAATGACTGAGAAATAAATCTTGGCACATTTATGTTAAGACAATCTCTGATTGAATGATTTTATTTTCTCTCTACAGGAGAAGACAATGTTGACTACTTTCCAATTCAATATTTCGTTGCCGACACAGTACCCTTTCTTGAAAAGATTCTTAAAGGCAGCTCAAGCAGACAAGAAGGTAAGTTAAAAACAATGAATCTCATGAATCAGTTTAACTAGAAGTTTGAATTTAGAAAGGAACTAACTGTGAAACTGTTAATAACAAAAACAGTGTGAGGTCTTGGCATCGTTCTTGATTGAGCTTGCCCTTGTAGACTACGAGATGCTTCAGTTTCCACCATCATTACTAGCTGCCACATCTGTGTACACTGCTCAATGTACACTTGATGGTTTCAGGCAATGGAACAGTACATGTGAATTCTACTGTCATTACTCTGAGGATCAGCTCATGTAAGTCTCTCTCTCTCTCTCAGCTAAACACTAATTTTGTTACACAAAACTGGTCTATGTCATCCATAGTCACAAAAGACTGATCTTCTTAGTTGTAATCGCGGATTTCGCAGGGAATGTTCACGGAAACTGGTGAGTCTTCATCAGAGGGCGGCGTCGGGAAGCTTGACAGGAGTATATAGGAAGTACTGCACATCCAAATTTGGGTACATAGCAAAATGTGAAGCTGCACACTTTCTAGTACTATCTTAGTCTTATCATTTTTAAGCCAAAAGGCCAATTAAGTAGTTTGTACAGCATGTTGCATAGCTTCTTATTCACCTTGTAACAATCTGTTCACTTCACTTCCGGATTAAACTCTATAATGAATGATAAAATGATTGAATCATTATTTTAATGATAAATATATTAAAATACAATTTTGTAAACAATTTTACATGAATTTTTGTTCAATTTTATGATGTTTTATTGGTTTGTGTATCACTTATACTATGTTTTTGTAGCATGTAGCTCAAATACAAAAATACACATCAAAATCAAATAGATCAATCAATCAATGTGTATTAAATGTATATTTTGTATTTGAGCTACTTATCAAAAACAGCGTCGTTTTCGTTGTTTTAACTTTGACCTGTTTGTTTGAGATCTCTCCCACCAACTCACTTCACACTTCACTTCACATCTTTTGGGAAAACAAGTTTTAAGATTCCTTGAAGATCAACGATAATGGCGGCGACGACAAGCTCATTCCTCATCGGAAACCAAACTCAGATCCCTTCCTTGAAACCCAGATCAATTTCTCAATCTTTCATCCACCTCACCAAACCCAACACCATCAACCTCACCACCAGAAGAACCAAATCCGTTTCAATCCGATGCGCTTCCGCTTCAACCGCCGTCGGATCCGAGCAACGGGTCTTCAATTTCGCCGCCGGTCCAGCCGCATTACCGGAAAACGTCCTTCTCAAAGCTCAGTCAGATCTCTATAACTGGCGTGGATCTGGTATGAGTGTCATGGAGATGAGCCACCGTGGTAAAGAGTTTCTGTCGATCATTCAAAAAGCTGAATCTGATCTCCGTCAGCTTCTCGAGATTCCATCGGAATATTCTGTTTTGTTCTTACAAGGAGGTGCCACCACTCAATTCGCTGCTTTGCCTCTTAATCTCTGCAAATCTGATGACTCAGTTGATTACATTGTTACGGGATCTTGGGGAGATAAAGCTTTCAAGGAAGCTCAGAAGTATTGTAATCCTAAAGTGATTTGGTCTGGTAAATCTGAGAAGTACACAAAAGTTCCATCTTTTGATGGATTGGAGCAGAGTCCGCACGCCAAGTATTTGCATATATGCGCCAATGAGACGATTCATGGAGTTGAATTTAAAGATTACCCTGTTGTTAAAAACCCTGATGGTATCCTTATTGCTGATATGTCTTCCAATTTCTGTTCCAAGCCTGTGGATGTATCGAAGTTCGGTGTGATTTACGCGGGTGCACAGAAGAATGTTGGTCCTTCTGGTGTCACCATTGTGATCATTCGAAAGGATTTGATCGGTAACGCTAGAGATATCACTCCTGTGATGCTTGATTACAAGATTCATGATGAGAACAGCTCGTTGTACAACACGCCTCCGTGTTTCGGGATTTACATGTGTGGTCTTGTGTTTGATGATCTGTTGGAGCAAGGTGGTTTGAAAGTAGTGGAGAAGAAGAACCAGAGGAAAGCTGAATTGTTGTACAATGCCATTGATGAGAGCAGAGGGTTTTTCAGGTGTCCTGTTGAGAAGTCTGTGAGGTCTTTGATGAATGTTCCTTTCACGTTGGAGAAATCGGAGTTGGAAGCCGAGTTTATCAAGGAAGCTGCTAAGGAGAAGATGGTGCAGCTCAAGGGACATAGATCGGTGGGAGGTATGAGAGCTTCCATTTACAATGCAATGCCTTTCGCTGGTGTCGAAAAGCTTGTTGCTTTCATGAAAGATTTTCAGGCAAAGCATGCTTGATTCTTTTTTGCTTTCTGGTCGTCTTGTTGTGTATTAAGCTTTGATGCTTATGATTTTGAGTTTTTTTTCTTTCGTTTTCCTGTACTTGAAGTCCAATTGTCTCTGGAAATTTTGCAGTAATAATAATCTGAGATGCTAGGTTTCAATCTCAAGCAAGATTCATTTATACTTTTATGTTTGTCTGACACTCTTGAGTTGAGACTGGAGAAGATGAACTGATGGAAACTTCCAAGTGATCAAAATCTTGTGTTAAACAACTTATTGAGAAAATGTTGAGATTAGCTTATGATGATAAGCAAATGCATACAAGGATTAGCTTATGATGATAAGCAAATGCATACAAGGATCTTATGCTGTGCAGTTAGTGTGTCCTTTCTTGGTATCTCCTGCTGAGACTGATGATCCTGTTTTCAAGAATCGAAAAATGGGTAATTCAGTTTCAAAATCCCAACTGTTATCTTAGATTCTTCATATCAGAGTGCACTTTGAGCGCGTGCAAGTTACCGTTAGAATGTGCCCCTCTGTAACCATCAGCTACATGTCGAAAGAACTCTTTGGTAGCATCTGCATATTCATTCAAGAATTGTCACTACTAAACCCCCAGCGAAAGAGATATATAGAGCCAGAAGAACACAAATAGTATCTGCAAACTCTCACCGTATTTTGTTCCTAGAGTTGGGTCTTGCTCATTCACGACCCTGATCAGTTTTGCAGGATTTCCAGCCACCACACTTCAAAAATACAAAGAGTGTGTCCATTTTTACTAAACAAAACATTGCCAAGTCATGAAGATTTTTCAGATGCATTCTCTTTTATACCTATGCGAAGGAACATCCTTTAACACAAGTGAACCTGCCGCTACCATTGCTCCAGCACCTATGCTTATGTTGCCAAGTATAGTCACACAAGCTCCAAGTAATGCACCTTCACCTATTTTTGGGTGACGGTCACCAGTTTCTTTACCAGTACCTCCTAAAGTCACACCCTGTGACAGTGAAAAGTGAAAAGTGAAAACTCAAGTAGCCTTTAAAATACTGAAACAAATCCTTATCACGGTATTGAATTTCCAGGCAATGGTTTAGAAAATAGATGCTTACATGTAAGATTGAGACACAATTTCCAATCACAGCAGTCTCACCTATGACCACTCCAGTTCCATGATCCAGCAATATTCCCTCCCCAATTCTAGCCGCTATGCAAAAAGAGAAATCAAGCAATATGTAAACCAGTAATCAATTCACCGGTAAACCTGACCAACTAATACACCAGAGAGGGGAAATTGAGAATGTTCAAACAGATGAGAGCGAGATATGAAGCTCAAACTCTACCTGGATGAATGTCGATTCCAAAAACCTGAGACAAACCACATGGAGATAAAAATGAGATGACAAACACACCTCGAGCGAGATTCTAAATGCAGTACCAAAAGACAATGATTGTGAAAACTACCTCGCTTATCCGGCTTTGCAATGCAAGAGCTAATAGTTTCCGCCCTTCATTCCACAATTTATGTGAAACTCTGTATGCTTGCAACGCATGATACCCCTGTAGAACAAAAACGTTTTGATAGGAAAACCTCCTCAGCAGTCGACTACTCTAAGTGAGATATGTTCTGTCTCTAAATTTGGAATCAAAGGATTACCTTCAGATGTAAAATAGCAGAACTATACGACAGACAAGCAGGATCCCGGTCTTTAAATGCCTGAAAATCATTGAAGCACATGAGAAAACAGCCTCAAACATACAAAGATCATGTCTTTCACAGGTACGAGATAAGTGCTTTTACCTGAATATCATGGCGAATAGAACTCTGAATACCTTTGTCATGCATCATAACACCATAAAATATATCCAAAAGTTGAGTTGCCAACAAAGTTGGATTTTGTAGACGGTTGGCTAGAACAAACCCTAAAGCTTGCTCTAAACAGTCATGTGCCAAGATACCAGCATACAAGAAGCTACTCAAAATAGGCTCTTTCTCTGCCTGTAACCACAACAAGATTCTCCATTGTAAGATTCAACATTTCACAGACTATATATAGCATAGAACCCTTACACTGTACTCAAACTTGCTTGCTTTCAATTAAACAACCTTCAAAGTGAAAAACATCAAGAAAGTCTTAACCTGGATTGAACATTCAAGTCCTATGGTTGGTAGGATTAAAAATCAAACCTTGCAACGAGAGAAACAACACTGACTAATTTTAAACCCTAATGGACATAGTTACACTACTATAACAACTGTGGATTAACATGGAGACACAAAACCATAACTTTTTTTTCTGAATAAGACTTAAGCATCGATATAGCAGAGAAAGTGTTAGAATTGAGAGTGAACCTCAAGCTTAGCTTCTTCTCTGATAGCAACCCAAATAGGATCAGAACCAGAATCAAACAAATTGGAGTCAAACTCTGACTTATGCGTTCCCTTAGCGTAAACCTCAAAACCCCTCTCGAAACGAAGCTCGTCGCCGTTCATATCTCCCTCGGGATAGTTACAATACAATTCCCAGACCACGATGAAAATTCACAAAATCTATTGATCGGAGAAAAGATAAAGGATGAAGTGTAAAAAGGAAGCAACTTTAATGGATATGATGCGAAACTGATAAAACCCTTTATGATCTAAAAGTTTGATTCTCTTGATGGTCGTTGTTTGGTTTCTCGTTGATTCAAGTATTGTGTTATGTCCAGTGTCCACCGCTTTGAAATGGCTCTACGATATCATAACAGTGTTGTAAAAAATTTGGTTGGCTTTGGCCTTATCTGATCGCGACCGTGATTGTGTCCAAGTTCGTAAATTTGGTGATTAGGGTCTTTTAAACAGATAATTCTTTTCTTTAATCAAGAGGAATCGAATAAAAATGTTAAATACTATTATTATAGTTGAATCTTCTAATCGTATTCCTCTGAGGGAGAAGGATTTAAAAATTGTACAAGGTAGAAGACACCCACCACAAATGATGGCAACTTGTCGTATGTTTATTGCAAATCTCTCATGTCGTATAGGATAAGGTCATATAAACTATTTTGTATTCTATATAGTCTATATAGCCCCATGGACTACAACACCATTCTTTTTAAAAATTTATTTACCTCTTGTGATGTTGATGCCTTGATGGGCTATACAAACTTGTAGTTTCCGTTCATAAACTTATTTTTCATTTAAATAAATTTGTGGTAAAACCACTTTCCTGACAATGATATCCAAAATGAGTATCTAATTGATGAAGATGCTCTTATAAATCAGTTTGGCATTTCTCTTTTGGTTTATACAATCATTGGACTAAACGTTTTAAGTGATCGCTTGAATCAAAACCTGTCTTAATTGTTCGAAAGATTAACACTTTCAAACCCAACGAAGGTTGGTTAACCATGAGGTTCCTGTTAACCAAAAGGGTATTTAAAATCTTCCCTCCACGTTGTCAGAGACTCTGGTTGACTTATACTTCCTTCTCTTCAACTTCACACTCCGGCGGATTTTCCGGTGATTCCGAGCCGGAATCATGGAGAACTATGGAGGGTCTACTCCGAACACCAGCAAATTTCGCTCCTTTATCCCCAGTCACGTTCTTGGAACGATCTGCCAAAGTTTACAGAGACCGAACCTCTCTTGTGTTCGGTTCTGTTTACCACACTTGGTTCCAAACTTACCAACGTTGTCTCTGTCTTGCCTCTGCTCTTACAAGTCTTGGAACTTCTACTGGCGATGTGGTTAGTCTCTAAAGTTGCTTTATTTCTACTCCCATTAGGTTTTTGATTATAGGTTTAGTGATAAAAGAGGATCCTTTTCTAGGTTGCAACTTTGGCTCCGAATGTTCCAGCTATGTATGAGCTTCATTTTGCTGTTCCAATGGCTGGTTTGATTCTCTGTCCACTTAATACTCGGCTTGATCCTTCCACATTATCGGTTTTGCTAGCTCACTCCGAGGCCAAAATCCTCTTTGTTGATCAACAGTTACTTGAGCTTGCTCATGGAGCTCTTGATCTTCTTGTCAAATCAGACAGAACAAGAAAAAGTCCGAAGCTTGTGTTGATCTCTCAGTCTAATGGTGATGATAGTGAGAATGATGATAGCTCATCAAAGTTTGCTTCACAGTACTCTTTCGATTACGAATATGAAACTCTGCTTCAGTCCGGAAATAGCGAGTTTGAAGTGATCAAACCGAGAAGCGAATGGGATCCTATAAGTATAAACTACACTTCAGGGACGACTTCGAGCCCTAAAGGCGTAGTGTATAGCCATAGAGGAGCTTACCTCAATACTCTTGCGACAGTCTTTCTTCACCAGATGCCTGTTTATCCGGTGTATTTATGGACTGTGCCGATGTTTCATGGTAACGGATGGTGCCTCATTTGGGGAGTAGCAGCGCAAGGCGGTACGAATATATGTCTCAAGAAAGTCACTCCTAAGCTGATCTTTAAGAACATTTCTATGCATCAAATTACTAACATGGGAGGAGCCCCTACAGTTCTGAACATGATTGTGAAATGTCCCGTGACCGAACAAAAACGGCTTCCTCACAGGGTTGAGATCATGACAGGTGGGTCACCGCCTCAACCACAGATCCTGGCAAAGATGGAAGAGTTAGGTTTCAATGTGTCTCATATGTATGGTTTGACAGAGACACATGGTCCAGGGACATACTGCCTGTGGAAACCTGAATGGGACTCTCTTTCTTTGGAGGAGAGATGTAAGTTAAAGGCTAGACAAGGAGTGCAACATTTGGGTCTAGAAGGGCTAGAAGTGAAAGATCCGGTGACAATGGAGACTGTACCTGATGATGGTTTAACCATGGGTGAGGTTATGTTCAAGGGAAACACTGTGATGAGTGGATATTACAAGGACTTAGAGGCAACACGAAAAGCTTTTGAGGGAGATTGGTTCCACAGTGGTGATCTCGCTGTGAAGCATCCGGACGGGTACATTGAGGTAAAAGATCGCTTAAAAGATGTGATCATCTCAGGAGGAGAAAACATAAGCTCCGTGGAGGTTGAAAGAGTTTTGTCTAGCCATCAAGCGGTTTTTGAAGCCGCTGTTGTGGCACGTCCTGATAATCACTGGGGAGAGACTCCTTGCGGTTTTGTGAAGCTGAAAGATGGAATTGATGGTATCAAACCCGAGGAGATCATCAGGTTTTGTAGAGATCGTTTACCTCATTATATGGCTCCAAAGACTATTGTTTTTGGGGACATACCTAAAACATCGACAGGGAAAGTACAAAAGCATATTCTGAGAAAGAGAGCCGAAGAATTGGGCAGCTTGTGATCGCTATGTAAGAAACAAAAAAAAAAAAAAAAACTTAGCTCTTCTCTGGTTCATCCGTTCATGTGTATATGTAAGGAAACAAAGATCTTTGAATCGTACATACATACATAAAGAAACAGATCAGGCATGGAAATACGGGTTATGCCAAAATCAAACCCCTTATTTTAGAAGGTTAAATCATATGACAAAATCGTTCATGAAGATTTGTAAGAGTGTATGCAAATGAATAAACGTGTATCTCTTACTCTTATCCTGGCTCAAAGGTTTTAGCTCAATAAACTACCACATACTGTAATTTTTTCTTTGCTTGCATTGTTATATTGCAATCACTTTTCGAAATGTTACTTTTTTTTTTTTTTTTTGTTTAAATTCGAAATGTTACTTATCACCAAACTTCTCCGGTGTAAACATACACTACTTAACTATAGAATTATTTCGTAGCTGTCGATGGGAAAAATAGATGCATTTAGTAAAAAATATCCTCAAACCCTTTGGCATTTGTCGCCTGGCCAACTTCGTTAATCACGAAGCATGATTATCTCTATAGATAGATCACTTGACCGGAGAATCCAGTACAGAATCAAAACCTGTTTTTAGCAGTCCACAAGAGTCAAGACCAAAACTTTCAATCCAACAAAAGGTTGACCATGAGATTCTTGTTAACCAAAAGGGCATTCAAAGTATTCACCCCTCTTTGTCGGAGACTCTCGTTGACTTACACTTCCTTCTCTTCAACCTCACACTCCGGCGGATTTTCCGGCGATTCCGAGCCGGAATCATGGAAAACCATGGAGGGTCTACTCCGTTCCCCCGCAAATTTTGCTCCTTTATCCCCAATCACGTTCTTGGAGCGATCTGCCAAAGTTTACAAAGACCGAACCTCTCTTGTGTTTGGTTCCGTCAACCACACTTGGTTCCAAACTTATCAACGTTGTCTCCGTCTTGCCTCTGCTCTTACCCATCTCGGAACCGCTCCTGGAGATGTGGTTAGTTTCTAAACTCGTTCAATTTCTGCTCCGATTAGGTTCTTGATTTAGGTTTAGTGATAAAAGAGGATCCTTTTTTAGGTTGCAGCTTTGGCTCTTAATGTTCCAGCTATGTATGAGCTTCATTTCGCTGTTCCAATGGCTGGTCTGGTTCTCTGTCCACTTAATACTCGACTTGATGCTTCCATATTGTCGGTTTTGCTAGCTCACTCCGAGGCCAAAATCCTCTTTGTTGATCAACAGTTACTTGAGCTTGCTCATGGAGCTCTTGATCTTCTTGTCAAATCAGGCAGAACAAGAAAAATTCCGAAGCTTGTGTTGATCTCTCAGTCTAATGATGATGATAATGAGGATGATACTTCATCTAGCTTTGCTTCAAAGTACTCTTTTGATTATGAATATGAAACTCTGCTTCAATCCGGAAATAGCGAATTTGAGGTGATCAAACCGAGAAGCGAATGGGATCCCATTAGTATAAACTACACTTCAGGGACGACTTCGAGACCGAAAGGAGTGGTGTATAGCCACAGAGGAGCCTATCTCAATTCACTTGCGACAGTCTTTCTTCACCAGATGCCTCTTTATCCCGTGTATTTATGGACAGTGCCGATGTTTCATTGTAACGGCTGGTGCCTCATTTGGGGAGTAGCAGCGCAAGGCGGTACTAATATCTGTCTCAGGAAAGTCTCTCCTAAGTTGGTCTTTAAGAACATTGCTATGCATAAAGTGACTCACATGGGAGGAGCCCCTACGGTTCTGAACATGATTGTGAACTGTCCCGTGACCGATCATAAACCGTTTCCTCACAGGGTTGAGATCATGACAGGGGGTTCACCGCCTCAACCGCAGATCCTGGAAAAGATGGAAGAGTTAGGTTTTAATGTGTGTCATCTTTATGGGTTGACAGAGACATATGGTCCAGGGACACACTGCATCTGGAAACCTGAATGGGATTCTCTTTCTTTGGAGGAGAAATGTAAGTTAAAGGCTAGACAAGGAGTGCAGCATTTGGGTCTAGAAGGGCTCGAAGTGAAAGATCCGGTGACATTGGAGACTGTACCTGATGATGGTTTAACCATGGGTGAGGTTATGTTCAGAGGAAACACCGTGATGAGTGGATATTACAAGGACTTAGAGGCAACACGAAAAGCTTTTGAGGGAGATTGGTTCCATAGTGGTGATCTCGCTGTGAAGCATCCGGATGGGTACATTGAGATAAAAGATCGATTAAAAGATGTGATCATCTCAGGGGGAGAAAACATAAGCTCTGTGGAGGTCGAAAGAGTTTTGTCTAGCCATCAAGCGGTTTTTGAAGCCGCTGTTGTGGCACGCCCGGATAATCATTGGGGACAGACGCCTTGCGGGTTTGTAAAGCTGAAAGATGGGTTTGACTTTATCAAACCCGAGGATATTATCGGGTTCTGTAGAGATCGTTTACCTCATTACATGGCTCCAAAGACTATTGTTTTCGGAGACATACCTAAAACCTCGACGGGGAAAGTACTTAAGTTTCTTCTGAGAAAGAGAGCCGATGAAATGGGCAGCTTGTGATCGCCATATAATTAACAAAAAAGGTTGACTTCTACAATAGTTCGTGTGTGTATATGTATAAGGTAAAACTAGCACTGATGAGTTCTTGCTACAATTCCTTTCTCTCTTTTTTGGGGAAGTCATATATTACTTTGGATTTGCAGAATCTATATATATCTGAGTCGTGTTTATAACGTGCTACTAAGCAGAGTTTTTGATCAATCTTTCGTTCTGCTTCATATCATACGTTACATATGCTGCAACCCTACATATGTAAAAAACCACAGCCTCCAAGATTACTAAACCAAACATATTATGATATAAAAGCTGTTGGTGACTTGACTAAAAAACCACAGCCTCCAAGATTACTAAACCAAACTAGGGACGGGCTGGACTAACACATAAACCAACTAGGGCTGGGGTCAATGCTTCTTCAAGTTCACAGTTGAAGATTAAAGATAGAAAAGCATGAATGTGTACATAAAAAACAGGGAATGTAAAATCAGTATGAAATCTGTAATAATAATTTACAAACTAGTTTGGTAAAAAAAAAAAATTACAAACTAGAATCAAAGTTACACAATCATTTATAACTTTCAAAAATATCCAGCAAAAACAATCATTTTGTTTTCTAAATCCTTTGTAATACCATATAATATACAGGTGTGATTTTCTCATTCTTATTTTTCAATTAAGAAAAGTATCCAAAGTCTCTTAAAATCTGTTTTCAGGAAAAGTATTTTTTTAACGTGTGAAGTTTGAATAACAATAAATCATTTATTCCTTTGTGAACCTATATGTTTTTTTCTCTCTAATTTAGGGGCTACCAAGCTGGAGCAGAGAGGCATAAGCTTTGGTGAAGAGAGAGTTCTGCCTAGCAGATCGCCTCCAAAGGTAACTCCAAATTTATGGAGTTGTAGCCAAGCCTTAAACCTATATGTACCACTCTAAAGATTTGGATTTGAGTTAGTTTTCTAAGACTTATTCTCATTTTCGTGAGCTGTTAGGCCACCATTATTGGTGGTATCTTAAACCATATCTTAGTTTAAGATTTGCTAAGATCACTTTTTATATAAGATCATATATTAGCAAATCTTAAGTTAAGATATGATTTAAGATACCACCAATAATGGTGGTCTTATGTTTCAGACGCGATTTGAAACCACGTGGATTCAAACAAAATTCATGAGTTTATATGTGTTCGGATTATCACAAAATTTTGAAGGTATAAGCATGTTAGATTGCTGGTTTGTTTTGCATGATGTGGAAACACTTCGTAAATAAAAAGGCTTGTTCCAAAAATAGATCAAGATAGTGTTACTCCAAATGAAACAACAGTATACGTTCTTTATTTTTGGAACAAGACACAAACTAATATTGAAGATGATTTTACACTAAATAAAAATTTAGAACAAGATTTGAAATATGTGCGATATTATGCAAAAACACGTCCAAATCGCCATTTTTGCAATATTAAAGCTGTCGGCAAAGTTGTGTACAATGGCTTAGACTTTAAAAGGATGGCCTAGTGTAACTACTCATCATATATACATCATTGAATAAATAAACTAGGAGTAGTATTTAAGCAAGTCTAGTTATAAGATTTGATCGTTGCCCACCCAAGTAGGTGCATAATGCATTATTAAAGAGGACTGTAAAGTATGTGGCTAATATTGTGTACAATGGTTTAAAATATGGCCTACTATAACTACTCATCATACGGCACAAAGGTTGTAGTAACTCTGGTCGTTAAGGTTCATTTAAATACTTTAGGGTTTCTGTTTGGTTCAGGATAGCTTTAGTTTGGTTTTGGGTATTCGAAATATTGAAAAAAACTAGGTTCGGACAGCGCGGGGGAAATAATTACATATATATAACTTTTAATGAATTAGAATATATTACATTTTAATTTTATTGCAATGTAGTCGATTACGATGAATCATATATTTGTGTAATAATTTTAAATAAAATAATAAATGAAAAGCGTGAAAATAATAATACATTGAGTTTTATACAATTTTTTTAAAAAAGTGAAAATTTAACAGCACGAAAAAATATTTATCAATAAATTATTTAATTTGACTATTTTGTAGTAGAAATAGGAATATATGTAAAAATTACATACTTATAATATATTTTTTGAAGGACCAACCCGTAAGAATTCATTTTGTAAAAAATATTATTCATAACTCGCTTTACCATTATAATTGTGATTTTAACAAACTACTCGCGAACTATCTAAAATTTACATAGTTTGATATATAATTTATTTTATCAATAAAAATTATGTCTCCAAAATTACATCTATGTCTCCAAAAAAATATTTTCAATATTTTAAATTCTAAATTCTAAATTTTTATATATGTGAACCTTTTAATTATAATATTTTGAAACTTTTGAAACTTATAAATATGCTCATTATCAATGGTTTTAATATTGGTCATACTCATACTGATTTTAAATCACTTTTTCAAATATTTAACCGAGTGTAGTTGAATATTATATGTCCGTTTTGAAAAATTCAAATTGCAACATATGCAAAAAAATTCAATTTTTGTTAAATATTATTATTATATATATAGTATAATATCATAAATTAAAAATAATATTAAATAAAATTTAAAGAAAAATATTAATTGATTAGTTAGAGAAATATTAGGAAGTCATAAAATTAATTATGAAAATAATATAATCTTAAAATTATATTTGGAAAGTATCCGGTGTATGTATCCAAACCCAATTTAATATCCAGTTTTGAAGTTTCCAATTGTTAAAATCGAGTTAATTTTTTAATTTTGACCCGACCCGTATTCTATTTTGTACTTCTCTTTTACTAATATAGAGATATATATAACTAAGAAATTTCAAATGTATTGGTTAATTTTAGTATTATGGATATTATGGATATAAATATTTGATATCTTCAAATTTTTAAATATATGTTTTGGTAACTAGGTTATTTTAAGTGTAATTCTAATTAATATTTTAGTTATATTATCATATTTTGGGTATTTTAGAAATCTATTTAGTTTTTGGTACGGGTCGAATTTGGTTTTAGTTTTACGATATGGTAGTCGAGCATATGATCGGTATTTTCAGTTCTAGATTTGGTTTGGTTCACAATTAAGTATATTTAAACATGAAAAAATAACAATCATTTAAATTATGTAGTCATGGATTGTTATTTTTATTTACTTATTGCATAAAATCAGATATATTTATGGATGAACCCATTCAGTTTTAATTTGATGGGTTTATAATTAGCACTTAACTAATAAGAAAAATGATACAGTTCATACTGATCGTTTTACTCAATTTAGAAACATGTGAACAGTTTTAATTGCAAACAAAAATTTCAAATTTTAATAGACTTTTTGTAGTGATTAGTAATTAGATGTAGGAATTTCTTTTCTTTAAATTAGTTTTTGTATTTCGTTAAAGAAAAAAAGTTAACTTATTTACATGCGGAACATGTGATCGATAAAATTCACATATGTCGCGATCATTTTAATAACTAAAGCTTTTATAAGTTTAAACACAACAGTTGTGGTTGTGAGAGTTTGCAGAAGCGGTTTGAAATTCTATTAATGAAGTACTGTTTTAAACGATTTGTTTTAACTTAGAAAATAGATGCATTTGTGAGACATTATTTATAATAAACCAAATGTTACCAAAATATATGTAATATTTAATTATAAAATGATATTATAAGATATTTATAAAAATATAATAAAAAATTTTATGATTGATATTGAAAAATCATAAATAATTAACTAAACAAAAATTAAACTAATAAATTTTAGTGTAAATATTTGTTTATCTTAAAAAGTTATTAGTGGTGGATGCCCCCTCGGTCAAGTGGTTGATTAATATTTTTTTGAGTCATTTGACGTGAAGTGATTCAAGTTTGCTGTGAATCAAAAAAAATTATTATTATTTATTTTTTTTTTGTTTTTTTTTTTTTTTTGGTAATCCATCTGCTACTCTTGGAAACCATAAATACATGTATTTGCTGGTGGTTGTGGGAGAACCAATCTAGAAATGTATATAACCTAGAACCTTGATTTCAAAATGACAATAACGTAAAGATCACTTCTTCCTCAAGTTTTCTCTTTCCTTCTTACCTATTTCTTCTGATATCTTCTTCCTCATAAATTCTGTTGTAACATGGATCAAACTCAGGATTTTAAGCCGGAATCATGGAGAACTGTGGAGGGTCTACTCCGAACCCCCGCAAATTTCGCTCCTTTGACCCCAATCACGTTCTTGGAACGATCTGCCAAAGTTCACAGAGACCGAACCTCTCTTGTGTTTGGTCCCGTCAACCACACTTGGCTCCAAACTTATCAACGTTGTCTCCGCCTTGCCTCTGCTCTAACTCATCTCGGAACCTCTCGTGGGGATGTGGTTAGTCTCTAAAACCGTTTTGTTTCTACTCCGATTAGGTTCTTGATTTAGGTTTAGTGATAAAAGAGGATCTTGTCTTCTTTTAGGTTGCAGCTTTGGCTCCAAATGTTCCAGCTATGCATGAGCTTCATTTCGCTGTTCCAATGGCTGGTTTGGTTCTCTGTCCGCTTAATACTCGACTCGATCCTTCCACAGTGTCGGTTTTGCTAGCTCACTCGGAGGCCAAGATCCTCTTTGTTGATCAACAGTTACTTGACATTGCTCATGGAGCTCTTGATCTCCTTGTCAAATCAGGTGGAACAAGAACAAGTCTGAAGCTTGTGTTGATCTCTCAGTCTAGTGATGATGATAATGAAGATAGCTCATCAAGCGTTGCGTCAAACTACTCTTTTGATTATGAATATGAAGCTCTGATAAAATCTGGAAATAGCGAATTCGAGGTGATCAAACCGAGAAGCGAATGGGATCCCATTAGTATAAACTACACTTCAGGGACGACTTCAAGACCTAAAGGCGTTATGTATAGCCACAGAGGAGCCTATCTCAATTCACTTGCGACAGTCTTACTTAACGAGATGCCTCTTTATCCCGTGTATTTATGGACACTGCCGATGTTTCATTGTAACGGATGGTGCCTCGTTTGGGGAGTAGCGGCGCAAGGGGGTACTAATATCTGTCTTAGGAAAGTCTCTCCTAAGCTAATCTTTAAGAGCATTTCTATGCATAAAGTGACTCACATGGCAGGAGCTCCTACGGTTCTGAACATGATTGTGAACTGTCCGGTGACGGAACATAAACCGTTTCCTCAAAGGGTTGATTTCATGACAGGTGGGGCACCGCCTCAACCGCACATCCTAGCAAAGATGCAAGAGTTAGGTTTCAATATGTCGCATATTTACGGTTTGACAGAGACATATGGTCCAGGGACATACTGCATGTGGAAACCTGAATGGGATTCTCTTCCTTTGGAAGAGAGAAGTAAGTTAAAAGCTAGACAAGGAGTGCCGCATTTGGGTCTAGAAGGGGTTGAAGTGAAAGATCCAGTGACAATGGAGACTGTACCTGATGACGGTTTAACCATGGGTGAGGTTGTGTTCAAGGGAAACACCGTGATGAGTGGATATTACAAGGACTTAGAGGCAACTCAAAAAGCTTTTGAGGGAGATTGGTTTCACAGTGGTGATCTCGCAGTGAAGCATCCGGACGGGTACATAGAGATAAAAGATCGGTTAAAAGATGTGATCATCTCAGGGGGAGAAAACATAAGCTCGTTGGAGGTTGAAAGAGTCTTGTGTAGCCATGAAGCGGTTCTTGAAGCGGCTGTTGTGGCACGTCCGGATAATCACTGGGGAGAGACTCCTTGCGGGTTTGTGAACCTGAAAGATGGGATTGACACCATCAAACCAGAGGAGATTATCGGGTTCTGTAGAGATCGTTTACCTCATTACATGGCTCCAAAGACTATTGTTTTCGGGGACATACCTAAAACCTCGACGGGGAAAGTACAAAAGTATATCCTGAGAAAGAGAGCCGAAGAAATGGGAAGCTTGTGATCGCTATGTAAGAAACAAAACAAAGCTTTATTCGTTGGTTCATGTTTATATGTAAGGAAACCACCGCGTGAAAATAAAGAAACAGATCAGCCATTGTCATGGATATGATTTGGCTATAATTAGATTTGTTACGCGTAAATGCCAACGGTTTTGTACCTTATAATAAGAAGATTAAAAAAGAAAGCACAAGTTAATAGAATATTCCACCGTGTCTGAAACGAGTCCAATTCGTAGGAACGTTTCAAACACAATCTTTACTTATTCAAACTCTCCATTATAAAATCTGCATTGTACCCTTTAAACAAAATCATCACCCAAACAGAAGAAGAAGGGGAAAAGATTTTGTATTACTTTCTTGATTGAAAAAATGGCATCAAACGAAGCTGGAAGGCCATTGCCAAAATTCGGAGAATGGGATGTGAATGATCCTGCGACGGCTGATGGATTCACGGTGATATTTAGCAAAGCCGGTGAAGATAAAAAGACCGGACAGAGTTCGACGAAGACGAATTCACAAAGAAGAAAACAAGATGGTGATAAACCAACGGCCAAGAAATGGCTCTGTTTCACTTTTGCTTGATTTTTTTTTTTTTTTGTGTAAATTTAAACCCTAAGAGAATCTTAGCTTTGAGCCTCTTGACAACTTTTGTGTTAGAACTTTTGTCAATTTGTTTCCTAATGTGTTGGGTTTTGGCGTTTGGTAATCTTTTTACCAACAAAATGGTAACGGTTACTCATAAAAAAAAATGAAAAAGAGACAAATACATATTTGTTCAAATTCAAACAAAAGTTATTGTTTTTGTGGATTGGCTCACATACTTGTACAGAAAGCAAAGAAAAAGTAGAGGCTATCGCATAAACTGGTTTTTGGGCCGATCATAAAAGCCCAATAGGCCCGGTATGTTTCTACGGTTTCTCCAATTCGCTAACGTAAGCAACTAAGAGTGCGTGCGAGTGGTGACTAACATGCGCCGTCCTCTGTCCCATTTGAACTAGAATTGCAAAAACCTCAGCAAGAACCCTAAAGCTAAAACCTTTTCGATCAAATCGAAATAGAAAAAATGGGGAAAGTTCCGCCGTCGTTTCGCTCTATTCCGACGAACCAATTGATGAAGAAACCCACACCATCTCCTCCAGCGCCGCCGCGTGATTACCGCAACAGAACCGCCGTGAGAGATTCAACTAGACTCCCCCAGAATACTCAACCCCCTCCTCGCGAGCCTTTTAGGAACCCATTCAAGTCACCAAGTCTATCAGACGCCAAAAGCCTCTTCAATTCAATCGCCACCACTTCGAGAATCCCACTCGATCTCAAATTCCACAACTCTGTTCTTCAATCCTACGCAGCAATCGCCGCCGTCGACGATACGGTGAAACTGTTTCAGCACATCTTGAAATCTCAGCCTAAGTTCTCCCCTGGGCGTTCCACGTTTCTTATCTTGCTCTCGCATGCTTGCAGAGCTACTGATTCATCGATTGCGGATGTTCATAGAGTTCTCAATCTCATGGTGAATAGTGGTTGTGAGCCTGATCAAGTAACAACTGATGTCGTGGTTCGATCTCTTTGCGAAACCGGTCGGATTGATGAAGCTAAGGATTTGATGAAGGAGCTGACTGAGAAACATTCACCTCCGGATACATATACTTATAACTTCTTACTGAAGCATTTGTGCAAATGCAGATCACTGCGTGTTGCTTATGAGTTTGTTGATGAGATGAGGGAGACTTTTGGTGTGAAGCCTGACCTTGTCAGCTTCACTATCATGATTGATCATGTTTGTAATTCTAAGGATTTGAGAGAGGCAATGTTTTTAGTTGATCAGTTAGGTAATGCTGGGTTTAAGCCCGATTGTTTCGTCTATAACACGATTATGAAAGGTTATTGCACACTGAGTAAAGGGAGTGAGGCGGTTGGTGTTTATAAGAAAATGAAGGAAGAAGGTGTTGAGCCGGATCGTGTTACTTACAATACTTTGATATTTGGATTGTCGAAATCTGGTAGAGTTGAGGAAGCTAGGAGGTACTTGAAAACTATGGTGGATGCGGGTTTTGAGCCAGACGCTGCCACTTACACATCGCTGATGAATGGAATGTGTAGAAAAGGCGAATCTTTAGGTGCGTTGAGTTTGTTGGAAGAAATGGAAGCAAAAGGATGTGCTCCAAACGATTGCACTTATAATACTTTGCTTCATGGGTTGTGCAAGGCGAGGTTAATGGATAAAGGGATGGAGTTATATGAGTTGATGAAATCAAACGGTGTAAAGCTTGAGAGTAATGGTTATGGTACGCTTGTGAGATCTCTGGTTAAAACTGGCAAGGTGGCAGAGGCTTATGAAGTGTTTGATTATGCAGTTGATAGCAAGAGTTTGACAGATGCTTCTGCCTACTCTACGCTTGAAACTACCTTGAAATGGTTGAAAAAAGCGAAAGAACAAGGCTTAGTTGTCTAAGTGGTATTCTCTAGCTGAGCTTTACCTTCTTCTTTTTGCAAGTCCTGTTATTTTCGTCAAAAGGAATGAATTTGATTCGTTATATCAAAATGAAGACTTAAATCCTTAAAAGGAACAAGTATTGATTTATGACAATAGGTGGTTATCTATGTCACATGAGATCTCCAAAGGGTTCCTTGAACACTCGAACCATCAATTCGAGGATTTTTTCTTGCTATGTTACTGTAAAACAGTCATTTTCTGCTATTCGATTGGTATCAGCTTCTTGTTTAGTGTCATGTACTCTGTTCTTAAGAGCTATTGTAAATGCCATAATTTTTGTTATTGATCTTGCCTGGGGTTGTTGCTTGAGAGATCAAGTAAATCGTATTTGCTTTGACAATTACGCCATCTGTTTGCGGTGACTGAGGCAGAGTATCTGAATAAAGATTTTGTTTTTCTTTCTCTAGCTGCATGAAGGGACTGTAATCTTTGTTGAACAATCTTATCTTTGATGTTGTGTTTTAACACTAAGCAGCCAAGTGCAGAGTATCATGGATTTATCAGTTGAAATACAAAACCCAAATCATTGAGGGGGGCAAGAAAACAGAGGACAACGTTGGTGTAATAATGAAAAAGACTTTACACAAATGGTCAACAAGATTATGGTATTAGTCTATTTAATTATTTTAGTGACACATTCCCAATCATTTGGTGAGAATATAGTCTTTTGTTTATGTTGATATCTCTTCTGTCATGTTTCGTTATCTATTGTGTATCGTTGCAATATATGTTTCTTTGTCTCCCCCTTCATGATTAAAATTCAACAGAACGTTACGGAGAAATAGACGAATTAGGAAGAAATGTACGTACCACGAGGTCCACGAATACAAAGATTCTCCTATCCTTATTGTTAAAACCCATAGATTCTTAAATCTATACAATAGTCTCCAGCTTTTGCTTTGAGTTTCTCCGAGCTGTCATGTTCTTATATACAGATCTTTCTGTGTATGCCAGAGATGATAAAAGGAAGCAAGAATAGACAATAATGGAGACAATATCATCAGAATAATCTGAGAGCTTCACGTTGCCGGGTTTGTGCTCTTGGTACAAAGATCCTCATTTCCATAAGTTCTTTTTATACTTAACACATGCTCAAGGGTTAGATTTATACTTCAATATGACTCGAGGAGCTTCCATTATGAGCTGAGTTGCTTATGAACACTACTTTTTTTTTTTTTTTGGTCAACTGAAATTTTATTGATGAACTTGGTTTCACACCAAAGTAGAATACAAAGCTCAAAAAAAAAAAAAAAAGTTAGAGCTGACGGACGAAGTAAAAGTTCTCGGAGTCAACGCCATAAGAAAACGTGATTTCTCTGGAGTCAAAACCCTATCTAAGGGAAACGATAGAATAAAAATACAAGACAAGACGACGTAAAGTCTCTATAAATATTAATCTTGGTTTGTATTACTTGAATAGTTTTACACCTTTGTACGATGATGAACCATGATCTATATAAGCCATAACTCAACAAAACACTAGTTTGTTTTATAAGTATTATGCCATTACCAACGTCCACTCTTCGCAACCTATATATTCTCTTAATTAGAGAGAAAACGGTAGGAGAAGAATAACAAAATGGGAGATTATTCTTATTATTAGAGGTTGCTTTTTGATTAATTAACGTTATTAACACATCTTTGTCATAGATTCAACTTCCTAAATGCTAAAAGACACTATATCCATAATTAATAATACTTGTCTCTATTTTCATTTTATTTTTTGGTTTTATGATAAGCGTTGTTTAAATATCAAAAATATAGTTTAGCCTCTTCAAAGGGTAGTTTGAGTAGACAAAAGTTGCTGACAAATAAAAGCAAAGATAAATTATATTTGGAATTTAGCAAAACCTTAAGAATTTCAGCAAAACTGATGCCACAAATTACGAAATTCTTTTAATTAAAATAAAATAACTAAATTCCCAAAATTACTTTACGGTGACCAAAATATTGAAACTGGATTCAAACTAATATCAACTCCTTTTTTTACACATTAAGCTAGGATAATGTTATTACAAATATATTTTAAAAACTACATATATTATGTATCTTTCTTGTATTTTTAATAACAAAACCTAAGTTATTATCCATAAAAAATTGTCAACCGATAATAAAAATATTCTGCAGAATACAAAAGATTATATATTTGTTTAAGGAAATTTGTTCTTTTGCTTAAAAATGAGAACTTTCCTACCAAAAAAAGGGAAAAAAATGAGAACTTTAGTTAATTAAAAACAAATTCTTTTCTAAGACATCACTTAATTAAATAAATATTTATAGTCACCATAATCATGTAATAACAAAAATAATACTATATGAATTGGCAATTTTTGTTTATTTTTTATTTTCGGGCTCGCCGAACAAAATTACAAAACATTAATAGCCACTAAACTATCAAATACTAAATGTAAACCAATTCAGCTGATTCTATATCACAAAAATTGTTTTAGTTGGTTAAAGCCATAGACCCATAGTATTAGTTTTTGGAATTACTTTAGGGAACACACATGACATGCGCCACAAGGAAATAACCTTGGAAAAGAATGTTTTAGGAGATCTATATGCTTTATTCAATGTATGCAACATGAATACATGATTGATCACATTCTTTGGAATTTGGATACATGCAATAATTGGTGACTGACAATGAAATCTTAAACAATTTATAAATGTGGTTCTTTGACATGTGTACGTAATGCTGAGAACCTAGACAAAATGGATGGTGGTCTGTTTTTACAAGTCAACCCGAAGAAGGAGGCAAAGGCAATAACCAAAAGAAAAATACAGATTTTACTATCCCATAAGTATAAAAGTATCAAGAGTGATTAAAATATTCTTAAATATATTTGTTAATAAATATTTCTATTTATATTTATAGAAATTAAATTAAGTAAACTATCGTTCTATCCTCTAGAAAACATATGTAAGTTATTGTAATTTTAAATATTAATTATTTTCAGCACATATTATGTAGTACCAGAGTTATAAGAATGAGTAGTTAAAAGCAAACCAAAAACATTAACACTAGGGCATTGAATCTTATATTTTTGGGGGTCTAATTTTTTTCTGCCATGCGTCTATAAACAACTATTAGTGGTATCATCAAACATTTTATATCAAAATACTAATTTTTCAACCGCCGATTCATCTCACCGCTATAATAAATTAGTTCTTTTCACTGCTTTGTAATTATAAATTAATCTCAAATCATTATCTCTATCTTCTATTAAAATGAGGATATGTAATTTTGTATTTTTCAATTATCTAATTACAAAGGTAGACAAGATATTTTTGAGTTTGAGGCTTTTAGTCCAAACCAAAAAGGTTGGAACAAAACAAACTTGAACATATAAAAATCATAAATAGTACATCATTTGTAACTTCAAATATATGTACAGGATCTACACACTTACATTACTTTTATACAAAATGCTATTTATGATACATTCATTTGGAGCTTTAATGATTTTTTTATGTAAATCACCTAGCTTTATAACTACCGTTAAAATTTTCAGATCAGTAAAGTATTTGAAGCTAAGCTTTCAAATATCAGTTCAATAAACTTATATTACACTTATGTTGGAAGAATATAAACTTTTATGATAGATTATCATTGCAATGCATTTAAGTTTTTTTATAAATATATATTTTGGCAACTAACTTACATCTGAGAAATTTTTATATTTCAGATCAGTTTTTCCTAATTAATTAATGTACATCTTCTTTATAAATATTTATTTATATCCATAGTACCTCTTAATTTTACTATTACAAAATACCAAAAGGAAAAAAAGAAAAAAATAATTGATGCCATGTATAATAAACTCTTACATTTTATAATTTTGGTTCCGTAACTTTTACATTTGAAAGTCATTCTGCATCAGTACTATTTCTTAATGTAATTTTTTTTTACTAGTATATAATTAATCTTATAATTTGTTTACAATGTTATACTGCCACACATGAAAAGAAAAAAAATCAAAAAAAAAAAAAAACAAACACGTTGCAAGAGGTTAATATTTCCACGGATTATACTATCAAACTAAAGATTCGACTCTTTTCCATGTGTCTTAAACCCATTGAGGCTAATGAGACAATATAGGTAAGATAGGACAAAGCATAATATGGTTGAGGAAGATCTGCATTGCTTCACCTACCGAGACAATACGTAGACCGTTTCATATTATTTAAACCTTATAGACTTATAGTAGTCGACTAGCCATTTATTATGTGGCCAAAACCAAAGGCATAACAGACGATGACTCATCTACTATGTGGCCAATGTATTACGCATAATTTGACAAATCGAATTTATAAATTAACATGACAACTCATAATCACACACTTTTGCCCATAACATTCGGACAAAACTAACAATAATATATATCTTATTGTTGTTGGTTGATGTTTTACAAACTTGTATGATCATATAAATAGCGTAATAGAGAGAACATTAACCAAGTTCTACTAAGACAAAAAGAAACTAAAACAAATATGGCGATGATGATGATCAAGAATCATGTAAGATCTATTAGCTTACCTTCAAGATCTCATCCTAGCACGGTAGCGATCGAGGAATCGCTTGACAAGCTTCTTATTATCACTATGAACATGTCGACGATGACGTCATCGGATGCTGTTTACTCGGGTCTATCGGGGTTGGAGGATCTTTACGACTGCACGGAGGAGTTGCTTAAGATGGGTTCGACGCAAAGATTGCTGTCTTGTAGTGATGAGAAGAAGAAGAAGAGGAAGAAGAAGATGAAGATGATGATGAAGATGAAGGGTGAGTTTATGGAGGAAATGCTTGATGGTTCGTTGAGGCTGATGGATATATGCAACGTGTCGAGGGATCTCATGGTTGAGAGTCATGAGCATGTTCTTGGTCTTCAGTCTTGTGTTAGGAGAAGGAAAGATGTCGACGTCTCGGGACATGTCGGGTTTAGGAAGAACATGAGGAAAGAAGTGAAGAAGCTTCTTGGATCTTTAAAGAACATTAGTGTAGGTTTAGTGATGAAGGATCAAGATTGTGATCAAGACGGTGATTTTCATTTCTTGGCCGTGATTCATGCAATGAGACGTGTCGTTTTGATGACAGTTTCGGTCTTGAAGTCGTTCTTGGAGTTCTTGTCGGGAGGAAGACAAAACGGGAACGACATAAGGAGCAAGTTGGCTTTAGTCCTAATGAACAAGAAGTTTCAAGATCACGATAAGATGGTCAGAAACGAGTTAGAGGATATAGATTCAGCGATTTGTGGAGATTCAGTCTCTCATGATGATCTTCACATGAAGCTTGAGGAAGTTGAGGTATGGATCGGAAGGTTCGAGAAGAGTCTAGAAGAATTGTTTCGAGGGTTGATTAGAACACGAACCTCGCTTCTCAACATAATCTCTCAATAGATGTAATATTGTGTAATCTTCGTGGGCATTCGATTTTTAGAGGATTTGCCGGTTGAATACATTATACAAACATAAAATTTTGTAAACTTAATATAGTTTAAATTATTATACAAATGTATCTTATACTTTATACTAAAGAGTACCAATCATCTGAATAAAGAATGACCTTCCATCAGGAAGCATTGAGATGTTTCAGCACTGCTTCAGAAGAATGACGAGCAAAGTGCTTCTGCCTTAGCTTGACATAAGGATATCCAAGGAAGGACAAGAAATGAGCTGGCTTTGAGAAGGACGTTATCTCATACCACACTTGACCATTTCCGTCAAGCTCTATGGAAAACCGTTCTTCTCCAGCCAGTAAATGTCCCTGAAGAGTGCCGCTCCCGTAACCGAAATGCGCAGGGCCTTTTCTTGATTTCCGGCTTTCATCGACATAAACCACTTGAAGAGGAAGCATCACCCATGGAAGAAGTTCTTTCACACAGATGCAAAACTTCTTACCGGTTTCAACTGGAGTTGCAGGATCAACAAATGTCCAGTCCATACCAAAATGCCTGCAAATAGAAATCAATGAGAACAGAAACCAAAATGGTGTTCCATTAGTTTGAGATGAACAAAGCAAACATACTTCCAATTCTGTAGAGCTTTTTTCCCCTTGTCATAACTCTCTCTACCAGAACCGACTAAAACACGAGCATGATTGATCCAGAATCCATCTTTATCAACCTCTGAGTCTTCCTTGAGTTTTGCTATAGACCTTGACGAAACTCCTCTGTACTTGTTGTCATAATTGAAGGTTCCTGTCCTGGATTTTTAAACCATATACACTGAGAAAGAGAGCTTTCTAGTTCAAGATTATGTTTTTTTCTTTCTAATTTCACGATATTGATATTCTTACTTGTTGATTACTTGTTGCTGTTGCTCGGAAGATGGACGGCCCCAACTCAAGAACACCATCTCTTCCGCAACAATACAAGAAAAACTAGGAAATTCAGAAAAACAAGTGTATCAATTACCCGAAAAAATCGAAACTTTGAGCTCTTCTGAATTCGAATTTGGGATAGTTGAGAGGTGTGGAGAGAAAGAACCTGAAAGCTTCACTATTCCGAGGCGTTTAATCCCACAACTCATTTCGTTCGGTGGTTAGTGGAGCTCCAGAGATTTATTATCCTAATCCTGATGCGTTCCCGGTTCGCATTATGTCGTTTTTTTGTGCGTAGTGAACGGCACGGTGTTCGTTACTAAATGTCTAAAACGGCATATAAAAATGGGCATTGTTTGTTTTAAGATAGAAAAGGATAGTACATACGTAAGTGTTGTCATTTTTGTATTCACTTCGGTATACTAAAATGTACAATCTCACATTGTCTTCAATTATAAGATTCAAAAACTAATGACCAAACCAATGACCTGAAATTAAACCTTCTTTCTTAATGAAGGAAAAGTGACGAGGGTATCTTCTAATTTCTATGTGGAAAGGAAGGAATCATCAGAGAGCAACTAAAGAAGGAGAAAACACTCCCTACGGTCAAAAACTAGATCCTACCCCCCAATAAAAGAAACTGTACAAAGGCCACCAAAGATAGTGCCTTCAATCATGAAACTGGATTATCAGAAGAACTAGTAACGGGGCTTTCTAAAGGAAGCTAAGAAAGGTAGGCACTGCTTGTCCTTGCTAGGGTCCTCATCTCCAACCTGCTTTTGTTTTCACCACATCCTGCTCTGAGAATTCTCGCCTTGTAAGGGGTAGGGTTTTTACTCGGGATCACACTACGACGTTTACCTCGATGATTATCTGTTGAACCATTTCTATGATTTCCTCGAAGAGTGGTCTCTGCGCTGGGTCTTGGTGCCAGCATCTCTCTAGAAGTCCCTTCACTTTTGGGTGCGTTTTCTTTGGAATTTTCGGTCGAAGCCCCTGGAAAGCAAATTCAATTTAGCCTCTGGATCTGGAGGAAGACAAAAACTAGAATGACTCAAATGTTCTTCTCTTATAAACTATATATACCTTTTGGACAACGCCAACAGCTGCTTGTAGCGGAGTCAAGAAAGCATATGGGATCTGTTTCCATTTACAAATTCATGGTACATCAGTATCTCTAATTAGCATGAAAGATTCAGACAATAAACTGTAGGCAGAGATAGATTCTTACGTCACCAGTCAAAAGTTCCCATAGCACTATCGCATAACTGAACACATCTGCCTTGTGGTTGTAAGGTTTGTGCTCAATGACCTGGGTTTCGCAAGTTTATGATCAAAAGTAAGAGAGCCAGGTCAAACAGAAGACTCCAAAATCATATTTCCACAAAAACGTAAAGCCTGATCAATATGTCTGAGGTACGACTCATGCATACCTCTGGAGCCATCCACCGGTAAGTCCCTGTTTCAGCTGTCATGACCCCTGATTCAAGCTGCACCCGGGCAACTCCGAAATCAGCAACCTTGACAAGCTGCTCAAAATTATCCCAAGGTTAGAACCTTAAGAGTCTGGTGATTTTAATAGAAATAAAAGAGGTTCGCAGAAGTAAATAATAAACAAATGTTAGCAGAAATTTGATTGTTTGAAGACTACAATATGAAGAGCTAGAGAACAAGTCTTACTCCGTGTTCATCCATAAGAAGATTGGCAGTCTTAAGGTCCCTGTGAATAATGTTGTTTTGATGCAGATAGTTCATTCCTTTTGCCACATCGAGTGCAACTTTAAGCAATGTTTGAAGTTTGAAAGCGCATTTCTGTTTGTGAAGAAAATCATATATGCTCCCTCGAGCCATAAACTCTGACACAAACATAAAACCAGTCAACTCAAATGACATGTTAATGTGATTACAACTCGAGTTCACATCTACTAAGAACTTACCAGTCACTATACAGAGTGTTGGAGATCTTGTGCATGCACCCAAAAATTGAACAACGTTTTTGTGTCTAACTTTCCTACAGACAGTAAAAGCATCAGTAACAAATGACACTGAAGCATGCATGTTGGTTACTTGATACATCAAAAGTGGTTTTAACATATGACACAGACTGAAAAAACTAAGCCTGTCCCCGAATATACATGTCAGACAAGGGAATCATTGATGCCACTCAGGCATGTTTCTGTATATAAAACTATGTACTGGATTTGAAGTGGAATTCGGGTAAACTACTATGGGAATATCCACATGAAACTGAGAATTAATTGCACTGACCTCATTATAAAAACTTCTTGAGAAAATTCTCTAAGCATCTCACTGTTTACACGCTCAGGCTTAAGAAATTTGATAGCTACTTCCTGACTGCAATAAGTGCCTTTATGCCTGCATAACCATCAAAATCAAATTACCTTAACAAATCTTACAGTTTTCAAAACGAGCTTACATAACAATAATACTCACAGATCCCCATATGAACCAGATGCCACTTTCTTTTCGATTTTGAGCTGTGACACATCAATTTCCCACTCATCAGTTCCATCCGAGGGTATTTCAATGCAGGTGGGTATAAGCTCATTGCTTGATTTGTCATGCTCAAAGAAAGCAATAGATTTATGTTTTGAACCAGGTTGATCCTGTAAAACAGAAAACTGTCAAATGTTTGAAGTAAAAAAGCAACAAATCATAGCAAAAAGAACTGTCTAGTATTACACTAAGGTAGGGCATATTTTCTCGTGATGTATCCTCCAAATTCATATTGAGATTAGTATCAGAATATATGAGGCATCTCATGAAGATCATAAATGGTCACAAAAGTTAAGATATAAAAAATACCTTAAGCTTCAGAATCTCTTTGCTCAATGCATCCTTTAGACCATCAGTTTCCTATAATTCCAAAGTGCATAAGATTCTCAAAATAACAGAGATAGAAAGGTACTCACGATCTCATTAAGGAATTCACTGTAACAAGTAGCGTGATACTTAAAAAAGCTGAAAACACCATACCTCCTGAGACCAACCATCTACTACAAAGACATCTAGAGAGAACCCATCCACAGTGGAAAAAGCATGAGCCTCTTGTATATTCAGTCCAAGCTCACCGAGTAGGGAAGTTAGCTGAAACGAAAACCAGTTTTTTCACTCAAATAATCACAGATATGGAAGAAATAAGCATCCATCCTCTACATGACAGTGTGTAACAAAGCATTTTCTATGGCAAAGTTAATGCAGAAAACAGTGATACTAGACTAAGGATCACCAACCTGGCTAAGGAGTTTTGGCTTATCGATGGTTGAAAATGTGATCTCGTGCATCGGTCTGCATGATAGACAACAAAGGATAACACCAGCGCAGATACAATTATAATTAATCATGAGACAAGACAGGAAAAAGTATATAAATATAATGAACAACATAACAGGAAATCTCACCGAGTAGACAATGTTGCATTCACGGCACTATCGACATCTTCAACAATCTTATTTCCCTGAGTAATAGCCTCAAAATTTGGAGAAGAACCAAAAGTAGGAGGAGCAAGAACCCTTTTGACAAAAACAAAGGGCACGATTAGAAAAGAAGTTACAGTGTTGAAAAGGGTTTAACTTTAAGATCGATATCAATTTGAAAGAACACCATACCCCTGCCCACTTGGTTGGCGAGAGCTTTGAGCATCTTCCTCCACCGCAGGGTCAGAGTCTGCAGCGCTTCTAGGAGAAACCTACAAAGAAAGAGGGACAGAGCAACCAATTAACACAAAAAAAAGCAAAAAAAAAAAACTTTCTAATAAAGCTTTCAATATTGACTCAAGCTTCTATTACCTGTACACTACGAACTTCAAACACAGGCCTAGTTGCAGGATCTTCCGCCAATTTTAGCAATCTCTGATGTGTGAGAACATCTTCTGCTCTCTCAACTTTAACATCAAGAGCATATCTGAAACAACATGCAACAACAATGCCAAAAACAAAACTCAGAAACCAACAACACACCAAGTAACTTCATTCAATTCATCGTTTTCGTGGATCAAGACACGTGTTGAGAAACGCAAAAGATTATCAATTTTTGACTCAGAGAGAGAGAGAGAGAGAGAGAGAGAGAGAAAGAGATAAATCAGTCACTGTCGATGAACATATACAAAACTTATAAATAAAACTGAATAAATCAAAAGCAAAACAAACACCAAAATTGAGTAGAAAAGTAAAGAAATTTTCAAGATTCTACAAGATACTAAAACTAGTACGCTCGAAAGTTAAATAAAATCAAAAACTGAATCAAATCAAATCAAATCAAAATAAAGAAAGAAACAAAAATAAAAAACCCTAATCAATGTAGAAGAGTACCGAGCAGGAAGACGATTGAAATGGAGCCAGAGCTGATCTTCGAAATCAGGAAGAGTGGCTTCTTCGTAATTAGATTCCTGAAGCCGCTGTAAAACCTCGCCGTAGACATCGAGTTTCATCCGGTAATGTCTAGGGTTTTCTTGAGACGGCGAAGCAACGACGGCTCTGCTACCGCAACTCTCCGACTCATCTTTGATCGTCATCGTAACCAAAAACCCACGGCGGCGGATCGGAAAAAGAAATCTCCCAAAATCGCTAAAGAAGAATGATCTTTAGAGAGAATGATCCAAGATTCCAAAACAGTAAAAGATGAATGAGAGAGATCTCTTGAGGGATTCTTATAAAACGCTGAAACAGAAAATAAAAAAGAGAAATATTTGAGAGAGAGAGAGATTGAGATTTTTTGGGCTTTGAGTGAGGAGAGGAACGTTACTGTGTGTGGTGTTACACGTAGGGAATGGCCACGTCATCCTTTTTGTGACTCTGTTTAATTTTCTTTTAGTTTATTACTTTCTTAATTAATTTGATTTTTTTTTTTGGTGGGGAATTTAATTTGATATTGGTAGAATTATGGTGAATCTTAACCGTAAGTTTTTGTGTTTTTTCTTTGGTAATTTTAACTTTTATTGTAACTAATCATCATAAGAGCGATATAAAAATATTATAAAATAAGTTATTTTAAGAAAAAGGTATATTATTTTTTAGTATTGTTATATATGTTATTTTTTTATAACTATGTATCGTTTACTGTTTTTTATATTTCGTATATAAATTCATATACAAAAAGTTTGGTTAAATATGTGTATTTAAATATATAAAAAAGGTAAGATAAAATTTAATTTATTTTAATAAAATTATAATTAATTTACGTTTAATGTTTAAAATTTTCACGGTTCAAAATGTCAACACAGTGACCATACTCGTTATTACTTTTGTCGAATAGTATAAATCAATCCCCAGCTACTTGGAGCGTATGAATATGAATTATCTCTTTAAACAGTTGTTTATATCTATTTCAATAGTGTCGTTGTTGAATAAATACTAAAAAAGTAAAATAAAAATTGTGTAATTCTCATCCGTTAGGTTAGGTCAAATTAAACATATTCTTTTGGAAAAACGATATGATTATTTTTATTGGTGTGACACAATCTTGGACTTAAACCAATGGTGTTAAATTGTTCTATAATTGGAGTCTAAAATAGCTAGGTAATTTTCTATTTTAATCGAGCAAAACCAATTATTAAAACTTAATCAGTGTAATAAGAAAATATGGACAAAAAAAAAGAACAATGATTTTTATTACTAGTTTTATTTATGAGTTTACTATTTTTATTTATTTTACTAAATTATTTTATTTTTGAAATTTTAATGTATAAATAAGCTCTATATATTCTATAAATTCTAAAATATTATTGTGAATTTGCAGTTGATTAAAAATGCATATCAATATACTAATTTTAGTTATTGGTTAATAACATACAATATAATATGAGTTTGGATTTAGATGGTGTGATGCAACTATGATACTGACACAAACCAGTTACATTGGTCAATGTTGATATAGAATTTTTGTATTCATAGTGGAGTTTCTTAATTTGTAATAATAAAATACACTAGATTTTACCCCGTGGTACACCACGGGGCCAGTATTTTATGTATATCTATTATGTAAAATTTTAACCAAATATGTATACGTACGATTAGATATATATTTCGTTTAGCATAGTCTTTGATTGTCAAAACGAATAACGTATCCTACATGGTGTATATAAATCAAAGAATATGTTAAATGCATACCTAGAGCACGGGAAAATTTCTAGTTTTTTTATAAACGAAAACATATTTTTTGGTAGATTTATTTGGTTGTGTTGATAATTTTTCATTATTTAAAACAGTAGTGATTTGATGGTCGAAATAATAGAGGATGGTTTAATGATAGTTTGCAGTTATAATGGCTAATAATATTTGTATATTAATGAGAAATAGTGTGTAAGAAATGATTTGAATTTATACTTTTCTAATGGGCTAGAATTTATCCCGTGGTACACTACGAGTCCATTTTTAATATAATTTTAGTGATTTGTATTATAAATAAATGATTTTTTATTTTTAATACTAATGCTACATTTTACATATATTTTGGTCTATTTGCAATAACTAAAAGTATTTATTGTTGAATATATGAGGGTTGAATTATTGAAAGAACTCAGTATGTGTATTTATAAAAATAAAAATACTATTATTAAGCTCAGTTTTGCTAAAATAATGGTGTACGTGTAAAACCACAGTTTGTAAATACATATAATTTTGTAAGACATATTTGGAACTTATTACTGAATATATATGAGTTAAATTTGAAATAAACATAAGTATTAGTATTATATATAAAAATGTAGTATTATTAAACTCTGATAGACTATACTAAAATGTATAATCAATAGAATAAACTTATTTAATAACTACCAAACAATCAAAGTTGTCATCATAAATTTATAAAAAAAAATTATACATTTTCAGATACGAAGTATGACTAATTTGGTAACGACATTAAAATTATCTTTACATTTTGATTAGTGGGAAAACCTAATTGTACTTATTTATTTTTGTTTGCTAAACAAAAACTTTAAAATCCAAGTTGGAAGAGTTAGATTATTGAATTTATGAATGTTAAATTAAAAAGAACTATAAGTATGTGTATCGTTTTGCAAGTTAACAGTACTTGTTATAGAATTTTATCTGGATTAAATAAGAAATTACTATAACTATGTGTAATTTTAATAGAAATTGTATTGTTACTAAGCTCAGCTTTGTAAGAGATTTATATGTACAAAATGAATAATTTGGTTAGTATATATTTGTGGAAGTATCGCAAATTTAATCATAAGTTACACTCAAATACAAAATAATAGTTTTTTTAATTTTTCGAAAATGGAAAAAGACAGAGAAAGTTAAAAAGAAATAATATTATAGATTATTGTATTTAAAAATGACAAAAAGATCAGAACGTGTAATTATGTACCTTTTTTCTAACACTTTAAAATGCAATGTTATTATGTACTGATGTAAAACAAAAAATAGTATCATGTACGTTATTTCCCGTATGTTGCCAAATTATTATATTGATTTGTATTCTTCTTTTGTTGTCTTTAGAGTTTCAGAATTTGGAGTGCTTTTGCTGTTGGTAAAAAAAATATATATATACAATTGGCAAGTAGCTTTGTGTTAGTCTGTATGCTTCGAGTATGTTGACTAATCCAAATCTAAAATGAAAACAAAAAATTACCTCTCTATATCTTAAGCAATAAAAATCACGTTATTCCGTATGTTGCCAAATATTATATGATTTGTATTCTCTTTGTGTCTTTAGAGTTTCAGAATTTGGAGTGCTTTGCTGTTGGTAAAAAAATATATATATACAATTGGCAAGTAGCTTTGTGTTAGTCTGTATGCTTCGAGTATGTTGACTAATCCAAATCTAAAATGAAAACAAAAAATTACCTCTCTATATCTTAAGCAATAAAAATCCCTCAGCTGGGATGGCAAAAAGGAAGAAGACATAAAAAGAAGCAGACAAAGGTGAGTTTATGTAACATGGTATTGGCGTTTAGTTTTTCTTTTCATAGGTATTGGTAGGCAAATGAAATAGTCACTGGAATTGTAAATTTTGTTTATGTGTGCTTTAGAATATCGTGTCGAGCTTAGTGATTTTAGATTAGGTTAATGAGAGTATTTATAATATGGTTTTGAGTTAGTAGAGAAAATCTTGGAGAGAAATTTTAGTATATCTTGTAAATAACAGAATTCCGGTATTATTAAGAAAAATTTAGAATCCATCCGTGGAATATGCTAGTGATTTAAAGAAAGATAATATTTTTAGCATTTTATTTGAAATATTGAATTGTTTGTGATGTTTTTTTTATTACCATAATAAGATTTCGAATATTTTGTTAGGATACTACGATTAAATATAAGCATTTAATATTTATTTTCATTTGGTAACAGAAGGATGTCGACATATTAGCATTTAATCTTTATTTCCTTACTATTCTATCTAATCCAAATTCTACGAAGAATATATTTTAAATATTGGTAGTATTTATTGGTATGCTAGGATTTAGGAACTTTTATGTCAAATTTCATCGTACAGTGTTTATTATGTTTACATACATAACAATGGGCCGATTCGGAAAGTATTGATGGGCTTGACGGAAAAAACATTTATATCTGTTAAGCCTTTCGTATTTGACATTTTAGTTTTGGTTGCAGGATCCGATAGTTGTAATCGGGTTATATTAATTGATTTTAAACCGACCCGATATATGAAATAACAATTTTAATCTTAATAATTAAAGGGTAGCTGCTTATTGTAAGGGTGTGATGTGTAAAATCGGATACCCCTGTTTGTGGCCAAAAAAATGGCTGCAAAAATAATAAGATAGATTTCTTACCATTTTAGTTTGAAGATTCAATGAACGATACTCTTTAACATTATTTTAATATGTTGTTGTTAATTATATCCCACTTGCACAACATTAGTGGTCCATAAGCATATTGATTAATATATAATCATTGTTTTGGTTCTAATTTTGTAATAGTAATCACACCAGTAAAACGAATTAGACTGTCGACGGTACCCGACACCACTAATGACAATTGACAAACAATGACTGGATCACACAAATTATTGGACAAGAAAGTTTGCCTTACTAATTAAAGTAGTAATAATGATTAAGTAACCAATTAGGGAGTAGCAAAAAGTGAGATTTGAGGAAATATTCTGAGGAATATGCTGACATTGCACTACATAAACAAATCTTGCAGATGTGTGTGATATATAAATATGTATTGTTCTTACGTTTAGATTAAATGACAAGTTCAATGAAACAACTTCGAAAACTTCTAATATATTTATTTGAGTACAAGTCAAAATTTTCTTCTTCTTTTTTTTTTTTTTAATTACTGATTGCACATTTGCACTACCATAAAACGTACACACGACTCTGCTAGTTGTATTTTACAAACCTTTCTTCTCTTGGAGTCTTGGAGTCTTGGAGATAGACTGATAGAGAACTTTTTTTTTTTTTGGCTAGATCTATTGGTGCTCAATTACAAAACCGTAACATACTTTTGCCAAGACCGAAAATATATATCTCACCTTATGAATTGTGCAGATTTGTTATCTATTTAAACTCACTCGTAAATTCATAAATAGAATAGTGTTTTGAAATATCAAAAACAGAGTTCGTTTTAATGAGAAATGGAGGTCCGGAGAATTAGGGATAACAATATCCCACATTGGAAGTTGAGTAAGATCTTAAGTGGTATATATAAGATATGGGCCTCTCCACTCATTGCCAATTGGTTTTAAATTGGAAGCCCACAATCTAATATGGTATCAGAGCCCGGTCCGCACAAACTCAACCCAATCCACAATCGATCTGGCCCAATAGTTGGCCCACCGATTCATGCCCGAACATACCGAGATTTATGGCAAAAAGAGCCATCATCTCGAGGAGGCGTATTAGGGATAACAATATCCCACATTGGAAGTTGAGTAGGATCTTAAGTGGTATATATAAGATATGTGCCTCTCCACTCATTGCCAATTGGTTTTAAGTTGGAAGCCCACAATCTAATACGGAGTAACTATATTGATTAAAAATAAACTTGTAATCCATAAGAAGATAATTTCTTTGTCATACCCGACCACTACACTTGTTACCAGCATAGCCATTGTTATCCACACCACTAGTTCGACAACTAATGTAGTATCAAGCCTAATCAGTATCAATGTCATAGATTGTACACAGAATCTTAGTCTTTCTAATCTAAACGTTGACGATTTCAAAATATTAGTAAACATATAAATTTAGCAGTGACTTACCTCCAGCGAATTCTTCAACTCTTCAGTTTTTTTCTTAGGGAACTCTAAGTGAACATCTTTGTTTACAGGTACAATCTCCAACCTTGGTTACCTTTCACGAAATATCAAAACCAATCCATTAGATGGTAGTCTGTTATAGGAGAACCAACAATATAAAACATTATGTTTTTCGTAATGGTTGATTGACAAATACTTGAGTAGCATCAAATGATTTAGATAAACTCCTAATATCTGTCATATTCATACTTTTATATAACATATAATATTTGGAGTGTTTATATGATAAATTTATACTTCAAAATAAGCTTTTATCTTAACAAATCTGATCACCACAAGTTGTTGCCATCAGTTTCTTAACAGGCTAGGCAAAAGGTACTGACAAGGTACACACCATTTTCTCATTACTTAGACACACTCTCACCATTACTGTCACAAATGCACAAATGCAACAAAAACATATTTAATATGGCCCCAAAATCAATAATTAAAACTACAGAAAAAGCCTTAACGGATTAAGAACATAGGCTTACTAAATTATACAAAGCCCATTAGCCCAATTAACAACGGCAGAGAGATCCGAGTCAGTTCCGACGGCGCTGACTAAAGAAACGCGTCGTCTGTGGAGAAAATTGAAAATTCCTCACAGTGAGAAAATAAGAAGAAGAAGAAGACGAAGAGAAGAAATCACGATTGACATTGAGAAAACAGAAATGGCTTTAACGATCTACACTTGCAAAGAATGTGGATCAGATCTAAATCTGAACCCTAACGATTTGTTCCCACGGGATTTCTACTTCGAAGCCGGAAACAAAAAAACACTCTCATTCGCCGCCGTCGACGCCGGAAAGTTCCGATTCGAAAAAGAAGACAAGATTATGCCTTTCTTCGAAACCCTAAACTACTGGGGAATCCAACGGAAACGAACCAAGATCAATTGCAATAGTTGCAACCACCTCATCGGCTACATCTACGACGATGGTCCTCCTCTCACCGGCGGTATTGGTCAGTACGGATTCGGTCCTAGTCAAGTCGTTCCTCGTGCTCCTCGGTATCGATTCAAAACCAAAGCGATTCAAGTCTCCTCTCAGACTTAGCTGAACCAGAGGGTTTAAAAAAATATAAACTTTGTCAAAAGGGTGAACATGATTGTAGATGTTGCTTGTTGCTTGATAAGCAGATCATCTGATCTTGTTGCTTGCTTTTGAAGAAACATCTACTATCCTGTTCTCTGCTTTGTCTCTTTGTCTGTTGTAGAATGAATCGGATTGAGTAGCTAGTTTAGTTAAGATATGTTTGGATTTTGATCATATTTGTAGTGTGTGTGTGTGGTTGTTTTGAATCATATATGTGATGTTTGTGTTTTGATGTGAATGACATGGTTTTGCTAAGTGCTCAAGTATGAATCTTTTAGTCTCTTCTTCAATGATCATGAATTGTTTTGCTTGGTGACTCGTTTCTTTGGTGAGACTAAATTCACTATTCAGTCGTTGAATTTTCGTACGAGGATCTTAAAGCTTAGTTTTTTTATGGTCTGTGGTCTTGAAAAGATAAAAGTGAAGAGAAGAAGAAGAACCAATAAGTGTTGTTTAATGGGAGGACGTCATATGAAAATGGCATTTCGGTGATACTGGATTGTGACAGCTATTTTAAGATTCAACGGCTGTTATTGAATATTGATGTACCACTAGTTGCTTGAAAACCATATTATTTTGTATTATCCACACACTACCTAATTGCTTAAATTATTATTGTTGATGTTGATGAAGATTAGAAGTTACATCTACTTGTCTTTTCTTGGACAGTTGAGTTTATAGTTTGTCTTAACGTATAAGATAATTTGAAGGGTAGACGTAGACGTTGGATAATTCTTTGGTATACTCTTAAGAATCTTAGGTGTTTCTCTTTAGTTTGAAGGTTAGATTCAGAATCTGCAGATACAGTCAGTAGCTTTTTGTCCTTTTCTTTTGTGATTTTTGTGTTGTATATAAAGTTCCAAGTGATTTTAGTTGGTGAAAGGTGAAGTCCTGGTATGGATATGAAGAAACAGATTATGGATGAGTCTGAGAAGTTGTATTGTAAGAAGTCATTTATGCTGCCTCCTCCTCCTCCACCGCTTCCTCCATCTCCGGGATATGGATCAAGAAAGATCGATGGAGACAGCATAACCAATAAACAGATCAAGAAGTTTTGGAGGCAGAAGCAGATCATTGAAGAGGATCATCTCTTTTCTGCTATTAAGGCTGCAGCTCGTGTCAGAGCTCGTAATCTCTCTGTATGTCTTTTAACAATTCTTGTGTGGTTGTTTAGATCATTTGAGAGGAAATTTGATGTTTCTTGATTCGTCCTTTTAACTCAATGGAGATCAAGATGGTTCTGATGTCTATATCTATTGCAGGCTGAGGATTACAAACGCTTTGAAGAAAGTTTGTTGGACATGGAGGACCCGGAAACCGAAGATAATCAGGGATTAAAAGACTGGTCTCTGTTTAATTCTTATTCATATTATCTTTACACATGTACATATAACTTGAACCATTAGAGGAGCCTAAAACAAGAACCAAAGGATTTAACTTCTGAATGTGGATGTGTATCTTGGATTTAGGTGGACGAAGAGCAAATATGCATACTTGAACCAGCCAGCTCTGGGATCTGCAGATTCACTGAAGAGAAAGAGGTTTTCGACGTACACACCAAACTGTTTCTCTTTCAAGCCTTGCAATCCTCTCTACGCAACTTCGCTCAATGTCTTTTGAACCATGAGCAAACTCTGCTGGATCAATTGTCTTGCAAATATGTATATATAGCTATGTGCGTGTGTGTTTGTGTCTGTGTCATTCATGTGTTACTTACTGCTTCCATGTTAATGGATTTGGACATTGGTGCGTGGTTCTTGATTTGTAACTGTTGAATAAAACTCGATCTTTCTATGGAACATTAATTTATTTTTGTTCCATGGATGATGAAGTTATTGTAGCACTTTGGTGTTTTGATATTTCTACCCATAAGAAAAATTCAGATGAATTATACATCTCTTTATACATCTCAATTTTGATCAGTGACTTAACTATTTCAACCTAAAAATTGTGGTGACTAATAAGGTTTTTTCTCCCATTGATTTTTGGATTTTATAATAACATTACAATGATTAAGGGGGAGAAGATTTAGGAGTTAAGAATTGTGAAGATTAGCGATAAAGGAGAAAGGCCAAACAAACATGAGAAAGGAAAAAAATGTTGGAGTTTCGCGATTAGAGCTTTTGAGCAAGTGTAGTCGAAAAGTAAAACCTTTCATTTTGCGTATAAAAATGGATAGTAAGAATTGGTCTTCAGTTGCCCAAAATAAATAAATAAAAATTTCTTAGCAAAGATGAACTACACTTTTTAGATTTTGTTTTCTTTTTCTTTTCTACTTATTTTGAAATACGTTGGTTTCATTTTTATTTTCTCCCAAAAATCATGAGTTTTTCTTTTGAAAAATGCAAACTCTTTTAATTTTGTTTTTAATATAAACTTTGGTAATGATTTTTACCGAAATTTAGTATCACACTAAAAATGAAGCAGTAGAGTGTGGATGGTAACAAAAGTGATGGGTTTATGAAACTTTTCTGATGTAATATGGACAACTTTTGTTGTACAATGTGTGAACAAAAATTGTATATTTGACGTAATATTGAGATTGTAGATTCCTCGACAAAAGATTTAAAATTTAGATTCATTGAGTGAATATATATATATAGTTCAATTTGTATCATAAATTTTTGCGTAAGTAATTTTTATGCAATTATTATATCAATTAATAAAGCAACAAACATTTTGACAAGTTTGTATCACTTTTAACTTTCAAGTTAAGGCATGAAGGTAGAAAATAACCAACAATTATTTAGTCTACTACATTAAGAAATTATGCACAATTGGTTTGTATAAGGCTTTTTTTTTTTTTTGAAATGGGATTGTATAAGGCTTTTATGCGGCTTTATTATATGGGGTTTAATTAATTATCAAGATCAAATAATTTGAAATTGACTACATAATTAGAATAAAAGAAATTAAGGAAATAAATTGTAAATCATATATATTTATCTAATGTTATTTATTTTGTTGTTTCCTCGGATTGTCTTTGCTACTAATGATTAAGTTATATATATTAAGTTTGATTAGTTTTCCAATCAATTTATTAGAAATCATATTAACTTAAATATAATTCATCCATTTCTGTACAAATATTAGTTTATTTATTTATTTTATTTTACATTTTATGAATATACAATATAATTAGTTTTCATTGGTCAATTAATTATTATGAATAAAAGTAGAAATTTTATCAAAAAATTTATTCAAAAGGTAAGCTACATTTATTATTTATTATGAAATAAAATTAAAATCATTACACTGAATATGAAACCAATGAAATATATATCATTGATTTGTTTCTAATAAAACAATAATGGTTAAAAGGTTGACCATCTCAATTTAAGACAAGCACTGGTTACATTCAGTGTTTTTTGCTCAGTTTCAGAGAATGGGGTTTCATTGGAGATATATTACAGTAATTCTTGCATATATAGATTTTAAGTATGTGCAAAGATCTAGAGAAACAAGAATTAAGAAATTAAGAGCACCGCTAATAGGCAGTTACCGGATTGTGCAATCAAAAGTAGTAGACAAAAATGATTAGAAGAGAATAACCAAATCAAAATACTATGATAAATTACTGGAGATATCATATTCGTGGAAAATTTTCAAATATTACACGAAGCGGAACATTTGATAATGTTGATGTATCGTGAAAACAAACAAAAAGAAATTGAAAAAAAATAAGAAGTGACCAAATCATGGATTTGTAATGTGTAACATGTTCTAAGCATATCCGGTTTATGTAAAGAGATATGTATTGCTAATAAAATATATATACACATGATCCAAGTGTGAGAGATATCATGTTTTTTCCAATATTGACTTTAGCCTAATAGGTATTTAGGTTGGAAAACCTTGTGATTCTGAAGAATGACATTATTGGCCAATTACATTAATTAAGACTTTTTCTAGTAATGAATGTAATTTGAATATCATTCAAATGGACAAAACAAACGGGGTAAATTCTGACTAAACAAAAAGTATAGGGAACGAAACCATACAAATAATAAACTTAAAGACCGATTCCGAAAATTCCAAAAAGTCAAAGCCACCTTCCTAACTTGTCTGTATCTAACAAATACGCACACAAAGACGAAGACAAAGAAGAGGAAGAAGAAGAGAATCAATCACACAAGAAAAACTATATAATTCTTCATTCTTATTATATATATAAATAGACTTCAATCTAAGCTTCGTTGTAGCTTCGTTCAATGTTGTTCTTTTAGATCTCGAAGAACACAAAAAGAGAATTTACAGAAGAAAAAATCAAAAACCATGGCGTCTAAATCGAAGCAGCATCTTCGTTATCAGCCGCGAAAGTCTCCGTCACGATCGACTCAGGCGTTCACAGTGCTAATACTTTTACTCGTAGTGATTCTGATTCTTCTGGGTCTTGGGATTTTGTCACTGCCTAATGCTAATAGAAACTCTTCCAAGACGAATGATTTGACCAACATTGTTAGGAAGAGGTTAGTGACGATTCCGATCTGGGTTTTGTTTTTTGATTTGAAAGTTTCGATTTTTTTGATTTGGGTTTTGGTAATTTTGTGTTAGTGAGACGAGTTACGAGGAAGGGAATGGAGAACGTTGGGTTGAAGTGATTTCTTGGGAGCCTCGAGCTGTTGTGTATCACAATTTCTTGGTACGTTTTTGTTTCTCTTTGATGGTTTTGGAGTTTGATTGCTTCTTCATGTTTGTATTTCTTGTTAGACAAGATATTAGCTTTGAGATTGTTTTGCTTCTAAATTTTGATGGATCGGGTTTGACTTTAATCTTCTTGAATCTTACATTGAGGATTTGTGATGAATTGTGTTGACTTTGTTCTGCACTAGAGTTTATGTTTTTGGTTTTCTTGAATCTTCCATTGGAAATGTTGAGTGAAAAATGGCTAAGAGGAATGAATCAGATGTTTCTCTCATGAGAAGGATTGGAAATGTGGTTTTAAGATGTGATCTTGAGCTTTGTTTTTTCTTCTCATCTCTGTATCTGTAGACCAATGAAGAATGTGAGCACTTGATCAGCCTGGCTAAACCAAACATGGTTAAGTCAACTGTTGTTGATGAGAAAACTGGTGGGAGCAAAGATAGCAGGTTTGTAGCAACCTCTTTCCTTTTGTCCTTGTAGTTTAGCTTGGGAATTTTTGTTGTTTTCTAATTGATTGGGTATCAATCATGTGCAGAGTAAGGACTAGCTCAGGAACTTTCCTTAAAAGAGGACATGATGAAGTTGTCGAGGTGATTGAGAAAAGGATTTCAGATTTCACCTTCATTCCTGTTGGTAAGTGCCCTTTGCTTTAGTTATCCAATACTTTGATGCCCTGTAGGAAGTATTAAAACATCGTAAGATCACTAGTTGCAGTTACTCTTGATATCATGTGTTTTGTTCATTTAGAAAACCTTATGTGAGTTTGTGGATCATACTTTTGTTTATAGAAAATGGTGAAGGTCTTCAAGTTCTTCACTACCAAGTTGGGCAGAAGTATGAGCCTCACTATGACTATTTCTTGGATGAGTTCAACACCAAGAATGGAGGACAAAGAATAGCTACTGTGCTTATGTACCTGTAAGTAATTTACAAAAGTCGCAATCCTCTGTTCTCAGTGAATTTCTGTGTTCAGTCTTGTTATTTTTTTTACACGTTACTTAGCTCGGATGTCGATGATGGTGGCGAGACTGTGTTCCCTGCAGCAAAAGGAAACATTAGTGCAGTGCCATGGTGGAACGAGCTCTCAAAATGTGGCAAAGAAGGACTATCTGTTCTACCAAAGAAGCGAGATGCTTTACTTTTCTGGAACATGAGGCCTGATGCCTCTCTAGACCCTTCGAGTTTACACGGTAAAGACTAAAGAGATTCTACACCGAAAACTATCCTTTTGCTTTCTCTTGAAGCTAATACATGATATCAGTCTCTAAACTTTAACATCCTATGCTTTCATTTTCAGGTGGATGTCCAGTGGTGAAAGGAAACAAATGGTCATCCACGAAATGGTTCCATGTCCACGAGTTCAAGGTTTAAGAGAAACAAAACACAAAAGCTAAAACTCGAGGAGGTAATCTCAAGATACCTCTCTAATGACATCTTCAAGATTGCCTCTCAAGTTCTTTATTCATTATCTGCAACCTCACATTTTCATTTATCAATCTGTAGGTTTCCACGGTAGCTTCAAATTTGTGTGGATACAGGTAAACAGGTGTAATGTGTATTTCCCTTTTGAAATGAGAGATCTTTTAGGACATTGGAGGCTGTTCTTTCATGGGGATTATTTGAACTTTTTCTTTGGAACTATTTAAAACTATTTGTACTTCACGACATGTTCGGATCTGAGTTTTGTAACTTTAACAACTGAATACAACCATGCATTTTCAGGTTTACATGCACAACTATATTGAGTTGATTAATAGAGTTGAACAAAATGTTTGTATTGATATGTTATTTGCTTCGATCTGATTACATTTACTTGCATAAGAAAACGAATTAGAAAGCTTAATATCCATGAAAAAGCATGAACGTTAAATTTAGTAATAATTGATAGATGTAATATAATATATATATATATATATACATCTCTTTATATTTATTAGGTAAAAGATCTATAAATGTATGGACTACCAATATGGCTTTTTTTTCTTTGATAAAAGTAAAATTATTATTATTTTTGCAGATTTTATAAACTTATTTATCAAACTAATTACTAACTCATTAAAATTCTAAAGATATTAAGCAAGACAAAATCTATGTATATTCCACTACCTTTTTTGCTAATCATATGACTCAAATCTTTGTAGCTACACTTCAAATATTCCACGTGGAAACATACCGAAACAAAATTGCACAAACCATCACCTAAATTGAACTATAAAAAGGGATATAGAGTAACTTTTACCAAAAAAAAAACAAAAAAAACCTTTGAGAATGAAGAGCATGATCTTGAAGCTTTTGTTATTGGTTTCTCTTCTAGTTGTTGTCATCCGTAAGTACACCTTACCAACAATATCAATTTGAAACAAACCAACTAATACATTATTCTCTTTACCAATAGTTATTATAGGACCAAAGATGGCAAACTATACATATTCTCTTATATATTATTATTTATTATAAAGTAGATTTGGATCATTTAGTTAATTTTGTTGTTGTTGTATCAATTTGAAGGACAAAGTTATGCGGTTGCGGATTATTGCGATGGAGACGATGACTGCAAACTGGTATGCATACCACCTTACGCTTGCAACCTAACCCGACACCTTTGTATGTGTAACCCAAACCCAAGTCATGATCATGCCAGTTCTTCTGAAGAACATTGTATTCCAGGACACAAAGATTGTGGTGGCATCCACTGAAATTGTAATGACAAAAATGCATATGTATATGTTTTCTGCTTTTAAAAAAAAAAATATTTGGAACAAAATGAAGTATAATTTATGAAATTTGATGTATTATATGTTGATAATCATGATATACACCGCGGATTAAATCATTATTTATTTATATTTTTCTGATGAAATGTTTTGATTAGATATTATAATTTTGAATGATGTGTCATGCTAAGAAGAGCTCCAAAAACTGATGTATCAAAGTCGGAGAGAATCTCATTTTATTTCTATTGTGTTGATGATACATAAATGCTATTTATTAATATATTTTCATATCTTAGAAACTTTTTTTTTTATATAGAAATTTTAATTATCGAACTAATATTTTATCTCATTAAAATTTTTAAAGTTGTGAAGCAAATCAAGCAATATACAATACATATATGAATCAATTAATATTCCACTACTTTTTCATGTTTATTGGTACTGACCATTTTTGGTTAGTCATACTCATATCTAGTAGTAATTACACCTAGAAGATCTCCAACGTCGAAATATACAAACATATTTTTGTTTTTATAGTTCAAACTATCACCTAAATTGGACTATAAAAAGGGATATATAACACCATAACCTTCACCACTGAAACTTGAAAGCAAAAATAAAATTAAATAGTTTTGATAATGAAGAGCACATTCTTGAAGTTTTTGTTATTAGTTACTGTTTTAGTCGGTGTCTTCCGTAAGTATTACCTTACCAACAATATCATTCTGAAACAAAAAGTTCATCATTTTTCTTTAAGATTTACATTTCTTTTAATTGTAATTTTGTTATATTATTGTTTATTGTGTTTGAAGGACAAAACTATGCAGTAGGAAGTTATTGTACTAAAGACAGTGACTGCAAGTTAGTATGCATACCACCGTATGCTTGCAGCTTGACCCGTCACGTTTGTATGTGTCATCCTAACGATAACAATTCTTCTAAAGAACGTTTTATTCCAGAACATAAAGGTTTTGGTAAGAAAAAACTTCCATATCATCAATTGAAAATATAATGACAAAAATGGATATACATGTTCTGAAAAAAATGTTATTATAAAATAAATGTAATATTACTTTTTAAGATATCAAATCGTAAACTACTTAATTAATTGGATTTTTCTTAGATGATATTTATAAAACAAAGAAAAATATAAGGTGAAATACAACTTAAGCCGGTGGAAAAACAAAAATTTTCCAAAATTTAAAGTCCAAACGACGAAAACAAAGTCGGCGATTTTTTATCGTAAACTACTTAAATGACTAAAGTTTTTGATTTTAAACATAAAAGCCTTTTTAGAAAGAAAGACAAATAGCCAGTAGTTTGATAATCTTGGTTATATTATCTTAAGGTTTTATTGCCGGTAGTTTATGTTCTTGGTTTAAGATTTCGGCTCCTTTTATTTTTGATTGCAAATTTTCTGTTTTATATTTCGTTTTTCTTTTGATTTCCTTATATAGGACTAGTGACTCTGGGGACATTACCGTCGTCCGCCGGCTTAAGTTTCCCTCTTTTGGGCGTTGTACGTATTTCATTCTTAGTTTCACAACAAGTTTTAATATAATTCCAGTTGACAAAAAAAAAGACAAATAAGCATTATCTTTGCTTCAAACATAATTAGGCGGCACCCAAAAACATATACATCTATTGACCGAGGTCGGAGATTATTATTAGACAATCACGGTCAAAAATATAAAACTTGAGCATCGATTATATATACATAGATGTATATGTTTGGTTGCCGCTGCCGTCTAATTATGTTCGGATTGACTTGTTTAACTCGTCTATGACCTAAGTCTTCAACATGGTACTTGTAGTTGTAGACTTTGTGTTCTATGACAAAGTCTTATTGGTTAAAAAAAATGGTTACGTCGAAGTTATATTTCCTTATATAATAAGAGTGTAAGCTCAAGATTATCAAGAGCTAAAAAAGGAACGAACACATGTATCTTCTTTCGGCTACACACGTAGACCATACACACAAAAACAAAACCATTCTTATCATAAATACGTCTACGTATGTATTTATGTAACTCTGATGTGTTGTGTATGGGGACTCACCTAGTGACCTAGTGGCATGGACCCAAATGTTCTTAGGATTGTATAAAAATATATTTGATCTAAAATATCTTCCGGGATGATATTATTTTGTTTAAATGTCGTATAAATAATACATCAGGATCGAGTATTTAATACAAGGAAGCCACTATGTTACATGTATTATTTGAGATATTTGTGTGTTTAAATAAGTGTTTGAATACTTTACTTTGGAGATAGAGATAGACACATCTCTTCTTCTGACATCGAATTCATTATTTAGATATACATGTGTTTAATGTCATGTGCATTGAAGATGTGTTACAAAGCTTACTGCGCAGTGCCGTCTCATGGTGTAAGCCACGGCAGTGACTGCTTCGGTCATCCGTAAAACAATGCTTTGATTTGCAAAGTGTTCACGTTTTTATTTGTTAACTGAATCTGGACACAAAGCTTACAATTCACAACTACTCATTTCTTTTTGTTTGTTTGAAGTAAACACATTTTTGTATTATATTGCCACTATATGATGGGGAAAACTTTAGTTGCATCAAGATTCACAATTTTAAAATTGGTGTTTTCGAATATTATGATTTTCTTGAACATATATCTATTAATTTAAAGGTATGCTTGCTATAATTTCTATTAATAATATATAATGGTGTTTTATTTTGTCTGTCAATTATAATAAAATATTGGGTTGGTAAAATAGGTATATCTAATAACCATTTTTAACTAGTGGAATGAGACCAGTGAACTTAACTTAATTTTATATAAAAAAAGAAAATTTTCATGTGTACCATCCCTATCATACAATTATCTAAAAATGTTAGGTCAGGTTATTCTGACAGTTATTTGAAAAAAAAAATCCTAAAATTAATGTATACCATAAACTTTTACTTTGATCTAAAATGCACTAAATTGACTTAATGATAGCATGAAAATAAACCATGGACTTTAAATAAAATAAAATAAACTAATTTAAATGAACTTTGATTAGATTTAAAAAAATTCTGCAAAAAAGCTTTTAAATAACACATTTTTGCAACTTTATCTTCAATTTGAAAATTGCATATCAACAATACAAAGTCGAGCTTAATGTACGATATAACCTATTAGAGTTTTTAAATTTTAATATTCTCTATGTTTCAAAAAGATTGATGTCTTTGCTTTTTTCACACATATTAACAAAAATTAAATATTTATTTATAAATTAATTTATAACTATTTTTTGGTATTAAAAAAAATATAAACCATTAGGTAAAATGTCATGTGGAGAAAAACGTAAAGTAAAAATATTGTATCAGTTTAATTTAATTTACAAAATCAATTTTTTGGAAACAAAAAAATAATATCAAAAACAGAAAGAGTGTTAGATTTAGGTACTTCTTCATAAGACTTTTGATATAATATATTATTTATTTTTAACTTTTAGAAATTGAAAAGTGTGATCGAATGAGATTTTATTACGGGTTAAGTTGAACTTCGTGGACTTAATTAACTTTTTGTTAGTTTACAAGTAAACTTGCATAAATAATAAAACATAGAAGATATTTTTTTTTTGTAGAAACTCTAAATAAGATATTAACTCATGCATAAATTTTCTTGATTCATTTAAGATTGTTCGGGAAAACTATATATCATTTCAGACATTCGTTGAATTCTTGCACAAAACACAGGAAAATTTACAAAAATAAATTAGCTAGGGAAGATCCAAGGTCATCATCGTCTATGATGAAGTTAGTAACTTAGTATATCTAAAGTCAAAAGTTTGCAAGTGACGTTAATTAGATTATTAGCTTTTGAAAACGTTGGTTTCAATTTTGTAGAAACTTATTTAGAAAACAAAATTGTCAACTTAAATCATTTGTGTTATTATGTAAAATTTATATAAGTTGAATTTGAAAAATACGTTTAGTCTTTTTTTTTTTGTCAACAATACTAGCAATTAGCTCAAACGAGCCAATTCAGGGGACAATTGTTTACATACTTAACAGGGAACGGAGTGGTGCGAGCATTTCGCGCCAGAGAATCCGCTTTTACATAAGATTACGAGAAATATAATAAATAGAGAAAGATGAAAATTCTTCCCTATCAATAGCAATATCCTCAAGGTAGACAGAGAAGGCCGGCCACTCAAACGGAGAAGACACCATCTTCACCAAGTCGGAACGTTTAGTCATTTATTGTAATTATTTAAGCATTTGACTAAACAAATGAGAAAAAAAAAACAGGCATTTAGTTCTATACAAAATTAGAATTTTTCTACCAAAAATAAAATAAAATACCAAATTAGGATTTTGAGTCTCATCAAAAAAAAAAAAAAGACAAAAAGCGGAAATTTGGATCAAAATCCTACAAAAATAATTAAAAATGGAACAATTTAACAAAAAGGTGGTAAAAATCTGAAAATGACATTTTTAATCATGTTTTTATGATGTTAATCTTAATCACAAATCAAACACCTTGCTTTCTCCTAAGTCCTAAGTCCTAATCCTAAGTCCTACCCTAATTACTTTTCTAAGCTAAAGTGTAGTATAATTCAAAATTGGGAAATGAGACTATTACCTAAGAAATAACGTCCTCTAATTGGCTTACCTAAAGAAAAAAAACTGTTAGTTAATTACTAATTTTCAAAAGATGTGCTATGCCAAATTGATGATAGATAAGAAAGTTGTATGCCCCGTGAGGGCTCTCATCTCTCATTTTCTATAAGTTCTCTTCTTCTATAAATCAATCTCTGACTCCGTGCTCTTTCTGAAAATTCGTAAAGTTTGAAACTTTCGTGGTATATATCGTCGTCGTCACTGATTGTGACATTCAAAACAAAACCCAAATAAAAAGATTAATCCTTTCTTCACCTACAACAAATTCTGGCCATGAAAGCAAACTCACCCGAGCTTTAAATGCTAAGTAGCGAAACATCCCATCTCCTCTCTTCCTCTCTCTCTCTCTCTCTCTCTCTCTCTCTCTCTCTCTCTATCTCTTAAGCACTAAGCAAAATCCCATCTTTTCTCTCTGTAGTAATCCTATATAAAGCCTCTCTCCAAGCTCTGTTTTTGTTATCTGGGTTCTCTTCGTTTACGCATAAGGGTTAAGTATGTCGTCTTCTTCTTCTTCTTCTTCTTCTTCTTCTTCTTCTTATAGATTCCAATCTGGGTTTTGTCCTCTTTCGTCAAGTCCTTCTCTTGGGAATTTCGTCGAACGGATTAAAGACGCTTGTCATTTCCTCGTCTCTGCTGTATTGGGGACCATTATCTCTGCGATCTTGACCTTCTTCTTCGCTTTAGGTTTGTTTTCTTTCTCTTCCCCTTTTCTTGGAATTGTTCTGGAGTTTCAAAAGACTCGATTTTTGGATCTGATTTTGTCTCTGTGCAGTCAAATATTTGTTGTTGCTCTGCTGCAAATTCTGAGATTGTTTTGGTAACTTATCTTTGATTGGGTTGATATGAATCATTGAATTGATATGGTTATTAGAAATTGGTTAGCTTGGAGCTAAGAAAGTTGTTTCCTTTTTTCATGTTTAGTGGGCACATTGCTAGGCGCACTTACAGGAGCTTTGATAGGCCAAGAAACTGAGAGTGGTTTCATTAGAGGAGCAGCAATTGGAGCCATTTCAGGAGCTGTTTTCTCTATTGAGGTCTTTGAATCATCTCTCGATCTCTGGAAATCCGATGAGTCAGGTTTCGGATGTCTTCTCTATTTGGTGAGCAGCAACACTTTACCCTGTTTTCAAGTTGCTATGAAGTTTGGAATGTATGTATATTTGGATATTTGATTGGATTGAACTTCGAATTGACTAGTGTTTCTTTTGTGTGTAGATTGATGTCATTGTTAGTCTTCTAAGCGGGAGACTTGTACGGGAACGCATAGGTCCTGCAATGCTAAGTGCGGTGCAAAGTCAAGTACGTTTTTGCATACAAAGCTTTTCAGAACTTTTAACATTCCCGTTTTATTCGCATCTTCATCTTTATTAATCTTTCTTTGTCTTGTTTCTCCTGATCAGATGGGAGCTGTGGATTCATCCTTTGATGATCAAATAAGCCTCTTTGATACAGGAGGCTCAAAAGGATTGACAGGAGACCTGGTTGAGAAAATCCCAAAGATGACAATTACTGGTACAAATAACACAGATGCTTTTGAGAACACAGACTCTTGTTCTGTTTGTCTTCAGGTTGGTTCTAAACATCAGTTTGCTTCGTGTTAGCTCATTATATCGAATCAAGTACGTGACTGAAACCTGTTTTGGGGATTTTCTTCTCCTTGTATCTGATTTTGCAGGATTTCCAGCTTGGTGAAACAGTTAGAAGCTTGCCTCATTGTCATCACATGTTTCACTTACCCTGCATAGACAATTGGCTCCTCAGGCATGGTTCTTGCCCAATGTGTAGACGTGACCTTTAATCTCTCTCTCTCTCCCCGTTGTCCATCTCTCATAATGGAGTCAAACCGCGCAGTTCAGATATATCTACAGCTCGTACCACAAGAGCCGGCTCTGCTCCTCTTCCTCTTCCACAACTTTCATGTAAATTACAGTTCCTTTTGGCTGTTTACATTACCGCACCTCTCTTTTTCTTTCTGAGTCTTTTGTAGGACTCCTAGTTCTCTAATGTTATGTTTTAGTTAGCCCTTGTACAAAGAAACACACAAAAATAGAGTTTTTGTTTACCTAATTATTTATTCTGGCTAAAGATTGTGTCACTTGTGTTCCATTGAGCCAGAAACTAGTTTGGTCGGCTTTATTTTGAGCACTTGAAACCAGATACAATACTGACGACACCAAATCCATTGAACGATACTACTAGATTCTTGTCTGGTGGAACCAAACTAAAGTACTTACGTATTTAAAGCACTCTTTTATGTAAAATTTGCTCTACCTAACAATACTTAAAAATCAGTTGGTTCTTTCTGTCTGTGAAGTCGTTGTCTAGCACCAGATTGCAATATTGAATCGTAATTAAAATGACTCCTACTAAAATACTATGTCCTCTAGTTCTTCTGGTAGTTCTGTTACACTAAACACACTGCATCAGAGCCTTTGTACTGCTCCTAGTACTCATAACTTTTATCACATGGTATTGTTTTTTAGGGTAGTTAAAAGAAGTTCCAAGGATTTAATACAGATCGTAACAAAAAACAAATTTAGCTTGGCTGCTTAATATGCTATGGCATCAACTGTTTTGTTAGCTGTTTACATGTTGCAAGTAATGAGACTGAGCCACCTTGCAGCACCGTGTTTGCCCGAGGTGTAGACTTAAGTAGACATGACGTTTAATCTCTCTCCCCATGCTCTTCGTGCTCTTCCTCTAGTCTTATGTAAATGACAGTTCTTTTTAGGACTCCTAGTTCTCTAATGTTAGGTTTAGTCAGCATATATATGAATCACTCAAAAATTGAGTTTTGTTTATTTAAATTCTTTTTTATATCTTCTGGCTAATGTTGTGTGACTTGTGTTCCATTACGCCAGAAAACTAGTTGTTCGGCTTTTTCTTGAGGACTTAAAACCAGAGACACGAGTAGTTAAATATTAAAGGCACAAGTACGTACTTATATATCCAAATCACTCTCTAATGTGATATCAAACTTTTTTTGTGTGTGTGTCTGAAGTCATTGTCCATCCCCATATTGCAAAATCCAGTCGTAAATTCGTAATTAATATGACTTCTACGATTAATTTCTGACCTCTCCCTCCCTCAGAGTCTTAAACAATTCTAAGTGCTCTTAATTGTTGTTTCCTTAGCTGTCAACTTCCAATTACAATATTGGCCTCAAAACTCAGTGCAAAGATGAGAAATTTTTGCTCAAAGTGTTGCGAGTAGGGAAACGACCAACAAAGTTGCTTTGATAAGCATCAACTAAATTGCTTTGCTAAGCTTCAACAAAGTTGCTTTGATAAGCATCAACTAAATTGCTTTGCTAAGCTTCAACTGAGTTGCTTTGCTAAGCATCAACTAGAGTATTTTGTCCTCTGACAGGTTGAAAGTTGTACATTCTTTCGTAGCAAGCTTAATCACATTCGATATGTATATTATAAAAGGATATAGGTAGATTGAACCGAGTAGGCATGAAGAAACTAATAAGAACATATCAAAACCTATAATTAGTCTCGGATCCTTTCATAGGTCTAGAGATTTACCCTGAGTTATTAAAAAAGAAAAGAAAATTCTAGAGAAAAATAATTTTGATCACGTAATTGAAGTTTTAAATCAATTAACGATTCTATTATTCTAATATGAGAATAGGATCCCTTTTCTAAATATATAACTCTATATCATTATATTTTAAAGTATGTCTAAGGATTTTAGCAATCCTTATAATTCTACTTGTACCACGAAAACTACGTCAAATTTTAGAAATATATACAGTATTTGACACAAGCAACACTTGTATCATTAGATTCAAAGTTCAACGAAAAGCTTGCAACAATTCAAACGAAAATAAAACCAACGAAAACAAAAATACAATAAAACGAAATTAAAAGACAAAACATTAAAACAAGAAAAAAGTGATAAAGTTTTAAAATAGGTTTCAAGATTCCGAGAGCAATAGACGAGTCGATATCTTAGATCATTTTGAGCATATGCTTTCTTGACTTTTTATCAATCTTAGCTCTTTGCATCTCCAAGTGTAGAGCAATCTGCATCTGCTCCATCTCTCTTTGAGCCTTTAACATGGCAGCTAGCTCTGAATTCGCCGAGCTTCTTCCACTACTACTTCCTCCTTCTCCACCTCTTCCTCTTCCTCCTCTTTTCGGCTTTTCCTCTTCTTCAGCGACGCATGAATGTAAATGAGCACCAAAGTCACATGTCTTGCAATAGTACAACCACTGATTATCCAACATAGTTTCGTCGCAAACATCGCAGCCAAACACGTGATCCTTTGGGCAAGGAAGACTGTAGATCAAAGCGAGCGTGTGGGCGTGCTCGCTATGCTTCATGGTCTCTGGCATAGACACACATCCAACGTGAACATCGTACTGGCAGGTAGAGCAGTTGTAAGTGAACCCGGATCCATACTCACCACATGCGTTACAAGTGTACGTGGAGTTATTATTCTGTGGGGAATAGAGGAGGGTTAGAGGGTGATTAGGGTGAGACTTGTGACGGATCTCTCGTGGAAGATCCAAACATGACTTGTGCAAGAAGTAATCACAATCTGACTTTGTGCACTTGAAAGATGCACCGATTAGGTTTAGGTCGCAACCAGAGCAGATGATCTCGTCTTCAGCTTGGGCTTTGTAGCCGCGCAATGGATGGTTGTGGCTCGGGTGTCTCACTGAAGGTTTCCCTGAAGCCATTAGAGGTAATAATACTCTTAGATTTGTGTATTTTTTTTTGTTTCTTATTTTAGACAACAAGGTTTTAAGCTATTTATAGTGAAATTAGAAGAAGACTTTTGGTAATCAATTACATAGAAAAAATTTGAGAAATATAAGAGAGTTTACTTTTAGGGTAGAATCGTTATGTATTTTGGTTTGACTAACCAAGTTGTAGCTTGTCTTTTAAGTATAATGGAACAATAATGTCTCGCTCTATGAATATGTATTGGACATGGTTCACATTGGGATTTAAACGTAACTAAAGAGGTGGATTGGATAATTGCATAATAAACGAGTCAAAGTCTCAAATAAAGTCATTATCATGTTGGCCTAAAGTTTCAATACCGTTGACATAGTGAATGATGTGAAAGTCAAAATACTCACGCTTAGTCTCTAATGCATATCGTCGACAAGTCATCGGTACATTCAAGGATCGAGTCAAATTGTATGAAAGATTATTATTGAAAAATTTCTATACAACTTTTTATTAATAATGTATAAATCATATACACTTCTGATTTCGACCTGGACCACCATAGAAGAAGTGAATTCCCCAGAGATTATTATAGGCAGACCTAATGTTATAACACCCCTCTTGTGTCATATAAGAATAACCTTCTTTAGGTTTTATCTTAATATCGTGTTCATCAATTGCCTCAAGATTTTTAAAATAACTAGCCTTTTGATATCCCTCATCTGCAAAATGACCACTCCCCATATCTGTGGTCGTGTGCCGTGAACTATCTTTAAAGTTTATTATTTCTCCTCCCCACTGAATTTGAGTTGCACCATCTTTTAGATGGTTAAATAATATAGAAGGCCAATACCCAACAAATTCATGGTCGGTAAATTTCAACCACCAGTTTCCTGAATGTGGATCCTAGAAGAAAAAATAAACTTATATTTACTTGTAAAGTTATCATAAAATATCATAAGGTGGAAAATTGTATGTTATATTGACCTTCCATATAGTTGTAGGAATATGATATTGATGACCATTGTAGGTAGAAACATTACTAACAGCTGCACCTAATGCAAATTTTTGGTTTATAGGAACAAATCCGGAACAATCAAGATTGTAACAGCCTGATTTGTATCCATCCGCCTGTTTCCAAGTTACCAAACAATTAAAAAAAGAATTCATACTAAATACAGATTATTAAAATTAAAATAATTTAAGACAATACTAACAGTCCAGAAAATAAAGTATCTTGGATTGTCATCGCCATAACGATCATGATAGACCTAAGACAATGGGAAGATCGAAAAAATTGATCAAAGATAATTATATAAATATGTAAAAAGATGCAACATTGAAAATGTTTTTTAACCTGCCAACCAGCTTCAATGCTATTAACTTCAGAGAATGGACCAGCCATAACCCACATTTGTGCTAAGCTAAATTCTTTTGTCATTTGGACATAAGGTTTCCAAACGTTTATAACCGCTTGTGCTCCATGAAACTTACCTTTCACTTGAATTTGAGCATACTATATATGTACACACATACAAATATATCAAACGTAACATACATATATATATATATATATGGCTTTTCAAATACTATTTAGAGATATGTATTTTATATGCACCTCATGTATGGAGTTACTAGTTGAATTAAATAGTTTAGGATGATGTATGATGTTTGGATTCTTTCTGCCATATTTCTTTATCGATCTTGTTCGTAAAATATCTCGTCTTTTTGTTCTTCTTATTGGAATACTGTTTTTGGGACATTTTCCGTTGATTGTCCAGAGTTGTGTCACAGTGCTTTGTTTTTCATTGGCTGAAGATTTCATGTTCAATTCTTTTGGGTAGGAACTTGGTCTCATCTACAACACAATAATGTTAGCAACAAATAAGAAACTAAACAGGAAAAATGCTAAGTGAAGTATTATATATTTAATTCCATCATTTGAAACAATGTTGATTTTGTATATATGACATGATTTTAAGTCTAATGCTACTTTCGAAGAAAGATTATCTATATTTTGTAGATGAGTTAGATATTTATGTTAATAATTTTCTTTAGGTCAAAAATTTTCAAAAGGTCTGTAATTTTAAGTTAGAAAAAAAAAGAATTAAGAACCTGAATAGTGTAGTTTTTGAATAAAGGATTATCATAAATTGGGTGATCCTTCATATGAATACAATCTATTATATCTCCATCTGGACTCTACATAGAAATTATAAAATGTACATTAATTATAATTTGGTGAAACTAAAAATTTATTTTGGTTTAACTTTTTTTTTTGTTTAAACCCACAAATAGTATCAACCTTAATGGATTTAAGAGGAGGTTTGTTGACTCTTTTTAAGATTCTATCCACTTCTGCATCATCATGAGTATCAAAAAATTCACTTCCAATGACTATTGCCGCCACAATTAGAATATGGAGCACAAGATATGATATCATCGTCGGCCTGATTATGGTTAAGAGTATATAATAAAATTCATATGGTATTTATGAAGTGCTTCATTTTCTTAAGTTAATTTTTTTATATGAAAATTTGTGCCAAAGAAAAGTTAAGACATTTATGTATAAAATTTCTATACTTTAATAGTTTTAATTTATTAAAGAATAGACATCAATTAAAAGCAAGATATAATATATATTTTCCTTGAAATAGACTAATTTATTTAGATATATACTAATATAATTAATGTAGACATAAATATTTGTACATACTGTATATGGATAGATCATTTTTTACAAAAAAGATATACATATTATATGATATTTATTACTCTTTTCATTTTACTTTAAAGGTTGGGTTTTAGTTGGACCTTGAACCGTTTGCTGATCTTTTCTCATTTCATTTCGTTGACTCTCCCCATCAACTCCTCGAACTGTAATTATTGGGCCTACATTTATGAAGACTTTTTCCCGTACTATTAATGAGTTTTACAGGATGGGCCTTTTAACCGTCGAAGCCCAGTACTAACATTTAGGAAACTTCAATAAAAAAATGAAATTAATCATTGAGCTAAAGTTTCTATACAAAATTTAACCTAATAGAGAGATTTGGCAAATGAATATGAAATGTTGAATTGACTTGGTAACCCGTAACATCTACGTACAAGTTGGAACATTTCCAAAAACAATCGAACATGCACAATTTGGTTTTGTCTAAACCTAAAGACAAAACAAAAGGAACAACAGCCACAACACTCCTAAATAGCTAAACAGTACACAGATATCACAAAGCTACAAGGGTTAACGGAAACAACTTGGTCTGATCAGAGTCAAAACACGTCTTTAATTAACACCAAACATAATCAAGAAACAGTCACCACCAAACCGGAGTTGAACAAACGTAGTTAATGCTAGTTTCATCGTAATTAAACAATGTTCGTTTCTATAACTAGTAACAATTACAAATCACAAAATTATTGAATACAATCATACAAAGTTTAACGACGACTATACGTATATCATAGACATTTCTAATGACGGTAAAGTTGGTCCAACTACATATAACTAATAATACCAATTCTTTTAAATAATTCAATTCAATGACGTGTTGACAGAACAAAATATATAGCATCAATTCAATTGTAATATTTTTTAATAATTCAGATTCAGTAGCAACTTTGAATTTGTGATTTTTTGGTGACTTCTACATTGACTTTTGCTTTTTATTTTGATTTTTGAGGTTGATAATGAATATAACCTGCCACCTTTTTTTTTATTACTATAATTAAACAAAATAATAATAATAATAACTCTTTATTTAATTATTTTTCCGAGGAAAATAAATTGACTTCAAAGTTGATCATCATCATACAAAGGAGAAAACTTTGGAGCTTCTTTGCTTCCTCCTACTTCACACGATCCTTCTCTTCTCTGCCTAATTTTTACAAAATTCTCTTTTGATTCTTTCTCGCTCTTTAGCTAGACAAGATTTAGACTGGGTTTTGAGTATTCCTCGGAAAGTTTCGATTTTTTTTTGGTTGTTATTAGAAGTTTCCGAGATCTCGGCGGAGTACTTTTTTTGACGACGAACCAGCCATGGTTTTGTACTCAAGCTGTAGAATTATGTATCTGGGTCTGATTCTTTTGTTGTCTTCGAGCTGGGTTTTGGATAGATGCGAAGGATTTGGTGAATTTGGGTTTGAATTTCATCACCGTTTCTCGGATCAGGTTGTTAGGGCTTTGCCTGGAGATGGTTTGCCTAATCGAGACTCGTCTAAGTATTACAGAGTGATGGCTCATCGTGATCGGTTAATTAGAGGTCGTAGGCTTGCTTCTGTTGATCAATCACTTGTTACTTTCTCTGACGGCAACGAAACTGTTCGTGTTGATGCTTTAGGATTGTAAGGTTTTCTAAATTTCCTTTGTTTTCTCAATTTTTGAGCTCGAAAGGTTGATTTTTTATGGATACTTGTGAATTTTTTATGAGCACTTGAGAGGTTTGGAGATGTTTCATGTTTGGTTGGTTGTTTTGTAACAGTTTGCATTACGCTAATGTGTCGATTGGGACGCCGTCTGATTGGTTTCTGGTTGCTTTAGACACTGGAAGTGACTTGTTTTGGTTGCCCTGTGACTGCACCAATTGTGTTCGTGAATTGAAAGCGCCTGGTGGCTCGGTAATGTTTCTTTTTTTTGCTTTGATGTACATTTTCATTTGAGTATGTTGCTAGCTTGCGAAACTTTTGTTCTCTTGAGGATTTGGTCTAGATTGTGAAGAACCTAAAGGATTTGTTCTAAGTGAGGGTTTATTTGTGGGATAAAGATAAGATTGTATGATAGTAATCTGACTTTGGGCAGCTCTTTGTTGACCAAGTCTTCAACACTGATATACAGTGACCCTGACACTGACACTAGACCTATCGAGGAGACATCTATGTTGATAAATTCAGTGCTAAGTTGCTCACCATGCAGACTATATTTTTTTTGTGAAAGAGATATGTTTATGCTTAGATTTTGTTTTATTGACATTTGATGTATTATCTCTTTAGACATTTTTTTTTATTTTTGCAAGTTGGTCTGTTTCTTACGTAAGTTTTTCCTTCGTTGTTGCAGAGTTTGGAACTTAATATTTATAGCCCTAATGTATCATCAACAAGTTCTAAAGTTCCTTGTAATAGCTCGTTATGTACAAGAGGGGATCGATGCGCTTCCCCTCAAAGTAATTGCCCATACCAGATCCGGTATCTTTCTAATGGTACCTCGTCTACTGGAGTCTTGGTAGAGGATGTACTTCACTTAGTTTCAAATGACAAAAGTTCCAAAACTATTCCCGCTCGAGTTACTTTGGGGTGAATAATTTCTTCCTTACAAACTTTTGAGTATACGATATAATAACATAGAGATTTTTTATGTTTCTCAAACCATCTATTATGTAGGCAAGCTTAAATCTTTGTGTTTTCATTTTAACAATCTTTCTGTGCTGGAACAGATGTGGTCAAGTTCAGACTGGTGTATTCCATGATGGTGCAGCTCCAAATGGTCTTTTCGGGCTTGGCTTAGAAGACATATCGGTTCCTAGCGTACTAGCAAAGGAAGGAATTGCAGCAAACTCATTCTCAATGTGTTTTGGGACTGATGGAGCTGGTAGGATCAGTTTTGGAGATAAAGGTAGTGTAGACCAACGGGAAACGCCATTGAACATAAGACAACCACAGTAAGCAAGCAAGCCGTTGAATCATATCTTCTTTATGTTTAACTAAACTTGTCCGACCCCTTGAATATACTTCCACTTGTTTCTTCTAACTACTATATTTTTTTCTTGTTAACCAGTCCTACTTACAACATCACTGTCACTAAAATAAGCGTTGGAGGAAATGTTGGTGATCTTGAATTTGATGCTGTTTTCGACTCTGGAACCTCGTTCACTTATCTGACTGATGCAGCTTACACCCTTATTTCAGAAAGTGTAAGTCCTCATCTAGATTGTAATATGATCTGTGATTGGTATTACATGGCTTATTAAACAATATGATTTTGCAGTTTAATTCTTTAGCTCTGGACAAACGCTACCAAACAACTGATTCAGACTTACCTTTTGAGTACTGTTATGCATTAAGGTTGCTTCTTTACTCTGGTCACCATCACTCTGATTCTCTCTAAAACCTTATTAACTAACTTTGGCTCTATCTATGTGCAGCGCAAACAAAGACAGCTTCCAGTATCCAGCTGTGAATCTTACGATGAAAGGCGGGAGCTCATATCCCGTTTATCACCCGTTAGTAGTAATCCCCATGAAGGTTAGTTAGGCCTCTGTTATTACAGCGCCCGTGCCCCTCTGTTCTCTATCTGCCATTACTTAAGCTCTATCCTTGTGATGATTTCAGGACACAGATGTCTACTGTTTAGCCATCATGAAGATAGAAGAGATTAGCATCATCGGACGTGAGAATCAAATTGGAAACTCTACCAATAAAATGTTGTGTCACTAAATTTAAAATGCAAGATTTTTAACGGATTTCTTTATTTTTACAATTTGCAGAGAACTTCATGACTGGCTACCGCGTTGTTTTTGATCGTGAGAAACTGGTACTGGGGTGGAAAGAATCTGATTGTGAGTTCCTTATCAATTGTTCCTCCCTGTAGACTGTAGAGGATGTTTTGATCAAGAACACTGAGGTCCTAATCTTCTTTCTAACCTGATTTTTTTTTTCATGGCTAAAGGTTACACAGGTGAGACCTCAGCTCGGACGCTTCCATCAAACCGTTCCTCAGCCTCGGCTAGACCGCCAACTTCTTCGTATGAACCAGAGGCTACAAACATACCATCTCAAAGATCAAACACGTCGACGTCTTCTGCTTATTCTATCTCTATCTCTCTTTCATTATTCTTCTTCTCAATTTTGGCCTTCTTCATTTGATTATTTTTACACGTATATATATATATAATTTAGTCATCTACTATACATGAATTTGTATTCTTTAGAAGATAATTTGGTTTAAATCACCAAAAAATATTACACTACAGCTGTTTTTTCTTTTTTCTATGATGTATATGATAATTGATTTTCACAGTTATATTAGTTTATTTGGTGCACTATTGTTGTAGATTTTACGTGTTTTATTATTTATGAATTAAAATATTTTTAAATAATTTGTAACTAGGTTTGAACCCGCAGTATATACCGCGGGAGAATTTGTTTTCATCTGATTTATAATATATTTTTACACTTTTTAAAAATATGTTTCTGATTTGTGGTGTTTTCTTGATAATTAACATAGTTGTAAATTTTATATATTGTTACTTAGTTGTTGCATTTGTAATTGCGTCGTCAAAGCGGGTTTGCCCGGCCGGTTAGACTTGTCATATGATGGGTCAATAAACATTTTGACCCGCTTGATTCGCGAGTAGCATATATAAAACACAAACACTTTAGGCTAGTGTAAGAGGATTTGTGGATTGTTCAAACAAATTTAGCTAAATACTTTTAAATTTAATATTGTTTACAAAATATTATTCAAAATAAATATAATATTTTCTAAGAGTAATATTATATATTATTTTATAAAGATTCTAATTTTAATTTATAAAAAAATTTAAATGATCACATATTTTCATAATTTATACTTGACTACCTATGTAAAAAAATATATATTATATTTTTACTAATAAATAATGACATGAAACTGGCATATCAACCAACAGACAATCATTCATTAATTGAATCCTTAACCTACCACAGAAAAACCAATGATAACCGCTTATTTGTGGGTTTAACATTTTTAATGTGTATCTAAAGCTGTTACTAATATTTGTTAGTCCGTTACTAATATTTTTAAAAGATGAGGACGTTTTTAGAGCCATTACTAATACTGTATTTGTTTTGTTTTATATTTATTTGGAATATTATTTGTATCTAAAGCTATTTGCAGTTGATATTTAATCAAATACATATACGAAAAACATGTGTGAAAATACTAATATTAAGCCACAATTATTAATTATTTATTAGCATCTTTAAACTGAACATGGCTAAGTACATAGATTTTAAAATAAAAACTATACACATTTACCCATCATAAATTTAGATATACATGTCATCGAGAGTGAGGTCACAAAAATTATATTTTGTATTCTGTATTATTTATTAAATATAATATTAAAATAAAGTTAATTTATTTATTTGGTTTTCGAAACCAAACTCAGTTACAAAAATTAAGTTAATGTCAACGATAGATTTGGATTAAAAATTAAGTTAATGGGCTTTATCTTTACATGTACACCCAATTAACGATTAAAAAAAATGCAACATCGTTGCACAGTTCCTTGAAACGCTCGGACCATGTTGGTTAATTCAGTCGGGTACGGTTAAACACGCGGACCTTCAATGCAAATTTGATTTTTTTTTTTGGTTTGACAATTGCACCGTTATTGATTTTAAAAAAATCTCTAATTCTTGTATAATTAAGGGTAATTTTAGGAATTTTGAAACCAAAATTTTATGATTTTCAATTTTGTACTCCTCTTTTTAATATTAAGAAGATTGCTAACAATAACAGAATCTCTGAGAAGATTTGTTGTAATTTAGAAACAACATAAACTTACCAAAAAATATATATAAAAAGAGAAAAAAATGCAAATATATATATATAAAACTCGTTGCAAACTCTAACACTTTTGTTTCCTTCAACGAGAATCATCAACGAGTGTCTGCTTCTCCACGTTTTAATGGATTCGTCTCCATCTTCATCCATTGATGCACAAACAATCACCAAAAAAATTTAGAGAGATCTGAGATGAACTCTGTGGAAAGGAGATCAACATGGAACATATCTTCTAGTGATGATTTTGTGATCAAGCCAGTTTTGGGAGATTTATCATGGCCAGAACTTTCTGACACAACCAAAACTCACTCGAGCAAGACTACATCTGATTCATCGAGAAAGATGAGCGATGCATCAGGATCATCATTAGATTATGACACTCTTCGTCAGGTTTGGATTATTACTACTATATTTTGTGATGATTTTAGTTTGATTACTGAAACTTTATGCTCATATATCTACTATTTTTTTGTTGTTTACTGAATTATATATCTCTTAATGTTCTTATTTTTGATATATAACTTTGTTTGGTTATGGTTACAGGTTTTCAATTTTTTTTTCTCTGAATTTTCATCTTAAAATTAGGTAAAGTTATATATTCTATATGTATTTCTATTACTAATGTAGATTCTATCTCTTTGTACTTCAGAATGTTTTAGCTACTAAGTTGATACACTTCACAAAAGAATTGTTAAGTACACCGATCAACGTTTCTGTGTCCGCAAAAAGTGTTCTTGCACAACCCTCGGGACAAAGTTCATATGTCCGTCCTGAACAACTTTCTCATGGTGGTACTAAAAACCAACATCAATGGAATTCATACGATAACCAAAATGGTAATCAACAAAGGCATGGAGGCTGGCGCAGTCAGAGTCACGGACATGGGAATCAAAACTTGAATTTGAGAGAGGGTTTTATACAAGCACCAAGAGGTATACCAGGATACGTAATACATGCACCACCACCTATGCCACTAGTCTTTGATCGGTATATGCTACCAACATATCAGCCTTGTTATCATTTTGGTAGTCCCATGGTCTCTCATGGTAAGTTGTTAAATCATATTGAGAGTGTCAATTCTTATTTGTAGTTTTGTTTCACAGAAAAATTCTAACTCATGTTTTATTTCAGATTTAGCACCACCAAGAATGTATAATCATTCTCCTCCTAGACCACTCATCAAACCACCTCTTCCAGTTGTCTACCAAGATTCTTTGGAAACTAGAATACGAAATCAGGTTCATTATTATTTTAGGTAATATTTCTTTTTAACTTTAACATGTTCTCATTTATTCAAAACACAAAGAACAAACTTTAACATGTTCATAAAACAAGTTTCTCATTCATCAAAAACAAAATATGTTAAGAAAATTGTGGTTATAGTTTTTGTTATTATATTGTTTTCCTTTTGTAACAGTGAGAAGAATTTAAAGACCGATAATTTCATGCGCATGCGCATGAGTAGCGAAGGTTTTGTTCATATACAATTTATTGCAGGTTTCAATAAGGTAAAAAATTAATGGTAAAATGTTTATTTAGTTGTTTTTTTCATTGATATGTTTCTTTTATTTATTTTCATATATACTTTATTGCTCTTTCTTTTCAAGCTCAAAGCGTTGACAAGAAACATTCAACTTATAGTGGACGCTTTACAAAATTCAAACGTTGTTGAATTGAAGGTATCTTGTCATAACTTTGATTCCTATTACAATTTTAATGATATGATAAGTTCATTTTACTATTTAGTATTTGATATAACGTAACTAACAACTTGTGTTTTGTTTATTTATAGGGCTATGAAATACGAAGTCGAGATATGTGGAGAAAATACTTAATGCCTCTTCATTTGCGGGTTCCTTTTGTTCCAACCCTAGAACATGAAAGACCTAAGCAAAGTCCAAAACCAATCACCCAAAACATAAACTCGGGTAAAGTTCTAACTGATAACTTAGAATAAAAGATCAAAGTTTATGTATGTTGTTTTTGTTCCGGATTAATCCGAGGTAGTATGTTCTTTTCGTTATATGAACCTCTTATTTTATACGCATTTTAATGGTGGTATAATGTGTTTCTGGATGTTATTGCTTCTTACTCTGTCAGTATTAGGACCCAATCAATTACCTAACAAAAACACAGAAACTTAATTGCAACCTCTAAGTTCATCGTTCAAAACATTTGATAAACGTTAGGAACCAAACATCATACTTTTGTAAGTTTATGCATGTGTAACCGCAACTACTCCGTTTAAATCAATCAAATTCTATATGACTACGGAAAAATATATTTATAATAAAATAGCAAAATCATCGTAGAATAACCACTATTGATATGCAAATTTTAAAATACAAATATTTTTCCGCAGTGTATATACGGCATGTTAAATTCTAGTTGCATAATAAATCTACTTACTTTTGTTACCAATAGTGTGCTTGGTCATCATCATTATCTCATTTCAGCCTATCATCAAGATTGGTCTAAGAAAATGAAAATTACAGTTTTCATATTCAAATTTAGATAACAAAAGTCTAACTCTCTCCTTGGAAAATGATATATGTTGTTGAAAATTTCATAACTTCTTTTTCTCTGAACTTAGGTATATACTATATTTATGCATAGCTATATATGTGGAAGAAGACTGAAGTAGAAACGACCAAACCAATAGCTTCAGGGGGAAAAATACTCTGTCTATAAGAAACCTAAACTCACAGTTACATATTAAAAAAAGGGAATACCTTAATAAACAAACGAAACACACAAAGAAACCAAAATGGTAAGTTATACTAATATGATTCTTATCAATTGGAGTAGCAAATTTGCAACTTGCGAAGTACAGAAGACACCTTCTCCAATCAAAGTACGAAAAGACAACTTCTTCCACGTTGGAAATATAGTTGTATTATTGTTACCACTACTCATGTTGCCTTGTCGTACGATCTAGAGATAACCTATTTACTGATAGATGTGATGCATGAGCTGATGTGCATATTCAAGTTAAAGCATCAGACGGGTCAAAGATACTCACAGGGCATTCTCATTATCCATCAGTTCATGTTCATAAGATAAAAAGATGAAAGCTTAACAAAAGAAAAAACTTTAGTCATTTTGTATATTGACTAAGTCGAGAAGGTTAAGAAACACCATCAAGGTTAATGAAGATGTGCAAGACAATTGCAGAAGAATGGAAAATATAGTAAAAATTATTGGAAAAGCTCTACACCATGCAAAATAAAGAAAATAATGTAATCATTTGAAGCCTAATAAGAGAGTCACGTTTATTCAATCATTCATGAATATGTTTGGGTTTTATTTCCCTCATTGTTTGGTCTTAAGTAAAGTTAGTCTTAGGTCATATATGTAGTGATAAGAAAGGTCGATAAGATATTGGACAATAGACAAAGACTAACACGAAGAGTAAAGCAAAGTTAATGAAGTTTGAGAAAGAGCAACACAAACCTAACACTTGTTCTATCCATAGGAACTTGCCACGTCAATCTCATTGTCTTTGGAATGGTAGACAAAATAGTCAAATACCATGCATGTGTGGCCGTTTGGTTATTAGTTTCGGTTAAGAGATTTGGTTGGTTTTCTTACGATTGAAATCCGTCGCGCGGTTTAGTTGGTTTTCTTGCCATTGCAACCCGTTGCGCGATTGTTAAACGAACAATTTGCGATTTAAAAAAATTGCGATTATTAAAGGACATAGCTTCAATGAGTTCTATTTTGGTACGATGGGAAATACAATAATTGTTTAGATAAAAAGACCAAAAAATGATAAAAATCAAGAACAGATAAGATAATATATATTTTTAGTCACAGGTGAATAGTTTTCTCAATAATATGAAACATAAAATTAATTGATATGATGATGAGGAAATGCATTATTTGTAAAAATATATACTGAAATATCAAAGGCATTATTTATTTTATTTTTCAATTTCCATTTCGCATTATAAACCTCTCGATATTGTGAACAGAAAAATTCAATCACATCAAGGCTCAGTTATCTTTTTACTCAACCAATAAGCTTTCTTTATATAAAGAAAAGAGTTGGTTTCAATTATCTCTACCAACATATATAGACACATGCACTCTTATAATGTTTTTATAATCACATGTTGTGTGATGTATATAGTTGAGATGACGAATACACATTGTTATTTTACTTGACCATACTTAACAAAAAATGACGTCAAACTCAAATTATGATAGGGTGTGCATTATCGGATTTGATGATCGAGTAATCTTACATATACGCAAGTGGTTGTAGTGGATTAAGCTATACTTAAATCGGAATTGATGTATTATGTAAACAAAACTATCGTAAAAGTTGAAAAAAATATGGGGTAATTGATTGATTTACAAAAAGGTAAAAAAACAAACAGAAAAGTTGGTAAAAAAAAACAAAGCAAAGCAAAGGTCACACACACACACACACACACGTGAAAGCGATTTTAAAGGTTATTGAATTGTGAATGTTACACACTTTTTTATAAAACCAAAACCATAGCTTATTGGTTACACCTTTTCGAAAGAAAGAAAAAAAAAAAAAACAAAGAATCTCTTTAGTCTTCTTTATACCCACCAACTCTAGATTTTAAGGATCAAGCATTCATACTAATTGGTAAATAGTGTTTTCTCTAAACATTGAAATCATTATCTCATGAAAGAAAAGTTTGACGTCACATAAACTATAGGTTTATCATTATCACATTTTGGATTAAGTGACCAAAAAGTCATTACATGATATTAACATTTTTTTTTTTTTTTCTAGAACAATTGTATCTTGTCTCTTCTTCTGGACCCAACCATCCATCATGATACTAGAGATGACCATTGAGAGAGAAGAAGCTCACTGTCTCTTTTCTCTCTCTCTCTCTCTCTCTATAAGACATTTGACACCCCAAAAACCAAAAGACAAAGCTTTCTATGCTGTTCTGTTCTGTTCTCCAATGTTGTCATCAGCAAAGCATAATAAGATCAACCATAGTGCTTTTTCAGTTTCCTCATCATCATCATCCTCCCAAGGTCAGAACAAGTCTCAAGTCACCATGGAAGAGGTATGGAAAGAGATCAATCTTGGTTCGCTTCACTACCATCGCCAAGTAAACATTGGTCATGAGCCAATGTTAAAGAACCAAAACCCTAATAATAACTCTATCTTTCAAGATTTTCTCAACATGCCTCTAAAACAACAACCACCACTACCGCCTTCTTCTTCTTCTTCTATTGTCACTGCTCTCTACGGCTCTCCTCTGCCTATTCCTCCTCCTGCCACTGTTCTCAGCTTAAACTCCGGCGTTGGCTTTAAGTTTCTTGACAACACAGATACCCTTGTTGCTTCTAACCCTAATTCCTTTGAGGGATCTGCAAGATTTGGTTGTTTTGGGAAGAAACGAGGCCAAGATTCTGATGGAAGCAGAGGAGACAGAAGGCATAAGCGTATGATCAAGAATAGAGAATCTGCTGCTCGTTCAAGAGCTAGGAAACAGGAACGTGTCTCTCTTTCTTTACTCTTCCACTTTCAGATTCCTTTAGATTGAATAGAACAAGTAACCTAAAGTTAAAAAAATTTACAGTTCCTCTGTATCAAAATGGTTTGTGTTTGTTTTTCTCTAATCATTCAGGCATATACAAATGAGCTGGAGCTTGAAATTGCTCACCTACAAACAGAGAATGCAAGACTCGAGAGACAACATGAGCAGGTAAAACTAGTACTGATTAGTTAAAGTCTCATTCTATCTTGCATTACTACATGCAGTAACTTATATGCCTATGTTATGGTAAATGCAGTTGAAAATGGCAGAAGCAACTCAACACCAAGTGAAGAAAACACTTCAACGGTCTTCGACAGCTCCATTTTGAGAAAAACCTACAAGTCCTTTGTTTCCCCATTTTGGGGAAGTCATAAGTGTTTGTTTCTCATCAAGAAGTTAAGTGAAAAAAACAGGAAACGTTTTGTACATTCTAGCTAAGTTAAAGTTGTGGTAAATTAATGTAAGCAACGAACTTTCTTCTTTCTTCTTCTTCCTTCCTCCTTTATCAAGTCTTTCTGACTTTTGTATTATTATTTTTTTTCCTACTTAACCTCTCTATTATTGTAATGTCAAGTCTCTATCTAAGTTAGTACATGAGTTTCTGATTTTCACTGTTGAACCCATTTATTGCACTGTTGTTTGTAGTTGTTTTCTGCTAATACTGGTCATCACCTCAAAACCTTTGTTGTTGTTTTTATTTCCTCTTTTGGTCCACTAGTAATGACCTTGATGGAGATAACTCTTTGATGATAATGTCCAAGGATAGATTCTCTTCTGGATCTACCTTATCTTGGTTGACCTTTTTTTTTTCTTGTGTATAGTATGCTTTTTATTAGTAACCAGAAAGAGAGACAAATAAAAGCCCTAAATTAAAGAGCAAACTTAGCTTGGTGGCATCTACTCTCTTTTTTTTTTCCTTTCCAAAAGTGTGAATCGCATTAACCAAAAACTTGCTAATTAATCCTCTTTAATATGGTTTAGTAAACTCACCTGAGTTCTTAACTATGCATTTATCTTTATATTGCCACAATAATGTCTTTATGTGTGAATCAAAGACAACTTTAAAGATTCTTCTACAAGGAGCAAGTCAAGTCAGTACACAAGGTGGAGTAATGTATTGATACATCTTCTGAAAAAGTAGAAACTGTTCTAAGTAGTGTTGAACAGCTTTGCTTACTTCACTGTGATCCAATAATATTTTGTTCTTCTGCATTTGGAACCAATCTTAAGGAATAACAACACAATTTGGATAGAGATAAACATCAGTATCATTATTCGAAATCAACATTCAGAATAAATTCCTTTTAACTTTACTTAGTATGAAGCACATGCATATATTATCTTATACCTTATAGATTTACTTATAAAGTTGTGTTTTGTTCCCTCAAATCAATTGTTTGGTTACAATATTTTATCATCTACAAGATTGCATAGATAGGAAAGTATATGGAGAACGTTCTGAAATCTCTATATTGTTCGGTTGTTCCCAATCAATATACAAATTTACATTAAATCATGATGTCAAGTTGTAAGTTGTAACCAATAAAATTAGAAGATTCGTTTAATCAAGAAAACCCCAATTATGTTCCGTGTTGGACAAGCACTTCATTCTTCCATGAACTGAGGTGTTGGTGGACTCATTTCCTTCATATCCTTCTCTGTACCTGCTTCATATATTAGATTTTCAAGAATTCGAATTCGAATCGTAAAGAAATGTTTATTCTATATATCTTTTACCGTGCGAGTTAGCGCCACGGATCTTGACTTCTCTCAGTTCTTGGACAAGGGCACAACAACAACACATTAGATGTGACAAGAAGTCGTCAATGGACCCTCCCTGCCATATCATGAACTTAAGCCTTTGTACGAAGTATATCGATAGTGGGGAAACAAAAGGTTTAGTCGATGTACCTTTATGTTCAGTGTCTTTCGAAGCTTCTTCCTTATGCAGCAAGTGTAGCAGCAACATGAGAGTATCAAAGAATATACCATTAGCTGATTACAAGCTTTAGCTGAAGCTGAGAAAGCCATAAAATCCAAAATGATGAATCAGATTCTTGGAAGCTTATATATAATTTAGCCATTAATCTTCATTAGTAGAAGGATTCTTACAGATTTGTCTACCAGTTGCCACAGTAGAGATCTTTGCCAATGTACAACAAGGGAAAAAGAATGTCTTCAAGCCTTATTTCACAGATTCAAATGTGTATAAGTATGAATCTTGAATTGTAACACATTCAAAGGTAACTATCACATATAGAAAAAAAAAAACAGAAGGAAAGGGCTTACTTAGACAAGGTTCTGAACAACAATCCAACAAGTCAGTGTGCCATTCCTCACGGTGTTGCGATGATTTTCTTGAAAGAAGATCATGTCCCGATGAAACATAAGACGTTGATCTGCATTCAACAAGTACACCACACATTTTGAGAAAAACACATCAAGTAAATGAATCTTTTCATCGATATCGCAGCAAATGGGGATTAACCTTGAAGTTGTTCGAATATCACTATCGGTTTCATACAAATCATCTTTCTTCTGGCTAGAGGTAAGGTCTTCTTTACTAGATTTAACCTTTTCAGGATCAGTATCATCAGCAGAAGCAGCGGTTTGTGTAACATCAATCAAACGTTGTATGACTTCACATTCATCAACATCATAACGCGCCCGTGAACGTTGCAACTCGTATTGCAGTTTCTCCTCCTCTCTCTTGAGCGCTTGGCAGAACCCCATGTTCGGGTAAGAACGAGAGAGAGTCTTCTTTAAAACTGATTTAGCAGCTTCTCTAGTGGATACTTGTTTCAAAATAACATCTTGATCCTTCCAATCCTCTTCATCAAGAGTGTACTCACGCTGATCACAATCTATAACTTCTAACCTCTCCTACATTAAACAACCATACTCTTATATCAAACAATGGCAAAGACAACAACACATGGTAAGCAATGCAAGCGAGTCTTACCCGAATGCGAACGTTGTCCACCAAAGTGATGAGTGGAATGATCTTAAGATAGCGATCAATCTCGTCTTGAGCTTTACGAAACTGGTAAACAATGTTCCATCCCATAGCCAACAAGTAAAGATAACTCTTTTCTTGACAACTATTAACTAAAATGTAAGATCTTCTAAGAGCATCTTCAAGCCCTTCAAGGGGCTCAAGAATCTCTGAATATTGCTTCATCTCAGAGATCCTAAGCTGCTCCAGCAAATTACCAATGAGCTTAAGATGCTGAGCGAACTGACGACAGTTCTTCTTGTGCATTCGAGCCGTATTCGCTGCGCTCACTATCATTCCAATCAGTTTCACGGCGTCTACGCCTGTAAGCTGAGCTACTGACGCAAAATCTCCTAATTGTTCCCATGAATGAGCCATTTCTCTTCCTGCAGCTCGGACCAGCTCAAAAACTATAACAGTAATGTTGAGAACTAAACGATGCAGAACTCAAGAAAGTTTGAGACTTTACCTCTACGTTAAAGATCTTCAAAAACAGAGAACATTTTCAAGAACTAAACAAGAAAAAGAAAAAAAAGGCCACAAAAGTGAAAATTTATCTGTTTAACTGTGAAATCAAACATGGAAAATCACAGAAATTGAAATTGAAGAGAAGAGACAGTTCTTGAAATGCTCACCTCATACGTTGAAGAAGACAAAGTTTGGTAAATTTTCTCCAGGTCCTTAAGCTTTCTCTACGTTAAAGATCTTCAAAAAACAGAGGACATTCTTTAAAGAAAGTAAAATCAGAGAAATTGTTTTAAGGGAGGAAACAGTTGTTGAAATGCTCACCTCATATATACATTTCAAGAAATCTTACAGAGATGGAGAATAATTATTTTGTCTTCGAGTAAGGTTAGAGAGATTTATCCACTAAAAAGAAAGAAGAAGAAGAAGCTAGTGGACTAGCTAGTAGAGATAGTGCAAGCAAGCAAAGAGACTCACGAGAGTTTTTGGTAATGTTTTGGTTTTATTATCATCCATTATTCTTTTCTTCACTTGCTTTATCTATCCACCTTCCACTGCCACGTCGGAAAAAATTAGGTAGCTTGCACCCGTTGTGAATTACGATTTGGCCATGTGTCACTCTACATAATTACAAATCTACCACGTATAGTTTATGCTCCTAGAGACCGTCAAATTTAAAGCGGTGCAAGTTTTGGAGAAGGAAAACAAAATTTAAACTAAGGCCATGAATGGTTGTTGGTTGTTAAATAGTTTTTAGATTATGGTTTTTGGTTTTTAGCTTTTGGTTTTTGATTTTTAGGTTTTTAGTTTTGGTAATAAATATTATTTTTTGGTTTTATTTTTATTTTTTATACATAATAGAAAAAAGAAAAAAAGAAGTGTCATTAGTATTTTCTTAAAATATCAAATATGTGAATTTTGGTTTCTATTAAAAATTGTTAAGAAAACTTAAAAACTAGTTTCCCTATTTTTTAGGGAATCTATTCAGTCTAAAATCTTGAATGGAGAAAATTTGGGTTTTTGGAAAACAAAATCCAAAGTCTATTGTAGAATTTATTAACATTCAAGGCCTAAAACAAAGTTTAAGGCTATATAAACACACAAAATTTAACTAAAAAGACTAAAACAAAGTTTAAGGCTATATAAATTCGTGACAAACCATTTTGACACAAAAATTGGTCACAATATACACATTTTCTTGTAGTTTAGTTATACATAATTCGTTAGTCAGTGTTTATAAGAAAGTTGGGTATATACAAATTATGATATCATATTTTTAAATTTATGAGAAGAATTAAAATTAAAATAAAATTATTTGTACAATTGTGTATATTAAATTTGTTTTATTTGTTTAGTAATGATAACGGAATATTTTTCGTCGGTGATATTTTTCTCAAAATTTTATAAATAAAATATACACATCATAACTAATAATCAAAATTTTAGTGTGACAAAGTTTTTGAGAACAAAATTACAGTTTAAAGCTATGCTGTCTTTACTTTTCTTTCCACCACTATTAATAAAATATGTGTTGGGGTTTGCTATCGGTGCGGAAGCGATTTTTCAGCAATGTTTTCCAGGAAAATATTTAAGCATATCTGATTTAGATCTAGATAGTTATTTTTTCTTCGCATTAATATCGTTTTATTCGATAAATTTGAGTTCAACTTCTTTAGACGATTTCAATTCGTCTCATCAATATTCTATCAAATTAACTAATTCATGAAGCAAAAATTTTAACGGCGAAAGTTATTTTAATATTCAAATGAAAACAAACAAATTTGAAATTTTGATTTTTTTATAGCGATTTCGTTTTTTCAAGTTTTTGGATAGTATAGGTTGTACAAAATTTAGAAAAAAAGTTTTAGAAATTCCACAATCGTAGTTTTTAGTTTAATTTTATTATTCTCCTTATGGCAGTTCATATAATGTAATCCTATTTTTGGAGAAAGTTTGTAATTATCTATTTTTTTGATTTTTTTGTAATTATTAGTATGTAATAAATATTTTTTTAATAATTTTTTCCTTTAGTTAAAAAAGAATAGTTAGCAACACTTTTGTTTTTAACAGAGAGAGTTAGCAACATTTGAAACAAACTTTATATAATAAAACGTTTTTGAAAATCGTTAAATCAAAGTTATATAATATCTATTTAAAGTTTTATGGGCCTAGATTGGGTCTCATGGTCCCAAACGATCCATGCGAAGCGTGTATCGCCAAGTAACCTATAAGTTACGACGCCGTTTACTACTATTGCTGCTGCCAAACAGACCTTTAGTTCGTTATAAAGCCATCTTCGTCTTCTATAAATAAACGAATCAACGAAGTAAACGAGAAATATTCTGGATCGGAGAGCTTCGAAGCCTGGGAATTTTCCTTACCCCCTTCGTTCTTCTCTGATCTCGAATTCTCTACCAAATCTTTTTCATCTCCCGATTCTGATTCTCTTTTCTTATCACTCTGGATAACAAAAGCCCCCAAAACGTATCTTCTGTAAAAACCCAGTTTGCGCGGATCTCTCGTAACCGATCTAGGGTTTCGCGAGTTGGCTTCTGAGTTTGTCTTGTGATCGTGAGATGTCTCGGTGCTATCCGTTTCCACCACCTGGTTATGTACGGAAAGAAATCAGCAGGGATAAGTGTCTGATCGAATCGATCAAGGTTGGTTTGTTGAGCAATTCAAAGTCCATGGCTTTGGTCCTTTTTTTTTATGTTCTGGGTTCATGTGATTTTGATTGCTCAGCTTCCTTGATAAATCTTTTTGATCATCGTGAAACAAAGAAACAAAAGTTTAATTTGGAATGTAGATGAGAATGCAATTCTACTTAAAAACTCAACTAAAGAAATTGATTCATTCTTTTGGATTTGGGATGCTTGTCCATATATGCAATGTAGAGGGTGCCCTAGTCACTATGTTGTACTAAGTAATGTGGTTGGATACTTGGGATGAAATAATTTGTGTTTCTTTCTCTGCTTCTGTGTCCCTGTAACGCTGATTTGGAGTTTTAATGGAAAAGCAAAATATGAATATTTATTGCTGTTCTATTGGGTTGGATATCCAGGGGGCAAAGGGGGAAGTTAAGAAAGATAGAAAACACAAGAGGAAGGGTACAAAGAGAAAGGAGAGTGAAAATGAGGCGGGTCAAAGCAGAAAGCACAGCCATAAGAGAAGGCGCAAAGAAGAAGGTGTGAATGCTAGTGGCAAGTTAATTAATAGTGAGGTCGAGTTGTTAGAGAAGAGCTGCCAGACAGTGGAACCTGAGCTTCAAACATCGTCTCAGAATTCTTGTGATAGCACTCTTCGTAGCAATGAGAGACCAAAGAAAATTCAGAGTCAGCCCCTTTATGGTAGGCATAACGACTCTATTGAGTTTGTTTGTGTTTACTTGTTGTTGGTATGTTTGCTTATGGTGACATTCTCTCTTGGTTTGAAGAAACCGGCATACAGACCCGGTTACCTGAAAAAGGGCAGAAAGATCCTGAGGATGAGGTGATGATGACCAACAAGGTTCAAAAACAGCGCTTTTCCCGGGAAAGGTTAGATGCTACTCAGGCCGCTGCTCCAAATGAGTCTGTTAGTCATGATGCTTTAAGGGTCTGTCAAGAGAATAGAAGAGATCCAAATTTTGGTTCGTCAAGAGACATCACAATAAAACTCAGCAAAGAGAAGAAATCAGTTCCTTCGAAAGATAAGAGAAAAGTTAGTAAAAAAGATACGATGCGATCATCATCTTCATGGACTCATCCAGAACTAGAGAAACCGTCCTCTAGTCATCAGGAAACCAATGGACCTTCTAAGCTATCATGCAGGAAATGCCCTCCTTCCATGGCCGGACAGTTGTTGAATCTCATCGAGAACTGGGCTCCTGATCGGGTTGAGAGCAAGCTGACTGAGTGTGAAGATCAAGAATGGTGGTTGTTCATCAAGTTTGGAGCCAAAAGGCAACAAGTTAGCAATCAGAAAACCAACGAGGGAAGTTGTTCGGTGGTGTGGCCAACTGCTCGATTCCTTCCTGAAGCCGAACTACACGCATTGCCATTCACTGTCCCGTTTTGATTTCAACAAAGCTTGTTCCAGAGAGTGGTTAACATGACCAACAAATAGTTTTTCCTATGTATTTTAGATAGCCTTGAGACTTAATACTCAGAACTATGAATGTGATTCTTTGTAGATATGCTGGTTATATAGTAAATCAATACGCTATTACGTGAATAATATATACAGTATTACGTGAATAATCTTAGTTTTAGAAGAAAAAGTTGTTTCATAAAACACAAAATTTTGAAGCTTTCTATATACATTATATTTTTATTAGGTAATGATAATGAATACTGATAAACTTTAAGAAAAATAATTGACTACTAATAGAAAACTGTAAATCACATAATTAATGCACTAATAATCATATTACAGGAATAGAGTAAGTTAATTACTCTAGAGTTTTAAATATCTCTTTCTCGGACAATAAATTCTAAAAATTATGTTAATTAAAAGGAAAAATATGTTTATTTAAAGGAAAAATGATGGTTGGCTACACCATAGAGGAATGCATAGTCGCACGTGCCAAATATACTATTGTATACTCAACTACACGAACTACACTCAGTTATCCGGTTCGATTTAGTTCCACTACAGTAGAATCAATTTCGGTTTGAAAATTCCAGATTAATAAAATCGATTTCGGTTTACAGTTTTGGATACATTCGGTTTGGTAAAAGAGACTATCAGCCGTTAGATCTAAAGTTAAGTAGAAGCATCGAACGGTGGATAGCGAGAAGCTTACACGTGTCAATCATGACAATTTTTTCCCCATCCGAAGACTTTTCTCAGAAGGTCGTTTTTGTGGTTTTTTTTTTAATTGACAAACGAAAGCAACCTGAAAACCCACCAGAGAGAGAGAGAGAGATCGAGATTGAGATTTAGAGAAGACGAAAGAAGAAGATGATCGCAGACGGAGCAGAAGATGAAGATAAATGGCTCGCCGCCAGTGCTGCTGCTTTCAAGCAAAACGCATTCTACATGCAACGCGCTATTGTAATTCTCTCCCTATCACTTCGTTCTTCTTCTGTTCGCTTCTCCGTGACTATTTCATTTGTGTGAAATTGAGATTGAGAAATTTCTTAATTTCGTTTTGGCACTTGTTGTATCATGAATCTGCTGTATTGAATTGTGAGGAGAACCCTAATTTTGTTTGTTTTTGGTTGATTAGGACTCGAATAATCTGAAAGATGCTCTCAAGTATTCGGCTCAGATGCTCGGCGAGTTACGGACTTCGAAGCTATCACCTCACAAGTACTATGATCTCTGTGAGTTGTTTCCGTCTTCTGATCTGCCATGATCATATATGTTTCGTTCAGTCATTATTTTGAACTTATCGGGGTTTTTCGTTTTGTGTGATCTGATTTGATGGTTTTAGATATGAGAGCTTTTGATGAGTTGAGGAAACTTGAAATTTTCTTCATGGAAGAAACTCGTCGTGGCTGCTCTGTCATTGAACTCTATGAGCTGGTACAGCATGCTGGTAACATATTACCACGTTTGTAAGTGACTGATACAATCCCTCTCTCTCTCTCTCTCTCTTGTCTGTTCCTATGTTCTTGCAAGCTTTTTTATTTTATTTTCTGGGGCTTCGTAAATGGATGATGCCCAGTTTGAAATTAGAAGATCATTGTGGTCCTTATTTTCCCCAATTCATGTAATCTCAAGCCTTGTTTATTTGACCACTACTTAATTTTGTTGGCATTTCTTAGGATGTTTAGTTTGTTCCCTTTTCTATCTAAACTACCATTTGTTCATTTTCTTTTCCTCTATTGTAGGTATCTCCTATGTACAGCAGGATCCGTTTATATCAAAACCAAGGAAGCTCCTGCCAAAGAAATTCTTAAAGATCTTGTTGAGATGTGTCGTGGGATTCAGCATCCACTACGTGGTCTCTTTTTGAGAAGTTACCTTGCGCAAATTAGTCGAGATAAATTACCTGACATTGGTTCTGAGTATGAAGGGTAAGCACGTAGACTCTATTGATATGTTTGTATTTTCATAGTAGCTGGACTTGCATGGCGTCTTTGCTTGTGCTTATTTTATCTTCTTAGACGATCCCTAGTTTCTTTTCATCCCATATAAGAATTAGGATGTTGAAGGTCTGCTTAATCAGTTCACCGTGTATATATAAGTATCAATAATCATTTCTTTTTTGGTAAAAAAACTTTTGTTACTAATATACTGCAATCTAATATTCATCTAATTGGTGACTCATATGCTACCCTTTACAGAGATGCTGATACAGTCACAGATGCGGTGGAGTTTGTACTACTCAACTTTACTGAGATGAATAAACTCTGGGTCAGGATGCAACATCAGGTGAGTTATGATTCAAAATTATTATACATCCTTCTACTCCTTTTAGAAACTAGCTTGCCAGAATGTTTGCACGTCATAGAGATATAATTGGACTATGAGAGCATGATTCTGATCACGCAGGTGTTGTATTGCTTGTGAATCATTTCCCTTTGATGATCCTGAGTTGAGGCTTGCTATCGGACTTTCTGGTCTGCAGGGACCTGCTCGAGATAAGGAGCGACGGGAGAAAGAGAGGGGCGAGCTTCGTGACCTTGTAAAATGACTTTCTCACAGCTGGTAACAGTGTACTGAAGTGCCTACCATTGGTTTTTGTACTGACGGGAGCGTACGTTTTCCCTCACGTAGGTTGGAAAGAACCTTCATGTGCTGAGTCAGTTAGAAGGTGTGGACCTTGATATGTACAGAGATACAGTTCTACCTAGAGTCCTAGAGCAGGTAAGAATATTTATCCTATAAACACACATACACATGCAAACTGAACTTATTCTCTAATCAAAAAAGTAATGTTTGTCTGGTGATTTCTCAGATAGTGAACTGCAGAGATGAGATTGCCCAATATTACCTAATAGACTGTATCATTCAAGTTTTTCCTGACGAGTATCACTTGCAGACTCTAGATGTACTTCTTGGGGCTTGTCCACAACTTCAGGTAGTCTGAGTAGCTCTCTCTTATTTAGCATTATGCTCTGCTGCCATTCACCTAACTGGCTGTATTAGACAAGACGTTCTGTCACTACTGATTAGTATAAATTGCATTTTCAGGGCTTTTTGATCTCAATTGTTCACTAATCTCCTGTTTTCCCACTTTCTCTCTGGTTTTCTTCTCAGCCATCAGTTGACATCATGACAGTGCTTTCACGTTTAATGGAGAGGCTGTCAAATTATGCTGCTTTAAATGCTGAAGTATTACCTTACTTCCTGCAAGTGGAAGCTTTCTCAAAGTTGAATAATGCTATTGGAAAGGTAACCTTTAGGTGTAGACTGTTCTCAGTTTGCTGGATATGTTTGTTTCTGTGAAAAAGGATGAAAGTAATGGTAGCTTAGAAACCCTGTTTACTGGACTTTTAGCATCAGGAAAAAATGGCGAAGACACAACTATTTTGTTACGTGAAATTTCTACTTTTTATATGACTTTGGACGTCAACATATAGAAAGATGCAGTGTTCTTTAAGTGTTGGATGTATCCACTGCAAAACGTGACCCTTCTTAACACAATTCTGTATAGTTGTTTTCTTAACTTATGTGGTTTTGAAGCCTTTTTTCTTCGATGAAAAAAAATTCTTAGTAGAAATATTATGATGTTGCAGGTGATAGAAGCACAAGAAGACATGCCAATTCTGAGTGCAATAACCTTATATTCGTCGCTTCTCAAGTTTACTCTTCATGTACACCCTGATCGGCTTGATTATGCCGACCAAGTATTGGTCAGTCTTCTTATAGCGACTCCATTTACATATTATTCTCTTCTTAATTTAACTTTATATACTTTGGGTTCTGTCAGTGATGCTCTATGGATCTCATTATTTTGATAATCTTGTAATTCTGTTCACTGCTGAGAAATTGCAAAATTCGTGAAACCTGTGTCAGTAGAGCCAATCTTTTTTTACAAGATTATCAAAGCTTCCAAGTAGAATTAAGGAAAAAAAAATGTGGATTATGGTTCATGGTTGTTTATTTATTTTGGTAGCGGATGTTGGTTCAGCAATATATGTGTTATTCTGGTATATGTATCTGATTTTTATACAAGATTATGGTAGTATTTGCAGAAACGTCATACTATGTATCTTATATAGATGTTTTACTGGAATAAGGTACATTGGAACAAGAGTTTGAATCTAATGTTCTTCACTCTCTCTCTTTTCCTAGGGATCATGTGTTAAACAACTTTCCGGAAAAGGAAAGATTAATGACACTCGTGCAACAAAGGAGATTGTCTCACTTTTAAGCGCTCCCCTAGAGAAGTATAATGATGTTGTCATCGCCCTTAAATTACATAACTATCCCCTTGTCGTGGAGTACCTTGACAATGAAACAAAGAGAATAATGGCTACTGTTATAATTCGAAGCATTATGAAAAACAATACTCTTATTACTACTGCAGAGAAGGTAGGATACCTTTATGCCCTTACCATTTGGGTTGAACTATTTGTGTGCTAAAATTGAATTTCTTTATCTTCTTTAACTTGGTAGGTTGAAGCACTGCTTGAACTTATTAAAGGACTTATCAACGATTTGGATGAGCCGCAAGGTCTTGAGGTTGGTATAAGTATTTTGTGATACTTTCTATCTCGTGCTTTGAGGCATACTCTATCAATTACTTGAATACAAATATATGAGCCAAAACCTCAAAAAGATGTTGAACTTTGACTTATGTACATATTTTTCTACGCTCTTAGGTTGATGAAGATGATTTTGAGGGGGAACAGAATTCTGTTGCACGCCTGGTTCACATGCTATATAATGAGGACCCTGAAGAGATGTTTAAGGTGCATGGAGCTCTCTTGCACATTCAAATTCATTCATGTGTGTCATACTTGTATGTTGACATTAGGCTTTTTAGTTATTGGCTAGCATTTAGATAATTAATGTTTTAGGGCATCAGGTTTTTGCATTTATTCTGGGTTGCTTTATTCTTTGTTTGTAAATTTCCAGTTTAGTCATAGATTGTACTTAATCGCCAGGAGTCATCATACCTTTCGACAATCTATTACGGTTTTGGCTTTCAGTGTTTGAAGTTGTTTCATTGAATTTCAGATAATAAGTATCCTGAAGAAGCATTTCCTAACAGGAGGTCCAAAGCGCTTAAAGTTCACCATTCCTCCTCTTGTTATATCTACCCTAAAGGTTTGATTTCTTAAGCGAAGTTATTCAAAGTACATAGAGTTAAGTGTTTTGATGCCAATCTTTAAAGCCCTTCATAATTTATGTTGAGTTTGATGTGATGACATGGATTTGTTGTTTCTTTTATCTGACACACCGCATAGAAGTGTATCTGATATAGTTTGTTAATATTTTCATTTTGAAATTTTATGAGTTATATTTTGTTTAAAATTTAGCTAATCAGGCGACTGCCGGTGGAAGGAGACAATCCTTTCGGAAAAGAGGTTTCAGTTACTGCTACTAAAATATTCCAATTTCTAAATCAGGTAAGTTCTCATAACTTTTCACTAACTGTAGTATTCAGATTTGTGTTTCAGAGCTACATTACTTAAATTAAACTTGGACAAAGTTATCACATAGAAGCTGATTGACGTGATTGAAAATTATCAGTTGACATTTTTTGTAGATATAGCTAATAGACTGCTGGTATTGCTCCTACTCTGCTACAGTCTTCTTTTCTTGTCTTTATCTGTTGGAATGTTTTGCTTGTTTCAGATTATTGAAGCGCTACCTAATGTTCCGTCACCTGACTTAGCATTCCGGTTGTACTTGCAATGTGCTGAGGTAGAAATATTATCTGTTATTTAGTATGCACTGACATTGGTAAAATGCTCACAGATTTTTCCTATATTGTCAGGCTGCGAATAAGTGTGATGAAGAACCAATTGCATACGAATTTTTCACCCAGGCATACATCTTATATGAAGAAGAAATTTCAGTAAGTTATATATTTGCTTGGACGTTCATATGTCTGGTGTATAAAGCAAAGTAAGTGGGTGAGTTTAACTCTCTCTCATGCTTCAAAAATTTGCCTTTGGAACAGGACTCGAAGGCCCAAGTGACTGCGTTGCAACTAATAATTGGAACTTTACAAAGAATGCACGTATTTGGTGTTGAGAATAGAGATACTTTAACACACAAGGCTACGGGGGTATTTATTAATGAATCATCATTTGTAAATTAGTCTCTTGCCATATTTCAATTGTCTCTGCATAAAATTTGATAAGGGAAAACCTTATTCTCTTGCAGTATTCAGCAAAACTTCTAAAGAAACCTGACCAATGTCGAGCTGTTTATGCATGTTCTCATCTTTTCTGGCTTGAAGATCATGAGACCATACAAGATGGAGAAAGGTATATTTCCGTGTGTGAAGTACAACACAATGTGTGTTATATAACTCAACACCTGATTGTATTTTGCTTTTGAAATCAGGGTTCTGCTTTGTCTCAAACGAGCGCTGAAAATTGCAAATTCGACTCAACAGATGGTCAGTACAGGTGGGGGTAGTGCAGGATCTGTTACCCTCTTCATCGAGATACTAAACAAGTAAACACTTTTTTTTTGGGTTTACATCTCATTTTCTCATCTCTTGTTAGCAGCAAGCAGCATCATGTAATGTGAATTTTGGCAGGTACCTCTATTTCTATCAGAAAGGGATTCCACAGATAACAGTTGAATCAGTGGAGAGCCTGATACAACTGATAAAGAACGAAGAAGAATCAATGGCATCTGATCCATATGCTGAATCGTTGTTTGCAAGTACGCTACAGTTCATGGAGTTTCAAAAGCAGAAAGGTGGCGCCATTGGAGACCGGTACGAGGAGATCAAAGTATAGAGTCTGATTTGGTAAAAAGAGTCTGCGTTTTGTTAAAGAAGCTTTTGGGTCGTTTGGGAATCAAGAAGGGTACTTGTGTCATGTGGTTACCCGCTGCTGGAAATGTAAAACTGGTGTGTAGGTCTGATTTATTGTTCCTCGGATTATAAAGGCGGTTCATGGTTTGTAACTTGTGGATTTTGCTGTGTCTATTTATACAAATCTTTTTATTGGTCACTTGACTTTGTTAGTAATCTGAGGTTTAACATTGGATCTTAGGTGATTGAGGTATGTAATTCTATATTGAAGCACAAAAACATTTTCTTGATGATCATACCACTAATTAGTTGTGTAACGCAGGCATAACCACACTAGTTAAAAATATGTTAAAAATTTAGATGAAAACTGAAAACAGAAATTTAGTGAAAAATAAATTAATTAGGGAAAAAAAATGTAACAAAAAAGAAAAGGAAAAAGGAAAAAAACAGAAAAGAAACGAGAGAAGAAAAAAGGAAGAGCAAAAGAATCGGGGAAGTTGATGGAGGAGATTGTTCCTTTTGTGAACGCTTCAATGGCATAAATTTCCGGCCATCACATTTCTTCTGCTTGCTTCCTCTCTCTATCTCTCTCTCTCTCCTTACTTCTCGATTCGATTCACCATTGTTGTTCACCTTTCTTCTTCTTCTTCTTCTTTGATTCATCCCTCTTTTCTCCCACATTTAGGGTTTCCTGTTTTTACATTTCTAGGGTTTTTCTTGTTCGTTCTGTACCGTAGTCGGCGAATTGAAAAGGGGGAAAACACCGCTGTTGAGGGCTTTTTGTTTGTTTCTTTTGTGTTGTGGTTTCCTCAGGTTTTGTAGATCTGAGGTTGCTATTTTTGAATATCATCATCATCTAGAGGGATTTTTTTTTTCCTTTTGTCAATTTTTATTTGGTCGTGTGTGATCAAAACGTAGCTCCATTTCTGGTGGAGGAGAAGAGAAAGCGGAAAGGCAATGAGCGCTTCGAGGTTCATTAAGTGTGTCACCGTTGGCGACGGAGCTGTTGGCAAAACCTGTTTGCTCATTTCTTACACCAGCAACACTTTTCCTACGGTATGATCGATTATTTACACCAAGCAAAACCTGATTGAATCCTATATATATAGGCAATGCTGGGTTTTATTTGATTGCGAAGCTGCATTTTGATTTGTCTTCTTTTTTGTTATTGATGAGCCCAAAGCTTGTGGCAATATGTGAATGGTTTGACTTGTTTTGTTGGAGCTTTGTATCTCATTTCAATCTTGTGGCTTTCTCTGGAACAGGATTACGTACCGACTGTTTTTGATAACTTTAGCGCTAATGTTGTTGTTAACGGGAGCACTGTCAACCTAGGACTATGGGATACCGCAGGTACTGGACTTAATCAGGATCTTATTTACTAGAAGCAGCTTTGGATTTTGTTGTGGGGGTCTGAACTTTTGTTATGTTGTAACAGGGCAGGAAGATTATAACAGATTAAGACCTTTGAGTTACCGTGGTGCTGACGTTTTCATCTTAGCATTCTCTCTTATCAGTAAGGCTAGTTACGAGAACGTGTCCAAGAAGGTTTGTTTTGAAATGATGCCTTGCTATAAGTATTGTAAATGAATACGGAAAAAGTTTTCTGGTTGTGATTTTTGCTTCTTTATCTTCTGTTTCCAGTGGATCCCAGAGCTGAAGCACTATGCCCCTGGTGTCCCAATAGTTCTTGTTGGAACCAAACTAGGTAATTTACCTTGTTTTTTTGCATATATGTCTGCTAATGTCCTTTGTGTCGTATTCAAAATAAAACGAACTCCTGCTTTTTGGTTTTCCTCACTGCTTCAGCTTCTCTGGATAGTTGTAAAACTGTCTGTTTTGATTTGTTCACGTCCAAGATATACCCTTTAAGCTCTTTTTATCTAGTGGGAATTAGGACTGGTTTCTGGAGTATCACTAATCATGCAATAATCTAGGTTCACAAGCTTGTTTGGTTTTTCTTTTTTCTGATATACTAAATATTGGGATACGTTGTGCATCAAATGGTGTATATCAACACACTTTCTAGTGATAGTTAAATTGTAAGAGACAACCCAAGATTCCAACCACATGCATTAAGCAGCTGTTGGATGTCTTACAATTAGTGCTGATTTTCTGAGTATTACAAATATGCAATAATCTAGGTTTACAAGCATGTCTTGATGTTTCCTCTTCGGTTTTAATGAACTTTGCAATACATTATGGATTATATCTCACATTTCTCGTGATAGTTAACCTGGCACTTCCATTGTTATAGAAAACTGCATGTAAGCAGCTGTTGGAATGTGGCGATTATAATAGATATACAAGATAATCTTCCAGAATTGGTGTAATGGATTCTGTTTCTATTAATAACAATGCTTCACTTTCGGCCTGCTGCCTGATCCATCTAGACCTACTTTTTTTTTTTTGTTCCACTGCTTATGCTTTGTGTTCGTCATATATGTCAGATCTTCGGGATGACAAACAGTTCTTCATTGACCACCCTGGCGCTGTACCTATTTCCACTGCTCAGGTAAACAGAATTTTCTTTGATACGGGTAGATTTATACAACTTGGTTCTTAAACGAAACCCTCTTAACTTTTTCCTACTTTGGGCATATCAAAGGGAGAAGAACTGAAGAAGCTAATTGGAGCTCCTGCATACATCGAATGCAGTTCAAAAACACAGGAGGCAAGCAACAAAAACTTCCCTTTTGTTTAGAGTATTTATTATTACACATTACTTTGCTTCTTTTACTTGAGCTTATCTCCAAGCTTCTGTTTCCTTAATGAAAGTGCAGAACGTGAAAGGCGTATTTGATGCAGCGATCCGAGTGGTTCTTCAACCTCCAAAGCAGAAGAAAAAGAAAAGCAAAGCACAAAAAGCCTGTTCCATTTTGTAATTTCTCTACGTTTTCGTATCTCTCTATCTCTCTGTCTCTTCCACTCTTCTAGTGAAGGCTTAAGAAGAAAACACATTGGGCTTAAACATTGTTCCAGAGTTCGTTGTGCTAAGCTCTCTTAATCCTAAAAAAAAAAAAAGAAGAATACTTCTGTTTTACGTTTTACTGATAAATAGTTTTCAGCTTTAGCTGAAACCCAATATTGCTTTCCAATTCTTTCTTCCATTTCGATGACTAGCTGAAGAATGCAGAGTCGATGGATGTTCCACTTCAACTCTACGCAAGTCTACTAGTTTGTAGATTAACACCTAAGCAAACCAAAAGTCTCACACTCTTTATGAACTTGGGATTTCGTTCATAGTATCATACACAAATCAGGAATTTGCGTTAAACTATGCCAATCGTCTACCTTCTTTAATATATTTTCATATGAATAAACCTCTCGACCTCCACTTCTGACCCATCACACAATCCTCAAAACAAGAGAAGCAAATCCAAAAACAGAGCCATCCCACAAATCTCGATAAAAGTAGGTTCAACACCGGAGAAACAAATTGGCTCCAGTGCAAATCATCAACAATGAAGCCGCCCTTTTCACATGCAGCTAGCTAGGACCTCCATTCATATAGATTTATGATTACCAATAACCAAAATTATGTCAGATTGAAAAAAAATTCTGACATAACTTGAGTCATTGGTATTCGTTGAATCTGCATAGTTTAATAAGAAATTTACACAAGTAAATAAACCGTTTGGCTTGCCGCCACGAGTCAAACCTTCATCTTACTATCTCTGTCACCATGCAGCTAGCTAGGGCCTCCATTCATATAGATTCATCGAGTACCAATGACTCAAGTTATGTCAGATTGAAAGAATTTGACATAACTTGAGTTTGTTGTTTTCTTTCAAAATTTTGAATTTTTTTAAACATGGCATTTGCTTAAATAAAATGAAACGTTTGAAAGGGGTTCGTGGATTACAATGATAATGTGTTAAAATTAGGTTTGAGAGATTTGTTAAAGTTTTCAATTACGAATAAATCTTCTCATTTCGATAGACAAGGTTTCCTGGACAAGTTTCGTGGATTACCTTTCGTGGACATGTTTTCAGCTTTTTCATCTTGAATTATATTTCAATGAGATATTGTAACAACGACACCAACATGCATCTTATACTTCATAAAGAAGTTTAAAAGAGATAGTTTCGTGACCACATTTAGAGAAAAGAGCAGTTTTATGGATATTGTCCAATATATGCAGTTTTGTGGATATTGTCTAATGGACGTTGAGCTTGTTGCTTTTGTTCAAAACTTGAATTTTACCTAACATGTCATTTGCTTAAAATAATGTGAAACGATGGACAAGAGTTCATAGATAACCATGATAATGTCGAAATTTGGCTTATCTAAATGAAAACATTACTAACAACTAGGGAAACATATTTCCCTATTGGTTATGTCTACTTGATTAAAAATTTGTTACCATAAATTTAGGATTTAACTGTTCTTATCAGGAAGTCATGACTTCTTCTTTTTCTTCGGAATTTGTTTTTTTCTTCCTGCGCCATAATAAAGTTGTGTTATTTACAAAAAAACTTAAAAACAAATTAACGGAGTCTCCAGAACAATTACGATTACTTGCTAGGGTTGTTAAAGGTATGACAAAATCGTTTTGGTGAGTATCGGTTGCGGTTACTTCTTCGCAATTCCTGCTCTATCATACTTGCTGCTTCGGTCTCACATCCTGCTTCAGGTAGAAATCTACTCAAAGCAGGATAGGAGGTCGAAACAGCTTGTATGATAGAGCAGAAATTGCGAAGAAGTAACCGCAACAGACACTCACTTAAAAAGACTTTGTCATACCTTTAACAAGCCTAGAAAGTAATCATGCATGCACCTCGTCGAAACTTATTTCTGTTTTCAAAAGACACACAGCTATAGAAAATGTTTATGACCTTTATGGATTCAGAGAGATTTATAGCACAAATGGAAATAAATGTTTCGTTTTTTTTTTGGCTGGATCGTTTTATTTCCAAAGCTGGAGTTTTATTTTGGAGGTTATTGCGATACAAGAGGAAAACGGTAGTACACGTCGTACGTAGTAAGCATTAAGCAATAACTTACCATTGTCTTATAAACGGACAAAACACCTTTATTACTATAATTAGTGATATCATAACAATCAATCTTTTCTTCTTTAACGACAGAGTACGTAACAGTTACGATCTCAGTTCCGTCGTAACTTCTCAGTTTTTGTTTTTTAATCAAAGTTTCATAGTATATGATTTTACAAGAGAGTTATATATGTTTGATGTAGAGTTGTAAACCTATTCTATCATTTGATTAATTTAAGTTTTTTTAATTAAAATATTAGTAGTTACTAACTTACAATTTATGTATATACAGTAAAAAAATGGAATTTACTGTATCCCTCAAAACAAAAACAAATTCAGCTTATACTTATCTGTTTAGTTATTTATAAGATTAGATGTAGTAAAATAAATGGCCCATTAGCTCAGTTGGTTAGAGCGTCGTGCTAATAACGCGAAGGTCGCAGGTTCGAAACCTGCATGGGCCATTTTCAGAATAATCTTTTTTTTTTTGTCTGTGACAACAAACACATTTGTCTCCATGTAGTATATAACATGTATTCTTATTTTGAAGTAAAAAAACATTCTTTGTATACAAAAAAGCTTGATTCTTTCGTCCCCCTCACAAAACCTCTTTGTCAAACTACAAAATTCACATATATATACAAAATGCAAGGTTCCAAAAACCTACTCAAAAAGAGTTGTCTTGTTAGCTTTTTACTCGGTGATTCAACCGGACAATGAAGTTTGGAATACTGATGGTTTAGTGAGTGACAAAATGGTTGAGACCATAAGCTTTCTGTCTATAGGCTTTGTGAGATAAGCATCCATTCCAACCTCCAAGCATTTCGCTTCGTCAGAAGACATTGCATGCGCTGTCAATGCCACTATTGGAATGTGCAGCTCAGTGCCAATCTCTGCTCTCCTTATCGCCTTTGTTGCCTCATATCCATCCATTTTTGGCATCTGCCATGAGAAAAATGTTGAATTAATGTCATTGTCTTTACATGTCGGATTCAATTCAAAAGTGTGAAGAGTAACTGTACCTGGCAATCCATGAGGATCAAGTCATAAGGTGAGGAACTTCGTAAACTACTCTTCGCAGTTTCTTCTTCTGACGGTTTGTGTTCTTCATGAGTTGGAGCTTCAGCATTGATAGACCTGTAGTTGAGGGATTCAACTGCTTGTTGTCCATCCCCTACTGCAGTTACAGTAGCTCCCATTTTCTCAAGCATTATGGTGGCTACTCGTTGAAGAACCGGTGTATCTTCTGCTAGCAAGATCCTTATACCTTCAAGAGATTTCAGATTCTTTCCATCCAATGCAATCCCTGAATACAGCCTATCTTTCCAGTCTTCTTCTTCTGGGTTCTTTTGAGTCATACTTGCAGATGTTGAATCATTATTGGTGTTAGTAGCGTCAATGAGATAGTTCTTAAGAAGTGGGTGCAAGATGCTTGGTTTCACAGATTTATCTACTTGTTTCTCGCCAGATGTCTCAGAAGAATCATCGGAGCTGCAAGTATCGAATTGTGTTGGATCGATTTCTAAGCAATCGTGGGATTCATCACTTCCGTTTCCTCTGTTTCTTGAGCCACTACACAAGCTTCTCTTCCGATTTTTTATTACAGCCTCCAGAATCTGGATCATCTTGGCCTTGTACAACGGTTTGTTAACCATCATGACATGGCCTTTTCGTCTAAGTTCTGTTTTAACTATATTGGAGGTGTCATGCTTCAGCAGCCAAGCAAACTTTGCTTTGCTGGAGAATCTGTCGAGGTAGTTAAGCTGTTCCTTCCATATATCTGTAGTGAGATCAAGTACTCCAATATCCACCACTATGACAAACACAGGGTTCTCGATTTCTTGTATATTTGAAAGCTCAGCTCTCAGTGGATCAGCAATATTGTGCTGTGAATCAAAGCTGTTGTCACCGCTTCCCGTCTCGAACAGGTCTCTAATGATTTGAGTCAGCTCGTTCCAGTCTGATGCTTCAACAGTTGCAATCCCGTGTTTACGCAACCACTTCGATGTGATCATTCTGGCTGTACTTCCATACATGGAAAGCAAAACCTGTCACATTCAAAACCAATATCATTTTCACAAACATATAAGCATTAATCCATGATGCATTCATCATAATTTCTTTCTTAGAATTACATACCACAAGGCCGTATTTCGAGAAATCTGGCTGGATGTTCTGATCTGCGGTGTCAGGAGTACTCAAAATCAAGTATAGTCTCATTAGAGTCCCTAAGCCATTCTTCTGTACTACTTTGATTTCTCCACCCATCTTGTTTACCTGTAAAATTATAAAGTAAGTTTCAGATGATTTAATTGCTTTGTAACTCATCAAATTCTAAAATTCCAGTGACATAACGCACCAAGTTCCGCACGATACACAGTCCAAGACCAGTTCCTCCGTGCCTGAAGAAATATAAGACCAGTGAGCTATAGGATTCAACTACCAGCATAATTTTTCTGAAACATATATTGTATGTACTTAATTTTGATCACTTACGTCCGAGTGGTAGAAGGATCAGCTTGCTCAAAGCTCTCAAACACAGAGTCCCATTTGCTTGGATCTATTCCTGCATATATTATTTATGCATTAAAGAGATTTCAGAATCTGAAAGATCGTGGAGTGGGATAGTGAAAGGATATATAATTAAGGAACTCAAGTTTCATACCACATCCAGTGTCATCAACCTCAAACCAAAGAACCATTTTGTTTGTGTTCTTACAAGACTTCTGCAAATGATTTCTGTGTTGCATCATTTTTGTCTTCATTGGTGCCCATGGTTTCTTTCTGTCAACAGTTAAGCTCATCTCATCATGTAGAGAATTCATGTTCTCACACCATCCACGAAGAATAATGTGACCCGCTGCAAAGCAACCATCTTTTTCAGATTAGCAATGCATCGCTGTCATGAAAATAGAAGAGTCAAAAGATGGTAGCAAAACTTACTTGTTGTAAACTTAATAGAATTGCTTATAAGATTTGCAAAGATTTGAACAAGTCTAGCCGAGTCCCCTCGGACTAATGCTGGCATATCATCTGCCAAAAGAGCAAAATATATGAGAGTCATAACCAAAAACTCATTGTAAGGAAAATTCATCATTAGCTGTCTAAAATATAATACAAAGTCATACCAGAGAGGTCTAACACTGTCTCTACATTGTGGTTAATACACTGCACTGAAAACATGTCAACAAGTCCTTCGAGTTCTCGTCCCAAATCAAACTCAGCTTCTTCTAGAACAAGCTTTCCTGACTCAACCTATGAGGTGGAAAATGATTAAATTAGCTTGTAGCTGCATATTACATGATAGTTTCAGGAAAAACACAGCTGAGACAGCTAAATGTTTACTCACTGCCAAACTTACGATCAGCAGATGTAATACTAAAGCTTGAACATTTTCTTCATATATCAAAACTAAAATAATAATTTTTTTCTTAAAATTCCTCACCTTGCTCAAGTCCAGTATGTTATTGAGAAGCCGAAGGAGAGCAGTTGAGCACTTTCTGATCTGAGTCACTGTTGCATATTGCTCATTTGAAAGACAATCATCTGATATAAGAATATCTAGTAATCCAATCACAGCAGCCATAGGTGTCCTCAACTCATGGCTAGAATGCAGAAAATTTCAACAAACTCATTTCAGTATTTAGCCTTAATAATTTTTAGCACTCGCAAGAACTTGCTTCTTGCAACTTAAGTGATAACCAACCTCATATTAGCTAAAAACTGGCTTTTGTAGTTGCTTGAAGCTTCAGCTCGTCTTCTTGCATCCAGCTGCCTTATCAGTTCTGCTCTTAGTTTCATCTCCTTTGAAACTCCATTTGTGAGAATTAAGATGCAGACACATCCAATAAAGAAGATGCAGACAGAAGCAGAAATCAGTATCACCAAAGTCTTGAAGGCCCTTTCATCCACTTTTCCCATGATGAACTTCCTGGGAATAATGACAACACCTATCTGCAAAATACATAACAGAAAACTAAACAACGTGACCCAAGGTAGGCATCTAAATCTATCTTAGACTCTTTTTAGGGAAAACTTACAATTGGAAGTCTCTTTAGATTAAGATAGAATGAATCAATGTAATATTGTTGGTCCCCAAGCTTTGCATTCTCAGCATGAACAACGTGAGGGCGGTTACTTCCATAAGTTTTCTCCAACCACTGAGCTCCTGCCTTTATAGCCCACTCCTCTGAATCAACGGCTTTCATTAGCTTAGGCCCTTTTGATGTATTTGTTAAAAGAGGACCATTTGTGGAAGTAGCAAGCAAGTATCCTTCTTGAGATGTCAAATAAATATGTCCACCATGGACCTCTACAAGATCTCTCATCAACTGCCCTACACTGTAAAGTGCAGTTGTCACCCCCACAACAGCCACAATACTCCTGTTGGATGCATCAAAGACCGGCAAAGCTGCTGAGAGAAGCGGAGAGTCCATGTATTTGCTCACTGTCACATGCCAAGAAGCTTCACCATCAGGCACTTGTGAGATTCCTGCAATGTTGATCAGATCATCCGGTGGAATTTTAAGAGGCTTTCCTAATTTTTCCCCTGTTATTGGATCAAGCTGTTGCTGGTACCAAATGGCAGACATGTTCCCATGTATTGACTGGTTGTTCCACCCGCTTACATCTTCAGGCCCCGTTCCACTGATGGAATAATTCTTAAGATCGGAGAAGATGTAGAATGTGCTGCTACTTGCTGGATCTCTGTGAAAAGCTTGGACAAACCCATTTCTGTAATTTATGGTGATGGCATTTAGAGCTTTGGCACTAGCAAACAGAGCCCAAGTCACATCTTTCATTGCTTGATACATCTGATAAAGTTAAAACAAATATAATAAAGAATTGATCTCAATCAAACATAGGACCACAAAGTAGTCAGGGAAACAGGAAACAAAACCTCAACGAGTTCTTCTTGAGTAGTTGGCTTGTCATATTTCTTTATAACATATTCAGATAGCTTGACCTGAGCTGTTGTTAGTTCGGATGTGGTGTTTAAAACGCTCCACATCCGTAAGACTGGACGCTGTAGAAGCTCATACCGAAGGCCATATGCTAAGTTTTGAAGCGACTGCTTAGTATAAATCCTCGTGAAATGCCATGTTAGAACGGTTAAAAGCCCTATCAGAATCGCTAGCATCACCTGCACACACATAAAACCTCTCAACTTACAAAAGCTTCCACCTTTCTCATCAAATGGATTGGTGTTTCAAGTTTGATCATAAACTAAACATGCCAAATCAGATACAAAGAAGAAGTGATGGAATCTAACCATTATAGCGAGGCGAACAACAAAGACGCTGTAGTAAGAAGACAAACAGTGACTACTGGCGTACTGAAACTCATCTTGCTCAACATCACCACGCAAAATCATCCTCTCTCTTGGACTCTCTAAATTACTTCTCCAAGGGGCAACCAACTCAGTCATTTTATCAAACACTTTCCTGATCTTCATCTTCTTCCTTCTTGAACCCATTGGAGAATCAGGAAGATTCTCAATACTCATCGAGAAGCTATCTCCTCTCATCTTAGTGTCTCAGATGATCCCAAAGTCACAAACAAAGACACATATTGAGTCTTTATTGTTGTTGGTGAACTTCTCGGTGCTTTGCTTAGTGGAAAACTAATGACTATACTGCTTCTTGTGTCACTCCCCACTTTTTTACTAATACCCAAATTAAAAAATCATTAATTTATTTTTAAAAAATCAAAAACCCATGAAGGAAAACTTCAAAAGCTTCAAACTTTTTGATTGAAACCAAAGAAAAAAAAGCTTCAAAGCATCAAAACAGAGAAGAAGAGTGGCCAAGAATAAGATAAGTCTGAAGAAGGAGAAGCAAAATAGATTCGAATTTATATATAGAGAGAGAATAAACAGAAAGATGAAATCTTTTTGCTTTTTTGGCAAAAGAAATCAAATAAGGGAAATAAAGCAAAAGATTTTGGGCAAAGCAAAAGATTGAAGTTGAATTTTTAGAATTTGGCCTGTGGGAATGTGTAGAAGGTGAAATGGCCAATGAGAGGATATTTTGATATTAAGGTCCACAGAAATATAGTAATAGACTGTTGTACTGTTTTTTGGAAGAATTTTCTAAAGATTTTAGAAATAATTTAGAGAAGAAATTTATAAAAGGACCCAACTTTGGTATTGTCTCAATCTCAGAAGGTTTCAAAGATTTGTGCTTTGTCGATTGGTGTTTAAGGGTCTGTCTTCTACTTATATTAAACGACGACGACAACAAAAGAAAAAGTTTTTGTTAGGTATTTGTACGGGTTTATAAGATATTAGTATATTACTAACCTTAGAAAATGTACATAAAATTGATTCAAAGTGTTGAATTTATAGAGTAATCACATAATTTACCAAAGATTTATACAGGACTTAAAAAGAGATATGGATTGTGTAGCAAAACTGTAAGATTTAGTGAAGTTAAAAATATCTACAAAATGACAAAAATGCACTTATTTTTATATTTCTAATTAATGTCAACATTAAAAAAGGAATTATCTAAATGTAAATGTTTATGAAATGCATATTTGCAAGTGATGATAGAGACTCTGATAACTAGAAATTACTTTCCCTATATGGAGAAAATCTTATAGTTACAACTTACATATTATTGTCCTCGACTTACGGCTTTAAGCCGTATAAGCATTCGATCTTCTCGTTGGAATTTTATTGAACGTTACCATGTTTTTTTGACTTGACAATCCTCTCATCACCGGTGGATAAACTATCGACTAACCATGAACTCGCTTACACCAAAATGCTATCTAACTTTTTTTCTCTAAACTCTTATATGCAGTAAAACCTTTTATAGCATTTGAATGTCCTTTGTTATGCACTAAACTTTGGGTATCTTTGAATCCATCTTATATGTGTACTTTGGTTTAACTTGGATAAGGAAACCAAAGTATTTGCCCCCAAAAATAAAGGTCAGGTTGAATAGCAGATATTCCTAAATTTGAGGGTATCCACCTCATACCCAATCTTGGCTATATATTCCTAAATTTGAGAGTATCCACCCCATACCTAATCTTAGCTTGTGTATCTTCAAATATATATTTTCTTTAATAGATATTTGAGTGTTTTATATATTCAATTACCATTTTGTATAATATGAATTAAGTTTATAACTGTAAATAATATAAAATAGAATTAAAATAAAATATTAAGTTAGCATGGGACTCCATTACGTGCATTAATTTTTGTTTGAATTTGTACACTTGACCTCTCAGTTATATTGAAAGGTTTCGTTGTTCGTCAGCTTTTTCTTGTTACGGTGCAACTTTTTAAATTATTTTTGTTCTGCTATAAGTCAAATTTACCGATATTCAAATAACATTTTATTCAATCACATTTATTTCTCTTTTATTTATTTTACAAACCAAAAAAAGAAAATCGTGATTAGGTTAAATGTTTCTCTATTCATTTATATATGACAATTGATACGATTTTTAATGTATGATTCATAGTAACTAAACATTAGAGCTTAAACAAACTCAATGAAAACATGATCATATACTCTACAAATGATCAATTTCTTTAAAATTGTTGCAGTTTTAATGAAATGGTGATAATCCATGTATCAATAATTTCCAAACCGATAAGATTAGTTTACATCCCAATTGAAATAACCATGACATGCTAACCAAAATATTTTTGCTTCTTCATGAATTTTTTTAAAAGTTTAGGATGTCTTTTAAATTTTGTGGTTATATGTAAAAGACTTTTAAAGGTTAAACTGTCATTTTTAACGAAAAAAAAACAGTTAACCTGTCACTAGAAGGAAAAATAAACTTTCATCATATCACGGTGATAATTAATTTTGACCACTTTAGTAAGAATCTTTTATGGAGCTTCAAGATCAAGTAACAAATCTATAAAGCACATATAGTACGTGATATAATATTAACGACCCGTGAATTTGGTAAAATAAAGTAACACATTTATTCATATATGTGATATGTCACTTTAGTAATAAAAATAAAATTAAGGTTGGTTTAGATCTTTGAGTTTCTCTTGGTTTAACTTTTAAGGTAGTTTTGATTTGAGCTCATACATATTAGGGTTTTCTTTATGTTTTGTATGAATATTAATCGGTTGAATTGGCTATAACTCAAGTAAGTCTTACCATTCTTCTCAATATATCTAAAAATTCGATTCTGCAGAAGGTATTGATTGAAAAGGATTGCTATTCAATCTAGTGGAATACATATTCGTTATATGAAAAAATTGATTGACAAGATTGTAGTTTTGATACCAAGTTACATCAAGTTGTGTTGGAATTGGATTTTAACCCCCACTATGGAACTATAAACTTAAACCCGGTATTTCGTATTGATTTAATATTTAACGTTAACTATCATCTTACCAAAAGAAAAAAGAGAATTCCTAAGCCACTTGTTTCAAGTTTCATAGATTTAGAATTCAATTTTTTTTTGTCAAGATTAATTAGAATGATAAAATTCTTAGGGGTAGGGTTTAGTGTTTAGAATTTCGAGTTTGTTTTGAATATTAAAATATTAGTTTTAGTTTTGCGGTATTTTTGAAAAATAAATTTTTTTACTAAGTAGTATGAAAAATACAACTAACAATGATATATTTAGAAGGAAAAAAAAAACTCAATTGTAGTATTATTTACGAGAATCGCCCAAAAAATTGTAATTCCTTCGGTTTGTTTTTATTTGTATAAGATATATCATCATTTAGAAGTAATCTATTTTTGAAATTCAACTAATTCAGATTCAAACATTTAAATATTTATCACATAAATTTTATTTTTAAAATATAGATATTCAACTCATCTAGATGACAAAACATGTACTATTTCTTATTAGATAATCTGATTTTAGAATTTTGTCTTGTTTGTGTTTAAAGCAAGATTGAAATCTAGCTTTAACATCAAATCAATAACAAATAAGATCACAATCCAAATAAGAAAAGATCTCAAAATCTAGACAAAATCTCAAAAGGGTCTTATTTACAAGACTTAAGGTGATATGGTAATGATGTGTGCTTAAAAAAGAAATGAGTATGCATGGTTACTGGTTACTGAAACTTGTAAGCCCTTTTTGAAAATCTTCAAAATCTCATAAGCTTTCCACTTAATTATATACGAAAGGATATGTATAGATCATAATTGTTTATATTCTTTTAAGTTAACATTGTGTGCATGCTCTCTTTTGGTGGTGGCTCAATTTTGTTGTGGAGACAAAGGCCAAGTTGATAATAATAACTAACCCGTATGGATTATACACCTTTCAAATACTAATTACGCATTAAAAATTTAGGTATTATATAATGCATGGTTGATGTGCTTATTAAACCATCAAGTAGGATTAAATTACGAATGATAAGATCTTGGCCACATAATAAGATTTATATTAGCCATAAACAGTGAATGGCGCAATACGAATTTACTAAATCATATATAGTTGATATCAATCATCTTTAGTGGAGAATTTACATGTTACTTTCGTGACAATACAAGGTTTAAATTGATAATAGCGTCGTGATCAAATATTCTCACCACCATTAGATCCATGATGTCTGTATAACATCATATATATTATGTGATTAGTCATAGCTAGCTAGGTTAAGATTTCATATATGTGACCATCTTAGCTGAAATATATGTATTCTATGATATTATATTGGGTAAAATGTCAAAACAAATCATGAATTTACCAAAAGTGGTCAAAATGCATAAACTTTACTTGTGGCTAATTAAATATCCGATCCCTTAAATATATAATTTTATTGACTTTTTACATAAATCATGAACTTTAGTTGAGTTTCTAAGAAAACACAAACTTTCATTGATCACGCTAACTAAAATACGACATTGGATTATACGATGCAACAATTTAACGGTTTGATTATCAGTTAACATATTCTGTTAAATAATAAAATGGAGGTTTGTAATTTATTTGGAAAATCTATTCAATAGTTTAATTTATGTTAACTGATTTCATTGACGTTGTGCCTTATTTGGTAACATTAGTAAAGTTTATGTTTTAAAAAAAAAATCAACAAAAATTTATTATTTATGTAAAAAATCTACAAAAGTTAGATATACTAATTTAGCCACAAGAAAACTCTATGCTTTTCTCCACCGTTTTTGGTAAGTTCAAGCTTTTGACTTTTTTTCCTATTTATATTACATGATTTCTACTACTTTAAGTTTTAACTATGTATAAAGTAGTTCAACAAAATGTTATAGTTTTTAGTATTTTCTAGATACTAAAACAAAATTTAGAAACCATTACATATTTTATTAAATTATTTACTAATTATTAACGTTTATTAAGTATTTTGTGATTATCTAGGGAAAAATATGTGGGAATACTAAATACGTTATAATGCTCCAAATTTCATGTTTCATAGGTTTTTATATTTTAAGATGTTTTTACCAAAATAGTTACCAAAATACTCTATTTTAGTGACATAGTTGTATAATTGTATGACTAGTTATGATTTCAAGAACCTTCATAAACAAATACTTGATAAATTAATAATTCGACAAATCAATCTCTTCTTTTTTAACCAATTAATATTCTATAAATTAATTAAAAACTATAGTTTTCATAATATTATAATGTACTACAAAGCTTACATTAATTAATGATTATTTATATTACTCTCTCTAGTTCTTACCAAATCGATTCCTAAATAAATTATTCTGCTCTTAATCGCTTGCAATTGCATCACTGCATTATATATATAGTACGAATCAAACAATTATTTTAATAATTGAGATCACTTTATGTTGATAAATCTGATGTATATATTTATATATCTGCACACATGCCCACAAACATGACACATGTATATATAAATATAATCAATAGTTTATGTTTCTTTTAAAAATTGGTAACTGAGTATTAATAAATTTAGATTAGTTTTAATATAGCAGCTGCATTATTGGACATATAATGGAGTTTTTTTTTTGTTCAAGAGAAAAGTCTTTATTCAAATCTTGACTAGCTAGCTTGCAAACTAATAAACATGTCTGTATAGTAGAACATTCAACAGAATTGTAAATTAATCATTTATAATTAATTAAATTGTTAAATCTAATTAGTCCTGCAGTAATTGACTGTAGTTTCACTAAAGCACATGTTAAAGAAAAACAAAAATTCAACTTCCTCTTAAACTAAAAATGTTAAATCATAAAATCAAAATGAATAAAAAATATTATAGTACGTAAATTTCTATTATATTATGATATTTTAGAATAAAACCAACGTATTTAAGAAATAATTGATCATTAATTAGTAAAAAGTAAAAACAAACTTTAAGCTTATAAACACATTAAAATTCAAGAACATTATGATATTTTCTTGTTAAGTAAAGTTAAGGCGTACGTAGGGTCAAATTCTTTCTAATTGTATAACTATAGTAAGATAATCCTATATAATCAGTGTGAACGAGACAGTTTTTGAAAACAAAGAAATGATAATTAAAAGTTAAAACATCTTTAAAATCTCGATTACGACTTGTTAAAAAATTCCCACAAGAGAATATAAAGTGGGGAAGATACTATAAGCATATACATAAATGGTTTTGTAAGATTTAAATGTTAGAAGATATAAAAATAAATAAAATTAGAGAGGATAAGATTAAAGTGGTACATACAAAGCACTTAGCAAGTAACCATTGGTGGTTTCGACACTTATAGAGCATTTGATTCGATCTTCCTATCAAAGCCTTTGCGTTACCTTTTCTGTTCTCTATTTTGTACGAGTATATAAATATATATATACACTAGAACCATTAGTATTATATATTTTTCTTTAAGTTTCTAACAAATTCTAGGAATATATATATAAAGATCTTTGGTCTTGTTGAATCAGATACCAGATACGAATCAGATGTATTTCAAGATTTCTGAATATTTATTATGTAATGGTTTTAATTTTATAAAATATATTTGACATTTTAGGTTTTGTTATTTCCATTTTTGGTTAGCTGTATAACCAAAAATTTAATGGTCGAAAGTTAGGTTAGGATCGATTTAAAATCTATAGAGTAAAAATCATACAAACAGCATTTATGGTTTGATCAGATATACCAATTTCGTTTATGATTTATGGTTTAAATGTGTAGATATATCATTTTGATCATCCTACGCAAAAACATAACTTTTTTTTTTGTCTCAATTAATTTTTTATTTATTTCATAAACCAACAACAAGTCCAACATAAGCTCAAAATAAATAAATAAAAATATAAACCGCTACAAAGAAATTGAAGGATTAACATCGAACACACCAAACACATGCTGGACGGAGGATGTAGGTCAAAAACAGGTGTGAAGAAGAGGAAGAAACAAGGGCTAGCGCCGATCATCGCCGCCGGTTGTCGTTTCGCCTACATAAAACTCAAAATCGCCGAAATTTAAGATAATCATTGATGCGATACGTAACTTCAAAGCAAAAACATAATTATGAGCCGCAATAATTGACATATAACAAAGATTATATCATAAATTTTAAATGTAGCTATTTCATGTTTGGACTGTGTATGCGAATGTATCAATAATTTTCTATTTTTCTTAGTTTATAACAGATTATGTGCATGGGTCATCAATTTCATATAATAATTTAATGTTTATTGGTTGGACAAACTAATATTTAATATTTAAGTGTTAACTTCTTTATTTAATTTAGAGTTTTACATAATTTGAATGCAAAGCGTTTAAAATTACACAAGTTTGACTCATATTCTTTCTAACATTATATTTGTCAAACCTTATATCTAAGTTTATCTGCTTGAGTTTGTATATTTATACACAAAATATGTAAAAGTAGACTTCGTCACTCTTAATAATATTAGGGCTCTGAGTGGCTTCCGACATTTTACATGTTTAAAATTTAATTCAATCCAAGATATAGGTGATCCAATCCGATGGTCTCCATCTCTGTTTCTCCACCTGATAATATTCATATATAGCTTTCTAAATTCTGTTTTTATTCTCTAAATATTTTCTAACTTTTCAAACCAACCGAAGCATTCTTTGTACACATGATTCTTTGATTGAATAAAATTTTACATTCAATTCAAAAAAAAAACAGTTATAAGTAATAAAATGAAGAGACTAGAAATATTTAGATACTTCTACCGATTGTTTCCATAACATTATTAAACATGCAAATCAAACTGTTTCATAAACTCTATTTCTTTGATAGTCGTTCGCCGATCTCTGAAGACATAGTGTAAGATTGATATTTTTTAGTTTTCATTTCTCTTTAAAAACATCTAATTGTTTATTCGCATTAAAATTGTTTTATATCAAATTATCAATGTTCAAATAAAATTTTAGGAAAATAATCGACTGTATTCAACATAAATGTTATACTATAATTTGGCCAAAACAAATTTTGAGTTTGGAAATAGAAAAGAAACAACAACAAAAATTAATATAAATCTTTTTGAATAAAGTGTTTCCAAAGATAACCTTTTAATTCAATTTGTTTACTATGAAGCAAATCTCCGGCATAAAAAAATAATACATAGCAATATTTCCAGTACTGTATAATATATTTTGGTATGCATCAGTAATTCAATGTGTCCATGGTTCAGGTCATGGATAAGAATTTAGAACCATAAAATTTAGTATTATTTGAACAATTTGTTTCTTGCTAAAAAGAAACATCGAAAGTCCAATGGGTAATAATATTCCTTTGTTTCGAAAGCACATTGAAAGCCCAATTAAAGGCTCCCCTCGATAAAATTTATTCAGAGTCGAACGAAATGAAGAGGCTAAAAGGGTTTATAGAGAATTCGAAGCTTACAGTAATATTAAAGATTCAACAATGGCGAAAATGTCAGATGTTTTACAGGATTTGGTAGTGGAAGTTCTCAGTAAGATTCCGTTGACATCTCTTAGAGCAGTGCGATTGACTTGCAAAAAATGGAACGATGTATCCAAAGATCGGAGCTTTATAAAGAAGCAAATCGGCGAAGCAAAGAAGAAGCAAGTGAATGAGTTTGAGGTGATCATGATAACGAATTTCAAGGTTTATCTAATGAGTGTCGATCTCCACAGCCATGTTGATCCATCAATTACGCCTAAAGGTACACTTACTAGCCTAAACGATGAAGTCAATGATATAAGAAGAGTATTTCACTGCGATGGTCTACTCTTATGCATCACCAAAGACCTCAACTTTAGGCTTGTGGTTTGGAACCCTTATTTTGGGCAAACTAAGTGGATCAAACCCAGAAATTGTTACCATAGATTGGACAATTACGCTCTTGGGTATGACGAGAATAAGAAGTACAAAGTCTTGAGATTTGTGGATGATTCTAACGCCTATAGGGTAGAGGAACGAATTTGTGTGTTTGAACTCTATAGTTTTGAGTCTGATTTATGGAAGGTTGTTCTTAATGTCAGTCCTGAGTGGGAGATGAAGTTTTGTTCCCGAGGCTTGTCTGTAAAAGGCAATACTTACTGGTATGCTACGGATCATCTTGATGAGGATGTTGATTTCTTGATCTGTTTCGATTTCACAGCTGAGAGATTTGGGCCGCGTCTGCCTCTGCCTTTTAACGCTTCTGCTTCTAATGAAGATATTGTTACTCTCTCTAATGTTGGGGAAGAGCAGTTTGCGGTTTTGTTTCAGGATGATGATACACTGAGGATGGAGATTTGGGTTACGAGTAAGGTTGAGCCTACAGAAGTGTCGTGGAACAAGTTCTTAGCGGTTGATATGAGCCCACTCATTCGTTTCGCGTTTCTGGGAGAGGCTGGGAGTTTCTTCATTGACCAAACGAAGGATGTTGCAGTGGTTTTTGATAAAGATATTGATTCTTTTTACACTCGAGGAATAGCTTACATCATTGGTAAGGAAGGATACTTCAAAAAAGTGGATCTTGGTGAAGTTGCAGACCCAAATTGTTACCCACTTGTTCTTATGTTCCAAGCTCAGTGCAAATCAGTCAGCTAACCTAACTATTTCATCTCATTTTCGATTGTATAAATATGACTATTGTTATCAGTTATCTGAAATCTCAACATGGCCTCTTACCTTCTGCTTTCTTTACTTTGTTCGTTTCATCTTTCCAACTGAGAGTTAATCAAACATACGACCTGTAAACTTTCATGTGGCTCTTTGAAATAGTCAGATGCATCTTTGAGAGCTTTCTCTTGCGCTACTAGATAGCCAAAAAGAGAGAGAGAGTAGTATGCATGACGCAATAACTCTGTTTGGACGTTATAAACATGAAAACTAATTTCAAGGAATCTTGATTTGGAATCAGCAAAGAAACCCCAAGGCCACTTACACATACAGTACATATTCCGTATCAACTCGAGACATTACATGATTCTCATAGAAACACAAACACTTCACAACAACTACTAATCCACACCTCTTTACTGTTTTACTTCTGTATCAAAAGACAAGAAGACCATACAAACAAACATAACCAATGGGCCACAGTTTCGCTTCATCAAGAAGCCTTACTAAACTTTCTTCTGTGAAGCTGCAGATCTAATGGCGGTTTTTGCAAGCGTCGAAGGCTTGAGAACACTCTTAGGGTTAATAGCCTTTCTGATCTTGAAAGCAACCCAGGCTGTGCCAATTGCATACCCTGCTGCATCGAGCCCTTCGTTTGTCGCCTCAGCCGCTTTACCTCCATACCTACATTCATCAAACCAAAATTTACATTCTTCTATTAAACACTTGCATATCCAAACGACAAAGAGTTCCAAAATCTCGAATACTCGATCTACTTACTTGTGATCAACAAGTTCGGTTGTGACAGTGGACGAGGTTGACATTACATTCCTCCCAGCTACTTCAACAGCATCACATATCTTATCTATCAAAACAAAACCAAGAGTCTTAATGATCATGAATATCTAAAGATGGCCACATAACGTCGGGTAATGTCGAGTTAAGTACATTATATGAAAAGATTAGAGGAACTTACTGAATCCGTCAAGAGATGCAAGGACGACTTCTCCAGGAAGAAGGCTAAAGAATTTCTTTCCTACTTTGTTATTAGCCACTGCATTTGTGAAGAATCCAGAAACTTTAAGAACTCCAGAGAGCATGCTGTTTGCCACATTCTCTGTCATTTTGGTCATCCTCTTCACTCTGCATAGGCAATAAACATAATGAGACACCAATACACATAACTATAAGCCACAATAATGACATTTAACAAGCCAATATGTAGCATTGTCATGTTGGAACACAGATAGTCTCAGCAATCAAAAAACTCATCACTCATGTCCCAAAAACAGGACATACTATTTAAAGACGTCCACACAAGATTCTTCTATCTGTCTAGACACTTTCCTAAAATAGAAATCACATTCCACCACACAATTACAAAAAACAAAAACCTTCCCTTTTTGCATAAAATAGCTAAGAAACACTACAACCCTCTCGAAGCAGACACAAGGAAGCACATAAAATGAATCAGACATAACAAGGAACCACATTAGACATAACATACCTCTTGATTCTTTTCAAAGTGTCAGGGTGAACTTCACTCTCCTTCTCAGCCTTTGACAACCTCCGTTTCATAAAACCATTACCCCAAATAAGCCTATCCATAGTCACATCACCACACCAAAGAATCCCTTTAATCAAATGACCAGAGCCAGTAGCAATCAGCTTAGCCGCCTTCCCACTATAATCCTCCACATTGGGAGCTAAAGTCGTCCAATAAGCCGAACATTGCCTCTCCACAACCTCTTTCTTCTCACCGGTAAGCTCCACCGGAGACGTCTCCCTCGCCACCGTCACATCCAAAACCTTTTCCCCTGCTTCTTTGGCTTCCTCTGACACTTGCTGCACCGTGAAACAACTGTAATCCTCCAAGATCTTCTCAAGCTCCACCAGCAAATGCTCTTGACCTTTAGAAGCAATGGTAAGTCCGTAGTTCAACATCTCGTTAGTGTTCTTACTTCCATCTCCGTCTTCTTCATCGCTTGTAGGTCGGAGCGTGAAGAAGTAATGAGACTCGTCGACCTTGACCGAGTTCTCGTCCTTAGTCAACGGCCATTGGATCTCATCGGAAACACTAGCGAGAACAGCGACAACGTTCTCTCCTTGAACAATACGGGTGATGGAAAGATCGCCGCACGCGAGCTCTACGCTGTAAGATTTGTCGATCAAGTGAAGAATCGCGCCGGAGATTTTCAGAATCACTTCCTCCGTCGCTGCGGGAGGAGCAGAGACGGAGGAGGAATTAGTCTCCGGTTGCTCAGGGAAGAGATTACGAGCGAGATCATTCATATCGAGAGAAGGGTAGAGATTATTATTAGTAGAAGAAGAGCTAGGGTTACGAGGAGCTTCGGGATTCGATGTGTCAACAGTAGGGTAAAGAGAGGAAGCTTGCTTGTTGTCGCCTGAGGAATCCATTGTCGCCGGAGTTTTGAAATCGGAGAAGATTGAAGAATGAGGAATGAAGAAGACTTGGTCCGGTTGATAAAGATATTTATGGGAAGAAGGACAGGGACGGAGTAAAAGTTAAAGTATCTGTGTCTCTGTCAGGTATGTTGTCATGGTGGAGACGTGGAGGTTGCGAGTAAGTAACGCGTGTCTCCGGTTTATACCGGTTCGGTTTGTTACTTAGCCTTGTCGACATCATTTTTCCCGCGCTGTTACCCGGTTAAGTTTTCTTATGTCGGTCGTCCATTTATCTCGGAAATTGCATTTTACTCATAAAGAGACTGTCCTGAAAAAAAAAAAAAAAAAAAAAACTAAAACTGTACTGGTAGACGTTAGTAATTTAATAACTAAATTTTTATATTTATTTCAAATGAGCGTTTTTAAAACAAAACTAACATAAAATTACAGTGAAGTTTGTTGTCCTGCAAAATAATCGAATTATAAGTATCGAATCAAAACTGAACTAAAACAAATCAAACAAAACTAAAACGAGTACAAAAATCTAGTGAATAGTAAACTTGAAAACCGCGGGAGCTAAAACCAAACTAAAAATCAAATAGATATTTGAAATACCCAATTATAGAACGACAATAATAATTATATTTAGACTTTGTATAACTTAATAACCAAAATTTCAATTACAATTTATAAATCAATAAATATTATACTTTATACTAAAATAATCAAAATATCTAAAATTACCAGCTAAAATAACTAATAACCAAAATATTTAGAATTTTTTGACATATTTTTCAATATTAAATCAAATTATAGTAATATTTAATTAGTTGAAAATAAAAGTTACTATTGCAGATATAAAAACTAAATCAAAAATAACCGAAACCGAACTAAACTTTAAACGAAAAGCTAAATTAATCAAATTGATCTTAAACTCTTATACACGCAATATTTGGAGCCGAACCGAATATCCGAATGCCCAGAGTTTGTAATAAAATAACAACTGTTCAGGTGAATTGAATAAAGTGGGAAATATATATATACTTCCACATATTTAGGACACAAGACTGACTCTGTTAGAATTTGACTTTTGTTATCTTTTTCTTTAATCAGCAGGTGTCAAAGCAACTGGAGCCATGGTGTGAACTTAAAGACAAAGTGGTTCTTGTGACAGGTGCTTCCTCTGCTATAGGAAAAGAGCTATGTTTGATCTAGGTAAAGCTGGCTGTAAGATTGTTGCAGCAGTTCGTCGTGTGGATCGTCTCAAATCACTCTGCTCTGAAATCAACAGTTTCAATCCACGCGGAATCCAAGCTGCAGCTCTTGAGCTAGACGTTTCATCAGACGCAGCCACCATTCAAAAAGCTGTGAAGGAAGCTTGGGAGATCTTCGGAAAGATCGATGCGTTGATCAACAACGCCGGGTTTAGAGGCAATGTCAGGTCGAGTTTGGATTTGTCAGAAGACGAGTGGGACAAAGTCTTCAAGACCAACTTAACCGGGACTTGGTTAGTCTCCAAATACATATGCGTTTTAATGCGTGACGCTAAACATGGTGGTTCGGTTATAAACATATCATCAGTCTCTGGACTACACCGCGGTCTTGTGCCTGGTGGAATCGCGTATGCATGTTCTAAAGGTGGTGTTGACACCATGACAAGGATGATGGCTCTTGAGTTAGGTGTTTACAAGATCAGAGTGAACTCCATTGCACCGGGGCTTTTGAAGTCAGAGATCACACATGGTCTTATGGAGAAAGAGTGGCTCAAGACCGTTACCGAACGGACTGTCCCCTTATAGGTACAGCAGACCATGGATCCGGGGCTTACTTCTCTCGTTCGCTATCTCATTCACGACCCAAAATATAATGTGTTTTATAGCAATAATAAGTGAATACATTTACACATTCCCTTTTATAATCTATAATACATTAACATGGTTATAGTTGGATATTATGAATCAGAGCTCATCGTATTTGAGTTGCTTGTGTTCCACTATAACTGGAAAACTCTTGTTGACCCAAGCAATGTAACCACCGTCCATGTTTTTTACAGTCTTGAAGCCCTATCACATGATCAAAACAATCCCATTAACTCTCATCAGTAAACTCAGATCTATTCAAAAAACAGACATTACTAGATCAGATCCAGATCCTCTGTTTTTAATTCAAATGTTCTTGAATCTTTTGGTACTTACAGAAGAGACAAGAACTTTGGTAGCATACAGTGATCTAACTCCAGATTTACAACCCTGCAAAAGAAGATTAAAACAACAGATCCAGAGATTTGAGTAACGTGAGATGTACTTCATATGATCAGAACAAGAGTCAAGTGTATTATTACCACGACGAGACGATCGGTTTGGTTGCAGACAGATGAAACATGTTTCAAAAAATTAGGGTTAATCACTTGACCATGTGGTGTATATAACCAGTATGGAACATTGAAGACTTTCTCTGAATCAACATGGCCTTTCTCGAATTCTTCAACAGTTCTGTGTCAAACAGCTCTCAAATTTCAGAAAACCATCGAACATAAAGATATGATTCCCTATGAAATTATGAAAGGTTTTAAACTTATACCTGACATCAAGAAAAGTGTAGCCAGAATCAAGAAGCTTCTGAGCTTGCCTCACATCGATCGTAATATTAGCTTCTGGTTCTGTGTTTGAGAAACTCGTGCGATAAAGATAAACATAAACAACGAAAAGAAGAAGAAAAGATCTTATAACGTGTGAAGAAACCATTTTGTAATATTGGTAATTTAGAGATTGAAGTTATATTTATTAACCATGCCGTTGGATTCGAGTACTCTGTTTTCATTTTGGCGGCTGTGGTGTATACGTGGCATATCCGCCGTTGGATTCATTTACCTGTTGTATTTAATTCTTCCTTTTGTTTTACTGATTTATAAAGTTTGGCTTAATTATTTTGTTTAAACCTTAAATTTACGCTATTTACCTTATTTTTGTGAATTTTTTCCTTCATAAACGCTAATTTAACTTTCACGTTTCTTCTCTTAAAAAGAATCACATAAAATGAAAAAAAAATAAAAAAAATTAAAAACTAAAACGACAAAAATAAAAAAAGGTCGGTGGCGTATTGAGATCACCAAAGTCCACTCCACACCCAAGAAACCGCAACAGCCAAAACGCCTAATGGTAACGCAACTGCTTTTGTAGCTGACGCGTCGAAAACGCTAACCGCCTCCGGTTTCGGACGCGGTGGTGCACTCTCCATCACTCTGAAAACAAGCAATTGAATTAATAATCAAGCCTTGGAGAATTTTAAAAATGCAATTTTCATATTTGAAATCAATATTAATTTCCAAAAAAACAAAAAAAAAAATTTGAAATGAAGGTTAATAACCAAAAACAACAATTTCCCCAAGATTAAGTTTAACATTTTTAAAAAATCTAACTTCCCTTTTTATTCAAAATATTAATATTCCTTATTTCTTAAATTAATAACAAAATCTTACTTTGAAGAAGTTGAAGGACAAAATGTGATGACGTAATCAGCACCGGAGCAAGTAAAGGTACTTGTTCCGTCGTCGTAAGCGTAACTATAAGCCGTCGGACAAGCTTTCTTAAACAAGCCAGAGTACTCACTCGGTTTACACGTGTCCGGCGTCGCAAACGCGCCGCTACAGCAATACTCCGGCGTTCCGAACGCCTCGCAAGCGCTCTTACACGCTACAGCAGTCGTTCCAGCCGCTTCAACCGTTACTTTCAGCTGTTCCGGACAGACGCTGTTTAAATCCACCGCGCAGCCCGTGACGTTGCACTTACCGGCTCCGGTGGCTCCGCCGCTAGGGACGATTGTCATTGGTACGTTGTAACCGTCCACGAGGCTGACGTCGTAAAAATCGAGATTATCTGCGCCGTTGAGTGTGAATTCGGCTAATGTAGCTGGAGGGTTTGCTCCGGCGCCAGAGCACTCGATTTGGGACGAGCCACAGTCGCCGGTGACGCAACTGAATCTCCCGGTGGTTTCGTTTTGGTTGCAGAGTGTGCGTCCCCATATGCGGCCGGACCAAGCAGCGGGCATGGAGATGAGTCGTGACTCGGCAGAGTTGAGGGAGAAACCAGTGGTAGGTAATGCAGCGGTGCCGGCACCGGAAAGAAGTCCCGGCCAGACAGTGTAGCTGCACTGGTTTACTACGGTGAAAGTGGTGGAGGAGGTACCATTGATGAGAAACAGAACCACGAAGAGAAAGGAAGAGACTTTAGCCAAAACCATTGTCGCAATGAGATGTTGTATGAGGTTTGGAGATTATGTTTATATAAGAGAATTAGGGATCTGTGTAATGGAAAGTTTCATATAATCAATTCGGCCATTGTAGAACCCCATACATGTTCACTGATCTTTTCCCTTTATTTCAGCAATAAATTTTGAAAAGAAAAGGAAATTGCGAATCAAGTTATAATTGATTGAATTTCCTTTATTTCTACAATTTTACATTTTTTGTGTTTGTGCTGTTTGTTGATAGTTTCCCTAAATTCAAAACTAGAAATTAAGATAAGGATTAGAGGATTAAAAAAGCGATATCTTTTGTTAAGAAAAAAGTTAAGTTTCACTTTTTGCTTAAAGGTAAGGTGTTGGGGTTGGTCAACGACAATTGAAGCTTGTCCTTTGGGAATGTTAAGTCAACTCAGTTGGTTCCTTCTTTGTTTCAACTCACATGTGTATTATTGGCTATCAAATCTAATTCAATAGTTCTGGATTATGAAGATCAACTTGGTATAATCAGTACTGATACAGGTTAAAGTAACCCCATTTGTAAGAGACGATTTCCCAAGAACAATCTCTCCACAAAAGAGTAACCAAGTTAAGCAACAAGTATCAATCTTGGTATACAGAAGTGACCATAACAGATTACAGACTAGACTAGATCTTTATCTCCATCACACAGATTGTAAAGAAAGAAAAGAAACTGCAACTAAAGCAATCACACATATCATTCGAAGTCTCAAACTTATGGCATCAACAAAAAGCAGTGAATAGGTTTTGCAAAAACAAGTCATAAGAGCGATAGAAGAAGTAAGAACAACTCCAAAAAGTAACATCCTAAAAGAGAGTAGCAACCACATTATAGTAACGAGCATTAGGTAGAGAGATTAATAGAGAAACAAAGAGGTATATGAACATTACTCTTCTTTGTTGTTAAGCAACCGAAGAACATTCCCTTGCAAAGTGACCTCCCTTGCCGCACTTGAAGCAGTTGCTACTGCCACCGCCTCCACGACCACCGCCGCTGCTTCCTCCTCTACGATCACAGTCACGAGCCAAATGGCCAGTTACTCCACATTCGTAACAAGAACCAGCACCACCACCACCACCAGAAGGTTTCTTGCTGGTGCAGACTCTAGCAATATGGCCAACTCCGCCACAGGTATAGCAAGTGTTTCCACCACCACCGCCACCACCAAAGATTTCACCACCGTTTTGCCTACAATCCCTAGCGAAATGTCCCACACCACCACACAAGTAGCATTCATCACCGCCGGATCCACGACCACCACCACCACCACCTCCATACCTATTTCCACCGGATCCACCACGACAATCCTTTGCCAAATGACCAACCTCTCCGCAACTGTAACACGGACCGCCACCACCGCCGCCGCCGCCTCCACTGTTTCCACCACCGCTCTGCCTACAATCCCTAGCAAAGTGCCCCACATCACCACATTTGTAACATTCACCTTCTCCGCCGCCAGATCTACGAACAGCACCACCTCCAAAGCTTCTCCCACCACCGCCATCGGCACAATCCTTAGCCATATGACCAATCTCACCGCAATTAAAACAACTACCGCCGCTTCCACGGGAACTATTCTCCTTCTTGTTAAGAGAACCGCCGCCGGGAGCAGTGACATCAATGGCCTTAGTCTTCCCATCGCTTCCAAGCGTGATTGCGTACTCAACTGATTCACCAACAGTCAAGCTACGGAAACCATCAGAGACAATTGAAGATTGATGAACAAAAAGCTCATCGCCGCCATCATCAGGAGTAATAAAACCATAGCCTTTCCCATCGCTAAACCAGTTAACCTTTCCGGTAGATCTCGCCGCCGATTGATCTTCCATCGCCATTAGATCAGAGAGAGAGAGAAAGAAACGGTTTAAAAGAAACTCGAAGCCGTTCGGTAGTACAGAGAGTTCGATCGTACAGATAGAGAGAGAGGGGAAAGTGAAACAAACCAAAAAGGGTGAAAAAGAAAACCCTAAACTGCGAGATCTATTGCCTTTAACTTCGAATTTGACATTAACATTCGCCACGTCAGCTCCCTTATCTATCGGCGGTTGTTACACGTGTGAAATTTTGGATCAGGCCCATGTTCCAACTTATGAATTGGGCCTTTTCATTTAAGGCCTTATTTCTTCTTCTTTTTCCGAGCAAACCTCATAAAACTTTTTTTTTTTTTTTTGAACAAACATAAAACTTTTCTTGTTTGGTCTTTGCATAGTTTAGTGAATTGAAAATTGTTTTCACATAAAAGTTAGATTTTGTCAAACAAGAAAAGTTCATGGGATGCAAGCAAAAAGTATTTAAAAACATGATAAATGTCAACTAAGAAAAGAATCTTGTCTAAATTATTGGTTTCTTATCCTTAGGGCAGCTCCACTCGAGCTTTTTATCAGGGTACTTATATTTGATATGGGCCCAAATTAAATGATAAAACATTGAGTAAGTCCCAATTGTAAAAGGATAGTTACCTCTAATAGCAACTTAAGAAACCAGTAAGCAACGGGTGGCAATATATAGCAGTATATAATTGGCTGATGAAAAAAAAAAATATATATATATATATAATTAATTAATTATATTTTGTATTAATTTTAGGTACCTCACATGAGGTCCTCCACTAAAGATGGTCTTAGGGATTTGGAATAGAGACACCAACATGTTAGTCCAAGGATGAAATAAACTCCATCGATGGTGTTGATTAGTGAGCTCGTCACAAAGGGGGAATATCAAAGTGTTTGTTAAGGGTCGGGCTAAAAGGCTCGTCTTATTAATCGGAGATCGGCAATCTACAATAGTGAATGAGTACAAAAATTGTTCGACACTAAGTCTGCTAAAAGACGAGCTCTCTGATGTATTTCTTGTCCTCTTTAATATACGCGATGTCTTGTCACATCAAATTCTTTTTCTTTTATAGATGGATGATGTGACAAGACACCGTTTTTAGGTCAGAATCTGGTGGGCCGATTGTTATGGGCCATCTGTCCACAAACCGGATCCAAGTTGGACCGTCATGTTGAATTGATCATCTCTCGTCGTCTTGTGTGGACTGGTGCCACGTCATCCATTTCTATTCGGGCCGAACAGATAAAAGTGGAGGGGACTCACAAAATGAGGCCCATATCCAACATATGGGATAATACTCCGGAGTTTCACCACTTTTTAGTCCATCATTACAAGACTTGATCATATCTACAATGTTTTTTGTTCACCGACTTTGCAGATCTTAACACAATTTAAACCAGAGTCATCTTCTGTATTTTGATGTGACTTGGATTCTCAAACCAAGTAGTGCTAATTTTAGTTAGTCGGTGCACACAAATAGTTACATTTATTAAACATCAAATTTTGTTTATTGGTTACTGTAATATGTAGAAAAACTATTTATCAATTCGGAAGAAAACAAACAAACAAAAAAAGAATTAGCAAAGGCGCGTTTATCCTACGTGGCATGGTAAGACGGTGCTACTGCTGCTGATCGGCGAATATGATTGGCCAAGCTAAGCAAACTAATCATCGAGATTTAGGATTTACAATCGATTATTTCTGGATTTGCACTAATTACAATTAGAAGCACTTTTTTAAAACTTAACTGTTTCATCAACCACCGAGTCCACTCGTTACCAACACTGATCGGTTTCCCAATTCCGTCCGGCGTAACCGGCGAATCCAGAAACACCGACGGTTAACGGCCGGGTCCGACCAAGTATCCTCCGATCATAAACGGCGCGTTTCTCAGGATCCGAGAGCGTACAATACGCGGCGTGGATCTTCATGAAATCGTCCGCCGACGAGTTATTATTGTTCCGACCATTACCCGCCACATCGGGATGGCAGATCCGAGCTAGTCGCCGGTAAGCCGATTTGATCTCTTTACTCGTCGAGCCGGCGGGGATTTCGAGGATCTCGTAGAGAGACGCGGTCGCTGAAAAACGTCGGCGTAATCGATCGTCTGCGCAAGTGTAGGATGATGATGCGGTGGTTGCGGAAAGAGACGGCGAGATCCGGGAAACGCGTGACGACGACGGTGGTGAAATTGCAGAGAGTGGCCGAGAAGGAGAAGAAGAAGAAGAAGAGAGGAATGGAGGAATTAACAAGGTTGAAGAAGAAGAGAGCATTGCCAAACGACGGCGTTTTTGGGTTTTTTTTTTTTTTTTTTTCAGTTCTGATTTGGGTTTGTGTGATTTGAGGGAAGGAGATGAGAGATTAGAGAGTTGTATTTATAGTGCTAAGAGATTAGAGAGGTTAATTTGATTTGATGAAATTGTGAGTTCAAAATAAATAATATCTTGGTCGGGTTAAGCAATAAACGGAACCGGGTTGGGTTGGTTTTGGATATTTGGGGGGAAGCTGAGTCAGACGGAAAAGGCTTATCCAGTTGGAAATGTTGTGATTGGAGAAGCGATAAGATTCAACGAACTATAGGATTTTGAGCACAGTTGCATTCATGTTATATAATTTTTCATCTAACCATAAATAAATAAATAACCAAAAATCGTCATTCAACATAATTTACTGTGGTAATAACTTTTTTGCTCTTTTTTTTTTCTTGTTTTTGGTATATAATGAAATTCCAAATCTTCAATATATATTTCGTCTAAATTAGGAAAAAAATAATTAAAAATCACATTTCATAATTGAAGAAAATAATAGAAACCAGATAATTTATTTAAAAATCTCTTTAAATATTAATATTTTTAATTGTATATATTTTTAGTATGTAAATTTCAAAATATTTTTCATGTATTTTAATGATTAATATATATTTATATGTATATATAAAGTGTAGAGCTTTAGGTAGACATTATCCATTTATGATGTGATGTGTATATGTAAATATATATAATTTATACCTGTATTTTCTAAAATCAGTTTTTTTTTCTTTTGATAAATAAATCAGTATTTTATTTTGTATTTCTTCTATTTTATACGGATAATATTATCCAACTATAATTTTTCTAAAATTCGTTGTTAAGAGTCCAACATTTTGGACTTCACGATGTATCTTTTATGGTTACTTAGTTTGGTGTTTTCCAGTCATAATGGTGTAATGTTGTATTATGTTTAGGAGGATTCTATTAGTTTTTGACGTTTATTATAAAATAGCATATGTTAAAAATACAAAAAAAAGACGGATAATACAATTTTTTACCAAAAAAAGGGTTATATAGACTATTTGTTTTGCATTATAGACATCCAAAATTTTCAGAAAATACCAAAAAGAATTAGCTCTAATAAATCTTTAATCAAATATAACTCGGAAACCCAATTTTTTTTTTTTTTTTTAAAAGAGATGTTCTCTCCAATTTTGATAGTCCACTTGACCACTTAAAGAGTTCTAACTTCTACCTAAATTGATCATTATACCTAAATTAATCATTCAAAGTTTCAAAACACCAAAAACATACATACAAAACATTGGTTTGGCCTTTACGTGTGACATCTCTCTCACCGAAACATCGGTTTTAAAAGAAGAAAAAAAGCCAAATGCAATGCACTTTTCTATTGATCCATTATAATTAAGTTTTCCTTTTCTTTGTTAATGTATAGTTTATGATAATGCACTTTTTAATTATAAGTTTGTAAACATAAAAAAAAAGTATATAAACGTGGTTTTTGGCCTTTGCGTGTTCCCATCTCTCTCGTCCTAAGACCATCCTCAATGGGGTATCTTATGAGGCTAAGATACCCCCACTTTTTCAAAGAAAATATCTTATATAAGGATTTTTTTTGAAAAAGTGGGGGTATCTTAGCTTCCTAAGATACCCCCATTGATGATGCCCTAACTTCCTAATATATAGAACGCGCTTCTTCTTTAGTCTTGTCACAACAATTATGATCAATAAAACAAAGCCAAATTCAATGCATTATTTTAGCTATTCGTAACAATTGAGTTTATTAATGTCACTTCTGAACTAATCTTCATTATTATTGTCAGAGTTTTTAGTATTTGCATCGACAACTACATGTAGCAAACTAGTATCAACACAGTGAAGTTTAAAGTTTTGTACATAGAACATACGATAAGGGAGCATTCATATGACTTCTTCTCATACCCGAAACCATGTTAAATTGCTCCAACATAGGTGATCAATGCTACTCGAACCCAAGTGGCGAAAATTGTTTATCCTTACCATTGGACAATAGCTACTTAGTTAGATTAACTAATTTACTCTAACATAATTCACAAACCCATGTTTGAACACTCTGATTTAATCATTATTGTATACACAACAATACAAAAACTCATCACTACAATTTGTGCCTAATTGACTGTATAGGTCTTTGACATTGGTTATAAAAAAAGTTTATGAAAAAATATGTTACAACAACATATGAAAACACTGCAATTAATCCCAATTTTTTTTTTTTTTTCTACACAAGGGATCCAAAAACAAATCCGACTATTTTTAGATTTTGATTCTTTTGTAATTAATCTTCTCCAAAATATTTTGCAGATTTTGTTTAGACCTTGCGAGAAATAAGATAACCAGGAGGGCTTCTAACGTTTCTTGATTTGATACTTGCAGTTCTCAAAAGTCTACGAAACTCATGGAGACTGATTTTACCATCATTGTCTATGTCTGCTTCTTCAAGAAGTGGCTCAATGGATCCTTTCAAGCCAGTATGCTGCAAAGCAAACAAAAACCAAATCCATCTTTTACTAATGTGACATCAATATGGATCAAGAAGCATATATATGATATAGTGTGTAGTACCATTCGGAGCTCCTCTGCTGTTATATATCCATCTCCATCTATGTCGAATTTTTCAAATGCTGCTCTTGATCTTTGTTGCCATTTTTCAGAATCATGTTCCTCTAATTGATTTACGTGTAGTGCAGCCGCGACAAATTCAGAGAAATCCACAAATCCATCTGTGTTACTATCAATCTGCATGGATGCAACACAAGTTAGATCATCATCAATTCATCATCATCATCATTATTAGTATGGTACTAAGTTAAATGTAAATGCATACCGCTTGAAGAATCTCGGCGACTCGTGCATCTTTTAGCTTCCAAGGATGATCTTTAGCAAGAGCCTATGGAAACAAGAATGAGATTGATGTTAGTTTTAGTATTTGCTTGATCACTTTTGCTACTTACTGAGTCATGGTTTTATTCTTTTTACTTTACCTGCCTCATCTCTTCAAGGCTAATGGCGCCATTCTTGTCAACGTCTATCGCATCAAACTGATCTCTAAGATCAGCCAACTCTTCTTCATCAAGCGTCGTTGCAAGAGCCTAAACTCACAAAACACAACTGATGAGGTTAAAATACACATCAAAACCTCAAAATGTCTTTTTCGTTAGAGTTATACCCTTAAAGCGAATTGCTTGAGGCGGCTAAATTTCACAAACTGACGCATGTTATTGAGGACAGATATGTCTATGGGAATCTCAGATGCATCTCCTCCTTCTCTAACCCATGGATGTGCTGCAACCAAAACACACTGATAATAAGAACCAAAAAATTGATTGGATATGGTGTTACACTGGTTACAAAAGTTCTTACATAGCGCTTGCGCAGCTGTTAATCGCGCTCTCGGGTCTTTTACTAACAACTTTTTGACAAAATCTTTGGCGCTGTTGCTAATGGTTGGCCACGGTTTTCTTCTGAAATCAGGTTTGTTCTTCAAGACCTATGTATACATATTTGTAAACATGTCTTCATGATTAGAGATTAATTTATGATGTCCATGATTGATATTTTCCTCAGGGAAAACTACACAAACCTCCTTGAAGATACCGTCCTCAGTCTTGTCCCAGAAGGGTCGTCTCCCGCAGAGAAGAATGTAACTGATTACACCAATACTCCACACATCTGATTCGGGTCCTGACCTCCGTTTTAACACTTCAGGTGCTACATAGTATGCGCTCCCAACGATATCATGAAACTTTTTGCCTACATTGTATCAAAACTTTTGTTATATAGCGGTTAGATCAAAGAAGTGATATATGAAAACTCACTTTGAGTATAACTTTGCAAACTAACCTGGCTTTATGAAGTCTGATAATCCAAAATCTGTAGCTTTAAGAGCCGAATCTTCATCAGTCGATTTGAACAGAAAATTCTGTTTAAGAATATGGTTGGTAAGAAAAAAAATGAACTATGATTCAGAAGATAATGATGATGGACTGTAATAAACTACCTCTGGTTTCATATCTCGGTGAACCAAACCGCGCAAATGACACTCAGCCGCAACTTTCAGCATCTGTCTCACTACCACGGCCGCATCTTTCTCGCTGTAACGGCTATCTTTCCTGAAGACAAGCAACAACAATAGCCTTAAAGACTCAAAACTAATGAGACTCTGCAACACAAATAAACAAATCATTAAATTTACCTGGCTAATATCCGATCAAGTAACTCACCACCCTCGCATAACCTGAAGAACAATATTTCCATAACTAATTAGCAACAGAGGAGACAACAATGTTAGTCCTTTTTTATCTTTCTTGTGATGCAAGGAAGGGGTTTTCACTTACTCCATGACAATATAAACAGAGTTCTTGTCTTCAAAGGCATTATAAAACCGAACCACATTTTCATGACCAGTTAAAGCTTGTAGTATCTTCACCTCTCTCTTTACATCTTCCACAGCTATCGGAATTGTCATCTGCCGCCCTCAAACCAAAATCAAGAAAACCATACCTTAGCTCAAGAAACACAAGAATCCAATTTAAAATCAGATTCCAAATGATCAAGAATCTTCATAAATAACCTTGGCTTTATCGATCTTCTTGACGGCGACACGATCACCGGTCTTTTTATCGGTAGCGACATACGTATAACCGAATTGGCCATGTCCGAGCAATTTCCCAATGGTGTAACGGTGATCAAAATCTTTAGCGTAACCAAAATCAACACGCTTACCGTAAGGGATGATCACCGCTTCTCCATGCCTCTTATTATTATTATTATTATTGCTTATAACTTTCTCTCTCCCTCTCCCGTGCGGTGGCGTTTGCCGCGTCGGCGTTTTCTTGCGTCGCGGTTGCGTTCTATGATGATCTTTTTGGATCGTAACGGCCATGAAAGAACATGGTGATTGAGGGGGTCTGTGTTTGGCCACCGTGAGAGGAGGAGGAGGATGTGGGACGGGGTTCCGGCCGCTACGGTTGTGGCCGGTGGCTTTAGCGGCGGAGGAGAAACAGAGACCCATGAGTCCCTTTTTTTTTATTCTATTGTGGGGATTACAGTTTTCTTGATCCTACGCAATGAGGATGTTTTTTTTTTTCTTAGGGGAAGGTTTGTGGCATTAATGAATGGGAAAACGAAGTCGCCATCGAAACAGCATTGCCAGAGAGAAATGTAGAGAGAGAGAGAGATAGAAGCTTCCATATGCGTTGGTCACGAAATAGACTTTTCTTGTGAGTTCAAAATATACTTTTAAGTTTTCCATTTAACATGATGTTATTTTTTTGGCAACATTATAGAGAAAAAAAATTAGAGTTTTATTAGGTTGGTTGTAAATATCAAAAACTGAGAATTTTAGGTTTTATATACTTTATTTTTTTGGAAAACACAATAGTAAAACAATAAAATACTTGGCAATTATCAAACTAAAGTAATAGATTATTAAAGTATACAAAACTCGTGAAGTCGTGTGATACGTGAGACTCCACTTGTTTATGGACCCATGGAGTTCTTGTTTAGAGCGGTTCGTAATATTTGTGATTCCATTTGTTTGTGAAGCAATATGATGATTGATGAGTTTGAGTTCTGTTCTTGAGTTTTGCAAAAAGGGTCAAGTGAAGAGATTTGACTTATTTAATACTCCCTTTCCATTTAAATGATTGTTAAGGTTTGTGCACACCAATTAATAAAACATATAATTTATCCATTGTCCATAAAAATATCATTAACTAATATGAATTCAACTAATAAGAAATTATTATATATTATATGATTGGTCAAAAAAATTTAATACATTAAATTTTTGCATAGAAAATTGAAAACATCACGTATAATTATAATGACATTATGACACAAAAAGATTTGGCTAAAATATCATTTAAAATGAAATAGATGGAGTATGATTTATAATGGCGGTAATCACCGTTCGTTGACGGGTTCTTTAGAACAAGTTTAATAACAAGTTTTCTTTGTTTGGGTTCTTTAGAACAAATCTATGTGTAAGCTATTTTCATTGGGTTTTTCTTTTTTGGACTTTCTATGGTTTGAAGTTTAAACGTGACATGGTGATTGTAGGAGAATAAAACAACTGATAATTCTTTTTATTAGTATTTGAGTATTCCGAATGAATAGTTGGATCGCTGAAATGTCCAACGTAAACATACAGATTCTATTCAAATGGTCTAATGATTTATAAATGAGGATGAGTTGCCATGTCACTGTAAGCTGAGAATCAATTCTTTTAAGATGCGGGATTATGTAAACCACACCTATTTAGTCAACCGAATTTATGTTTATGTTTATGCTTTAAGCTAATTGAAATGATCCGAAGACTATATATCCAATGAAGATTAGTTTGGATGGTAAAAACTCAGATCACCTTCTAGATGTCATCATAATTCATAAGCGTATTTCAATGCAAGCTGCTTATATAAGAAGCTTCCGCACGAGCTTCCTCCAACTTTGCCGAGAGCTCTTTCATGAAAGGTGTGCTTGTTCCGTGGCTGATCCGCAGAATGTCAAATGCCTTGGTCAGTGAACTCACCGCCTCTTTCGTTTCCCCCAGCAACCTACAACATAACAATTATTATGCTTTTATGATGGAAATTGACAGCCAAGTTTATTTGCATTCAAACGCAGATTAATGTAGAGAGGTAATACGTATGATCATTTCATACAGCTACACCATGAATTCGCTGAGATTCAAACTTAGGAATATAGGCCATGTTCGTTTCATAACCGCAAGGAGCAAGCGATTGGGATTTTAAATCGCGTTCGTTTCGAAATCGCGCTATTGGTTTTTGCGATTAATCGCAATTAAAAAAAAGCATCACTTGCAACAATTGATCGCAGCGTTAAGTCGCAGTCGCAATTGCAAGCCTCCTGCGATTACCAAATGAACAACACCATATTAAGTTTCATGTTATTTTGTAACATCGGTTGCAGTCGCAGTCACAAGTGCAAGCCTCCTACGACTGCCAAACGAGCAAGACCATATCCAGATCCATATTGTTTAGTAGCATCAATCGCAGTTGTATCTTCGCAGACACAGTCGCTGTCATTGCAGTCGCAAGTCTCCTGCGACTGCAGAACAAACAACACCATATCTAGTTTCATACTATTTTGTAACATCAATCGCAGTCGCATCGTCACTGACAAGATTTAAATCGCAAGATGTTGTTCGTTTCGTAATAGCGCGACTGGTCTATGCGACTAATCGCAAAAAAACGCGTCACTATTTTGTCATGCGAACAACAAATTCAGTCAGTCCTGCGATTGCCAAATGGATAAAACCATATTAAGTTTCATATTATTTTGTAGCATCAGTTGCAGTCGCAAGGGACTGTGACTGTCAAACGAGCAACACCATTCTAGTTTCATACTATTTTGTAGCATCAATCGCAATCGCAATCGTAATCATCGCAGTGGTAGTCGCATCGTCACTGTTGCGACTGCCAAACGAACAACGCATATCCAGTTTCATATTTTGTAACATCAGTCGCAATCGCAATCGTGTTAGTCGCACTCGCAATCGCAAGCCTCCTACGACTGCCAAACGGACAAAACCATATCCAGTTTCATATTACTTTTTAGCATCAGTCGCAGTCGCAATCGCAACCATTACAGTCGCAGTCGCAAGGCAGTCGCAATCTGCAATCGCAGTCGCAAGGCAGTCGCAATCTGCAATCGCAGTCGCAAGGCAGTCGCAATCGCAATCTGCAATCACAGTCGCAGTCGCAGTCGCAGCCATCACAGTCGCAGTCGCAGCAACCATTGCAGTCCCAGTCGCAGATTGCGAAACCTCCTGCGACTGCCAAACAAACAACACCATATCCAGTTTCCTACCGCCAAAGTCAACCACCAAGACAACCTCTTTTGGTAAATAGGGCGGAATGTTACATCTCGGCCTACACATATTGCTCTGAGACCCTGACCGAAAGTCGGGGTAGAATAAGAGTCTCAAGCACTACAGTAATGAAAGTAAGAGAGAGAACATGTAATAGAATGGCTGCTTTGATAGTGCAGGGACAACACTTATTTGGCCCTGTGGATTTTTACGGGAGAATTAAATCGCTGTGACATAGGCCATCATTTTGTCTTTCATATTCTATTTCAGTTCCTGCAGCTCAAAATCTAATCCAGGTAACACAGTTAATTAGAGAGAGGATAAAAGACGTTTTCATACCATTCGAGTTTTCCCTGGGTATAGAACTGCAGTCCTATCAAAGGATGAGTTGCTGGATATACTCCTGCAATTTTACGAACAAAGTAAGCACAGGTAAAATAACCAACTATAGAATATGAATGATTTTACGACTACTGTTAGCTGTTTCTGTTAAAGGAATAATTAGCAGCCATTAGTACTAGTAAGTAATTATAAGAAAACTCTTAAGAGCTTCGAAGGTATGCTCAAATATAAGTCCCACACCTAGATCTATATACTAGAAGTCTGGTTATTTTCCAATGTGTCCAAAAGAAAAGAACAAAATTGACTAAACTTATTGCATCAAGAAGAAAAGTAATAATCAAGATGAATCTGACTAGTCAAGATTAAGTAGACATACTTTGGTAAACAGGGACTATTAGTCTGCAATAATTCAAAGCTTCTCTCCAGCTTTCTACATCCATTAGCATCTGCAAAAGAATGCGTAACGGCAAGCTTTGAGACATCACATTTGTATATTCTTTTCAGTACTCATGTACTACTTCCAAATATCCAAAAACCTTCTTTCTAAACGAACGTACCTTAAGAAGTTTCTCACGGGTTCTCATTAAAGTGATGGAGAACGAATGGTAAAGCTTAAATTGTAGTTTCTCAATTGTCTTATGTAGTTCAATAGAGGCTTGTTTATCTGAAAATGGTCAAAGATTCTCTCAGACAATTTGCAACACAGCTCAATGTAACCAAGATCATGTTCAGGTATATAAATGCAGGCATTGGGGGGAGAGCAAAACAGGCAACATATACCTTCTTCGGAAGGAGATGCAAGTGCCTTTTCTGAAACTCTTTTGATATCACTTGCTATCTTTTTAACCTCTTCCTTGCTCCTAAGAAGCAAACATTTCTGGCAAACAAAGCCTTTTTCTTCTGGAAAAGTAAACAAATGAGGATTCGAGGTAACAAGAACGTTGTTGGACACACAAACTACGTTGTTAAAACTTAACATACCAGGATCACGGAGTAAGAAATCAGTGCATTTCTCATTGGCACACCGATAGCCTTCCAATATTGCACTTTCTTCAATATCATCAGGTTTTCCCTTAGGTATGAAATTTTTTGGTACATGTCGTAAGAAATCTAGAATATTGAGTGGTTACATGCAAACTCCATCCGTTGATAAGTGGGAGAATGAATGACTACTTACAACGTTATTGCAACGGGCACAATGACAGTGGAAAAGATATTGTTCTCTCAGAGACTTCTGCCGAGTCAGAGTGCTTCCAGCGGTTTCGATATAGCTGATAGTTATCTGACCAAAGACAAATGATCTAACAGCTACATGTCAGTGTTCTACTAGCATATACGAAAGACTCAAAATGAAACAAAGCAGAAACTACCTCTGAATCCTTTAATATGTTATCCATTGCACGAACAACAGCCATCTGATCCTCAAACACTAAAATCGCATTGGGAGAGCAACTACAGAGCAAAAGATTTAGGCAGGAAACAAAGTGATTAAAGAACACAAAGAAAACAGATTGGTGAAGCATTTACCTGTGATTTATAATGGAAACAAAGGGAAACAATCCTATCCCTTGAGGTCTCAATTCGCTATCACAAATGGTATGAGCATTGCATGAAAACTGTGTTCAGAAGAAATGAAAGTGGCTTAAGTATATCCCTGAACAACATTCCAGGTAAAGACTAATACAAAAATTTCTCCCAGTTAGCCCACCGGATATACTTGATACTCCTTAAATAAAACGATCTCTTTTGATTTGTAATAGTATTTTCATGAGTTTTCCGATGCAAAGTCATATCACCATCCTATCTGTATAATACTAAATAAATTCTAACACAAAAAAAAAAATGATAACTATCAACTTCACCTTTGCAGAAAGACAGCACAGGTTTTGTCAAGCTAAAACTAGAAGAACAGAAAAAAGCGCTGGTGTAGTACCTTTGAAAAGTTCTCGGCGATCTCTCTTAGGTCAACA